TTCTCATATCCATTATTCACGGTCCTCTCTCTATTCGGGAGTTAACCATCGCCTCGAATGTCGTTGATGAAGTAAATTGCACTCACCTGCTCAACGAACTCTCGGCTCTCGTGGTTATTGTGCTGCTTACAGAATACGCTCATGCGGTCGTCTTCATCCATGGGCTGTTGGAGATTTCTGATCGTTTTACGGTGCTACACAGACTCGCATCGAAGGGAATAAAATCTGTTGATCCAGCCAGCGTCACCCACATCTGGGCCCCGCAGCCTGGTATCGTTGTGGGGTGGTAGATCAGCTGACAATTATTCGCCCCGTGCACCCTGACAGTCACTGACAGAAGACGGGGCTGTGATTTAAGTACAGCTCTCCACACAGTTGAATAGCGATTGCAGTTGCTGTTAGTAGTATACTGTTAGACGATGTAGACTCGGACATGGGCACCCGACTACCATATACACTACCTGGATCGCTACTCACACTCCAATGGTCGAACAGAATGATAAATCCCTGCCATCGGCATAATTATATTAGATCGTCCACAAACGGTTGCTCCTGATAAAATGAAGCTAGATGAGTAACTTGTGCTTTTCAGGGAAGAGTTCCCAGCTTAGATGGCAGCAGGAGATCAGAAGATAGAAAACGTTGTAAATGCAATCTACAAACCCCATGTTTCCATGAAACGTGTCGGAGACTGACTTATCAGACAATTAACGTTGAAAGGGAATTGAGGGAAGCACAAGTGAGATAAGTACATTAGCATGAGAGTATTCCTACTGCCACTCCGTCATTACGATTCGACACTGAGTAGATACAATTCTGATACATCTATCTTACTCATCTTTTGTGGTAGTACGACAGGTGCCTTCGATGCGAGCGCGGGAACACGATCTCGTAAAATGGCGCACATTTGCACCAGAATAAATCCAATTCAATTTTTCAACTGTCAGGAACACGCGGTAGTGTTGAAGTTTCCGAATTTGCAGGAGATACTTAGTAAGATTATGTCAATACGAACACGTTGAATATCCAAGTAGCATGGATATCTCTATAAAAACCCTCCTCGATTTTAGCGCATTCTCGCCGACATTAACACGTGTCTATCCAAGCCCCTACGCGGTTACATGTCCGGTGCAAAGGAATGGCTAAATATGTGATCCAAGACTTCAGCGTCCCGGAAGATCATACCCATTTATCTCTCTACCTATTTTTGGATACAAAATGATGACAATATCGCCATATACTTCTTCAGACACGATTAGCAATGCTGCTGTTTCAACAGCAGTCAAAGAAACCGTCGGTCGTTACGTCATCGATACCATGCCATCATACCACCCGTCTGTCAGTTCCCGACATCAGCGACCGAGAAATCTATACACTTCTCTCCGAAATATCTCGTCCTAAGGGACGCCTAATGATCTCCATTCTTCATTCCTGCCATCCCGTCGGCATCACCCGAGAAATATAGGAAGAGTACGTAACATCATGTCAATGTCAGGCAGCTCCATTCGATATCTCTTTACAACTGCCCATAAGAACTTGAGAGATCTCCCATCAATATATATCCATGGGAGTTTGACATTGGTGCCCTAGCAGCGTTTCAGGACGAACTTTGCGAGAGAGGTACCAGGGGTCAGGGTTACATTGGAGTATTCACTCAAGCGCTCATTCCCGCTCTCAAGTCGGTTAACTACAAACCAACAGATTACATCCATCTCCTTCAGGATTAACCTTGGATGGTAGACCAGAATACCGTTATCGCTGGAACAAAAAAGGATGCACAAACTTGGTATCAGGTATGACGGTGCCTCTTGTTATTATGTGTATATCCATTGAACTGTTGACACGTATTCAGGATTCCAGTTGCGATAGTACGATGTTGTTGGATGAGTAGTAGGCGCTGGCAACGGGTATCGGGCTGGTATATTTTCCCGTGGACTTAATTGGCCTAGCTGGTACAATAGCCTGAGAAATGAATTCAGACTGAACTAATCTAGCCCGCAATGGTGACTCGTAGTTACAGGGCGCTTCCTCAGAATTCAATATCGGCATGAGCATGGGTGGCGAGGATATCAATACCAGCGACTTGGTTGTTATCAATAACGGGGATGTGCTTAGCCATGAACTAGGCAGATGACTGAAGTGCTAGGCGCTTAATTCTAAGGAATTGAATGAGTACTGTATGATATATGGACCTTAATGCTGCGCACCTTCACGAAATTTCTCAATCGACCCACCTATATGCCGCCGCATTGGAAAATGCAGCAGTCGGTATTCAATCTGTGCTTAGGATTACTGGTTTACGAACTCCAGAACAATGGTAACATGTTGAGTCGACTGTATTCAAGAAATACAGAATGTACAAGAGTCAATGCCCAATGGCCACAGAAAACCCAAACGTCATCCATTCCAAGTTCCGAATCTATGCCTTCTTTAAGCGCCCCGATCTCATCGACACAGCTATGGTGCTACTTCCTGTTTATACAGATGAAAAGAAAAAAATAGCAAGGGAAGTGAAAACAAGTTGATGTGATTCAGTTAATAGAGGATAGGAGGATAGGGTCGGGCAATGCAAGTCCGTCCACGGGAAAGATCGTCGATGGCGTTTCGGAACACCATCACATCGCCTTTGAATCTTTGAAAGTATAATCACAACCGTTATTTCTAGAACAGATCACCGTAGAACTCAGAGCTGTATGGATGAGCCGAAAGGAAGAATCTAGATATTGCAGTAGGTAACATCGTAATAGCGAAGCCTGGTATACATGTACAGTATAATGTGTACTTAGGGTACATCACGTACGAGTTCTTGCCAACGTGAAAACAATGCCAATGAATTCGGGGTTTCCAGCCGGTGTCATTGTCCAGAAGATAAAATGAAAGAGCTGAAAAAATTGATGGTTATAGTCATATGTCGGACTGCTGGACGTGAAAGAAATACATCAATGAGTCGGCGTCATGCAAGATCTTGGCACATACCTCGCGTCTCCTTCATCTGAATAGTTTCCTTCAAAACATGAAGACAGCAGGTCTTATTCGGCTATAGCGCCCCAAGTTTTTTCTTTTCCTCACCGGCACAGCCGTAGAACAACGAAAGCAAGCTTCGATTTTGTCCATGGCCTTACAATGGTGGAGAGGATGGATCGGGATGGCGTTGGACTCCATGCGCATTCAGGGGAGGATATACTCAAGGCTTGGATTGAGATGAAGCCTTGGAGCTGATAATTCGCAGGGAAGTCGCTTCGCCTCCCAAGTCTTTGTACTAGCTGTCACTGTAATAAAATCGTCATCCAAAAGCCGGTGCGATGTACATCGAAGGCGGTGTATGTGTGTATCACTGTGCAGCGACTCCTTTACCTATTTCATCGACATGAATCCCCAAAATCGAGGGCTTAGCACGTCGGGCGTTGGGTTCAAGGTCACGATGGCATTCCTCGTTTTGGCATTGTTTGTCTCCACCCTTAGGTCTGGCGAGACTTTCCGCAACAAGGCTTGCATTGTATTCTAGAGTCATAGCCTGAGAATTTCAACTTTCTATATTAGTGGCTTGATATTCTCATCTATTTCACTTTCACTAAATAACTCATGACTTAAAAAAGCGTCACTCAATGGCTTTGACACATCCGTGTTTCAAGCAAGGGAGTTCGTACATGAGCCTGCTAAACTACTCTACCATTACAATTTTGGTGATGTGAATGGCATAAAATCTTCACAAGCTATCGGATGAATGAGCGTCTATCTAACATAACATATAAGTTACGGGTTTCTATTGGGCCGTTCATATCTCCATCCTTTCTCAGGTTAGCCTGTGGTGAACGATTCGGCTCCTTCCTTGCAACATGGAGATAAAAGACCTTGTTTGTTTTATTCTAAGCCGTGAGTCATAGTAACAGTCTGTCACTGTTGCGGCTGCAATCTAAATCAAATCTAAATTTATCTTATTTGTAGCAGAATCTTTAGGGCATCAATCTCTCCTCTTCGCTCATCCTTCGACTCTCAGTAGTCCGGACATTCAACAAAGAATGAATTGGCGGCGTCATTCTGGGGTCGTACATTCCCGTTGCTGATCCTGTGCTCATATGGAGACTTCCGGTTAGATCGCTCTACCCTCGCATCACGATAGCTTCTTATTCTTCAGGGCCGAAGATCATTAGTGTACATACTACCTGTCAAAGTCCCTTTAACGTCATAGTGGGTTTCGGCCAAATTTATCCAGGTTCGCAGGTTCGCAGGAGCTTTTCAAGATCCAATTAGGATCTCCAAATCTTAGCGTCTCAAACTAGACAGATCCACGACTGGGAATCTCTGCCATACCCATACATACGGTGGATATGGATAACATATATACGGTGCCATATTTGGACTGTTGTCGCACAAGAACATAAAATTTAAAATTGTGTTTGTACACGGTGAGTGCTATAAATCAAATTATTTTAATAATAAAACTTACCTACTCCATTTCTGTTGTCCAATATGAGCCCCGTATACTCTGTACGGCATGGATGTGGTACAGCATATGAGCAAAGTTCGTACCATACCTTAGGATCTTTTTCTATATGGCTGACCCATAACTCGTATAGCCGTAATGGTGTAAGGTACGGTAGACCTGAATACATTGTCTTTACATGAATCTGAATCTGACGAACCTACCAAGTTCACCATATTCAACGATCTCATCGAATCTTAACAGTTATGCAGCATTCTGCATTTCATGTTTGTGAGGTAATTCCCGAACAAAGGGAAGGCGGAATCGAAATAATGCATATGAATACATATTCGTATTCAATGGCCTTCCCCAAGCCTCTCCGACCGATTTTTGCGGTAGCGCTTCCTTGCGATAAATCAATCACAAGAATAATGTATTCTACTACCTCTAAATGGATTAGCAGCGCTGGAAGTGGACTTTGGGGTTGGAATTAACGTATCTGTGTCTCCATACGACACTCCTACTATGTCAAATACAAAGGTACTCAGTATTTAAATCTCCAAGTATCCGGTGAACTGTTCTACAGAAGCCCAGTTTTCCGACATGGGAACCACTCCACCCAAAGACCAGCTGTCTGTATGTACACATCCCTAGTTATCAACGTCGATGCTATAGTACTGACACACTGCATTTCAAATGCTAGCCAAAACCCGACCATGACTCTCGATTTTGGGCGGTACTAATCGGTATCGACGGATATTTGGATACTCCTCAATTATCCGGATGTGTTGCCGATGCGAATGCAATGAAGGAATACTTGAAGGGGACCCTACACGTCCCGAACAATCACATCGAGTGCCTTCTCCGTCCCCAAGATGGCGAATGCATCGGCAAGGATCCCACCCGCGAGAATATCATTAACACCCTTCTCGCTTTATCTACGCTTAAGGAAAAGGAAAAGGAAATCAGCAATATTATCATCTACTTTGCCGGACACGGTTCAATCTACCTTAACTCAGATTATTACGACGAGGGGACCATCCAATACTATGGTTCCAGTCTGGCTCTATGCCCCTCTGACCGCGGCACACCCGATAATAATGGCAACGGGACCATCCACGACATTGGCGACCGGTTGATAAACGACATTCTCTCCGAAATCTCTGAAGATGTTCATATCACCGTCATTCTCGACTGCTGTCATTCCTCAGGTATCACACAAGGAATACCTGGTGCCATCGAGCCCGGAGAAGAGAAGCGTAAAGCACCCCTCTCCGGGGATACAAACGGTAATCCATCCTTCGAGTCTAACCCCAGAAATGAGCTTACATCGCCATATGTAGGACAGCGCCATACCACCCGGCTGCAGTCTACACTTGAAGCTATGTTCCAATTCGACAAGGGAGGCCCCAAATGTGGGGATTTTCAGAACCGCATATCTGACAACTGGGTTCCTAAAATGGGGTCTCATGTCCTTTTGGCGGCATGTCAAGGGTATCAGCAGGCGAAGGAGATAAAGAAGGAGGACGTTTCCAGGGGGGTTTTCACGAAGGCACTCATTGAGGTTCTCGAGTCAAAGGAATGGAAAGAAAAAGAATTGAAAGGAAAGACGTATGATGCCCTCATTGGTCAGTTGAATGACCACAAGTTGAAGGACGAGAAACAGACGTCAATCGCCATTGGGGAACGTAAGAACACACAACTTTGGTCCCAGGTACGACAGTACTTCTTTTATTCTGTGATCTTACGAGTCTGACATACATACAGGAGGAGCCGCCTAAAGACAGCTGAAGGATAGCTGTCTTGACGCCGAGAATTCAGAAGGATTTTGACGACGGATCCGGCGTTCAACACAACGGAAATCCGCTCTAGTTTCAATATAGTATGATAGAAGATGTACGAAGAGGTAAACATAGCCATCTATGATTCTGTAAAGTAAGAGGGGCCCAAATGCAAGGCAAACAATTCCTATCATAGGTGAAACGGGTAAAACTTGAACATCAAGTTACTACGATAAAATGCACTTCACATACTGACAACAGAGAGACGGACTATCACCGTTATTTTCCCACCGTACACTTCGGTGCATTGTATCACAATGCTCGCCTTCTCCGATGGGCGCGAAAAGCAGCGATAGAATCTATTTTCTAAGTTCGCAAAATCTGACTATATGCACTATTAGACGGCCAGGGACACACGTACCGTCACTTCTTTCAGGGAGTATCGACATGAGGATAACAGCGCACCTACGCTATCGTCTAAATGGTGTTCTTGCGATATTTTTCCCATTATCGACGAAACCTTCGCCGTTCCATCCCAATTCTACCCTTTCTTCTCATATGACACCAGCCGCTACCGTGGGAGGGGATCTACGTCGGAATTGCAAGATATGGGCTGAATTCGTCTTGTTGCGGTTGAGCTTTTTTAAAACTGGACGGTTGAGTTGCAGCAAAAGATTCCTAGTCGAACCCTGACACGGGAAATCTTGGGTTGATATTTGAGAGGCACTCATGAGCTCTGCTGTGAGTTAAACGACGTGAACTGGAATGTGCAGGGACTCGTCGCGACTGCAAGCCTGGAAGTAAGCAAAGATGCGATGATAGAGCTCGATCGGAGGAGGGATTGGTGTCTGCCGCAGAGCATAACGACCGTCGAGGATTGGTGTGACACCGCCTTGGTAGTCGAGATAGTTGGTTGATTTAGCGCATTTGGATGGAGCCATGATATGGGCGTAATAGCGTGCAAAAAATCCGATGAACGCAAGTTAGGTTTTTCCCAGTCACAGGTTACTTTTAAGTGCGCAAGTTCACGCCCGCACCGCAAGTTAAGTGTTTTCCTATAGTGATATACTCATCAGCATCAGTTGTTACCATAGATCTCTGAATAAGATCTGGGGAGTGGGTTTGGAGCGGGACGAGGTGGCTCCTGAACCGGCCGACATTATTTCGGTGCTTGACACCAGTCATTCAGCTATTGCCATACTAATGGCCCAAATTCGTCTAGCGTATTCATCTTTACCTACTTCCCCATCGCTTATTCAATGATGAATTCAGATTACATGTCCCTTCGGTGTTTGATCTCTGGATTCAAAGTTGCTCAGTCTGGACAGTCCACTGACTCCCTTATAGATCTGAATGCTCGGAGTACTGCAAGACAGCGATAGATCGAGCTCAATTGGGCGTACTGAGAACGACATTTTAGAGAGTTCAAGGGTTCACCACATGGCCTGCTGAACGGCGTAGGTACCATATTCCTTCCCAGAATGTTAGTTTTCATATGGTTCATAACCAATGTCAGGTGTCCGGACGACTGGACAGAAATTTGTATATCACAGCCCAGGCCTTACTTATTCTAAAGCTATAACCAATAGCAAACTTGCGAAAAAAAATTACTAACTTGCGGAACAATACAAGCGAACTTGGTGGCTAATAACCAACTTGCGACCGGAAAAATGCAACTTGTGCCTACGTGAATTTTTGCATGATATTACGCCCATACCATGACACCACATTTTTGAAGACGATGTCGAGCTTTGCATGTGCAGAATTAATCAGATCATGTTTCAGGATAGTGAAGACCGACGCACTTTTACCCAGCACCTCAAGGACATCATGTTGCTCTGCAAGCTTGCCTTGCGCAATGTCGTTGTTCGTTCCATAGGAGTAATGTCAGCAACAATGGCAGTCATTATTGCCTGATGATGGTTATCACTCGTGAGCAACGCATCGTGGACTAATTCTGTGTCTATTATTTCGTCACAGAATCCATCCAGTCGACAATTGTTATCCAGCAGACGGCCCCGCAGGTCAGCGGACCCTACACGAATCGGATTTAGGTGCTCACGTGGCTTTTGGAGCATGAAAAAATAGGAACGATCACAGCAGAGATGACGGTACCTTCCACAGGAATATACTCTCCTCAGAGATCTGCTTTTCGGCAGCCAATGTTTCCTTTACATGAGCACACAAAGCATCATCCACGACTTCTACAGAGATAGTGCCTTCAGGGACACAGTTGTCCTTGTACGAATAAATGGAGATCTGTACTGGCATGAGCGTCACACCGGGAATATAGAAATTTAAACTCGTTTTATTGTTATGTAGATACATGAGATTTAGAAACAATAAATTTGTTTCCTTAAACTATATATACTATCAAAGGTTCAAGGAGAGCCTAAATTAGACCCGCAACAGAAGGTTTAACACCTGCTTTCGGGACGCTCGGAAACATACGTGTAAAATAGCCCAAGACTTTTGCCGAAATCACTCATTCAGGATCACATTTCAGGGGCAGCGAAACCCTATCATATAGATGATGTCAGAATTGGCACCAAAAGCAATAACTCTGACCCGGATTTCAGGTGCTCGGAAAACAATGGTAGCAAAGAAGATTTTTGCAAATGGTAAATATGCCCTGAAATCTTAAATTTAGGTGTACTTTAAATGCAGCCTATGCTCAGAATAAGCTGGATATCGGCTGAGCTTATGTCCAGCCCCCCGCTGTGTCCGATGGCGGAAATGAAATACAGGTTACATTGTTATAACTATATTATAATATTATAATGCGCCAGCGTACTCTAATCTTGCCAATGATATTAGTCCTACGACAGGCGAGTGAGTCTCATGGAAATAGTGAGATGAGAAAGCCTACCCTGCACAGATCAATGATAATGGCACGTTCATGTGAGAACTCGTACCGAGCAACATGCGACCGAATTTGACTCGGATGTATCGAATCCAAAGGGCCATCTACCATTTTTGAAGAATATGTTGTAGCAGGAAAGTCCACATAGCGCTTGAAGGGATCAAATTTGGTGACAGGAAGAGGCGCTTGATGCTTGATTGTGAATAAGACTTGTCCACTTTCCGTTTTGATCTCTTGAATGGATCCCACCACAAGATCTTGTGGCTTCGTTGTAGGGTAATATGCAACAAGGCTTCCCCCGAGATGTGTTGATTGGTGGGAAAATGTAACTCCGCGATAAGTATAGTAGGCATGCGATAATTGTCTCACCGATGGGGGATCAGCAGTGAACGTTGTTTCTTGTTGGTTCTTTGGAGGCAAAGCTTTGTCAAAAAGAATCTTGAACTGCCATATCAACTGAGGACAATTAGGCCTATTGAGGTGGCGGCGAAGATTAGCACCCCTCAGGAATGACTGCAGGATTGTCTTTTCCAAGTCACCTAATTTAATCTGAGATCGATCTTTAAGCAAGAGAAAGGAATCACGTACCACCGACATGGTTATTTGTATGCGTCTTCTGCAGGGTCCCGATCAGCCGCTCAAAGGGAAAACACCACCAAGACATGACAGGTCCAAATGCGAGGATAAAATCGTACAGATGGAAGGCCACGTGAATGTTTGGTCTCTTGTGATGATTCTTTGTATGTGGGTGAACTGAATATAGGCCATCAACCCAATGTTTCAGCATTGTCCTGTATGTTGTTGCTCGGCCAAGGTTCATTGTGTAGCGACAGACAATAGTCACGGCTTGAAAGAGCGCCATGGTATGGTCCAGAACTTCGAGAGATCTAGAACCCTCTGCCAGTGAATGACCATCGTCGTCACCCCATAGTGTAACGAGAGCGATAGGAAGGTAAATGGTGCTCAGCGTACGCCATTCATCTGCCTTGATGGTACCTGCCAATGCGACTCCATAATTAGCGGGGACAGAATTGATCCATGATGGAGTCGCAGTATCCTTGATGACTGCTTGGATGTGCTCAATGGTTGCCTTATCAACAGATCGTACATTGTGGATTTCGCCCAATGTCATGCATTGTTTAAGACGCTAATGTTGAGATCAGCAACACAGAATTAGGGACAAGATATTTTAAAATGCACCCATTCGATGAGTAAATCTATGAGATCATCTTTTGCTGATACCTCAACTTGCTTCCAAGAGCCCTTAACTTTCTTTCTGTATGTCCTTGGTAAGTTGAGTGTGCGACAGACAAATTTGAGGGGTGAAGCATTCTTCTGTTTCAACTTTGCACCTAGCTGTTCGACCATAATGTCTACAGTGTCTCTGTCTTCAAGCGGCAGTCCGTCTCCTAGTGGAAGTTCCAACATCCTGTGGATGTGGCCAATATGAGAGATTTCCTTATCATGCTTCATGGGGCATTGCAGATCGGTGGTTGTGTCCAAAGAATACTTGATCCAGGGGTAATCGAAAGTGGGGACCATTTTTCTCGCTTTACCCACCTTGTTAATATCAATTTCCAAAACATGAAGGCAATGATAATGAACAAGACCCTCCAAGACACAGTGCATACTGTCGATAACAAGCATTTGAGTAGAATCCCAATACGGCAATCTCCACAGCTCAGACCAGCATACACCATGATCCTTGAACAGCTTTTCTCGCTCTGTTGATGTCAAAGCATCCCTCCATGCCTCGGCACAATGCTGCATTTCATGAGCATCTCTATGACACCATTTGTGGAAACAGGTATCGTACATGGTCGAGATGCCATATCCTTCACAGACTGTACAATACCAGTGTGATGCATGGCTGGCAGTACCTGATACTTTGTGAGCCGCAAGCAAATCATTCACAGACAAGATAACAGCAAGTTCAACATCACGACCGTCTGGTCTGGAAGCTGTTTGAGAGATGTGAATGCCACATTCCCATGCAATCTTGCAGATGTCGATCAATGGCCGGATGAAGTTGGAGATGGTATCAACATCAGGCTCATCAGGACCAGCTATGATACCAGCCAGAAAGATATGTTCGGGACGATAATGAATCTCTTCTGGAAGGTTCAGATTGGCCATCGAGATAAGCCCGATCGAGTCATGGTTTCCCCATTTCCTTGTTCTGTTAGGATTGAAGAAGTCCACTTGCAGTGCAAAAGCCAGGTGGACTTTATCACCTCGATCAATGAAAAGCCTCTGACCATCAGGGCCTTTGAAGTGGCGCATGAACTCAGCCTGAAAAACATTTGTAATGTTTCGATTCAGGTCGGAAGGCTGCTGAAGTGAGTGTAGAGCTTGGTCGCAAGCCGCATCGCACAAGTTTTCTAGCTGGGAGTCAGCAAGAGTACGCGCAATATAATCCTCCAATGAGGCCATTAGGAACAGCTTCCTCGGTTTACCATCACTTTTCAGCAGACCCGCATGGCAAGAGGAACGTCCCGACGATCCAGGGATCATGTTCTGGCAATGAGTCAGATAGGAGGGATGGGATGAAAGAGTAGTGGTATATGTTGGTTTGTAGCAGCTGTTACAGTCTGGACATACAGCATACATCATGGTACAGCCATCGATATTCATTGCCTTCAAAGCAGTATAAAGGCTAGATGGCATTTGGTTCAGAATAGTGTCTTGATTTGTGTCAAGGATAGAATTACCATCGGAATCCTTGTTAGTCAGGTTCATTGCCATCGCTCCTGACACAAGCAAGAGCATCGTCTGAATAGCGAGATTACAAAATCCTTCTGCAAAACCCCCAATGACATGGCATATGACACCAAACAGCATTACAAGCTGCACACACCTGTAAGGTAGAGGCCATCCATTTCCATCACGTGTTATGTAAGCAGATTTCCTTGACTTTTCGACCTGCATCTCTTCCACCACGTCGGGGTACTGACTGAAAATACTGCCAGAGGATGATGAAGAGATGTATATAGAACATTTCCCTGAAGCTACTTTCTTAATATATATATTAATGATAGAGCAGTAACAAATTTAAGATAAAAAATTTCAGGGCATTTTCTGAATGTTCCCAAGTCATTTTCCGGCCATTTGGAGTCATCTCGAAAAAATGATGTCGAAGAATTTGTCCAGTCACGTGATCACGTAAGCTACCTGTTCGACGCGCCGCGAGCTCATTTTTCGCAGTCATTTTGGTCTCTAATTGCTACAAAACGATGCCTATGAAGTCAAAAGCAACGAGAGCACGAATTTTGAACCTCCGTGGGGCCGCTGCCCAGTCTCGTTCCGTCAGAATTCAAGATGTCCTTGAAGAACTTGGAGAAGCTGATGTGATGCATGCCAAGGACATTCACCACTGCGATAGCAATCACTCCCAGCATTCACATGCACCAGAAGATGGCGCATTGACATGGTCTTTTGATCTCGGAGATCAGCTGCCAGATTTCGAGGTGGATGAGGAAACTGGCAGTGATGAGTTCATAGAAATTGACGAGATTCAGACAGAGGAGGAGCTCGGGAGTTGGACAGTTTTCCTGGAAAAGGCACAAGAGGCAGTGAGAGAGGAAGAGAGGGAGAGAGAGAACAGCCGGAAAAGAAGAACACCATCTTGTGAATGTAACTTCATAGAGATGTACTGGGGTGCAGCCAAGTACCACTACCGCAGTTCTCCTCGGACAACCAACATCGATGAAATGGAGAAAAACATGATAGCATGCCTTGATGATGTTCCGCACTTACAGATCATTCGGTGAGTGGGTTCTATTTATATATATATTGATCTCTATGCTAAATCTCATAAATAGCTATGCCAATCGCTCTGCCCGTTTCATTTCAGCATATTATTATGGACTTAGTGGTGTGGATGCAGTTTGGGCTGCCAGAAAGTATGCTGGACATAGGATTCTCCCTCTGGACATACTTGCAGATATAAGGGAGTTTGTTGAGAGTCGGGAACGGTCTCAAAGGGAGCGAGAGGCAGCGAGAAAGTAATATATTTCCTATTAATGAAGACGTGTCCTATTCAAGCTCACGATTTTGTCCTCACGTGATCTGCTGACAAATGCTTACATAACACGTGATGGAAATGGATGGCCTCTACCTTAGCTGCTACTTTGATGCATCAAACACTGTTAGTTGACAGTTAATTGTGATACATCAGGAGTGTCAGTTTACATCCAGCCCATATACAGTAATTCCATCAGAATGACAAAGTGGCTTAGTAAGCTTCTCAATCTGTGTCAATGATGGCATCATTAGAAAAGAGGGCAATTCTGGGAATTGAACCCGGGACCTCAAAAATAAATCCAATAATGTCACATGACTTTCTCGAGCAGACATGCTAACCACTACACCATACTGGCATTACATATATATCTTTTCATCTCTATATATACCCTCCCTCCCTTAACATTTATGACCTCATATTGATGCCCTCCCTTTGCTCCGCTCTGGTGCGCTCTTTTGCCTTTTTAGGCTCCCCAAATCAGCCCATCAATTTGGCTGGATCCAGTGGCAGTGCCGCATTTTTAATACCCAAAATAGGGGCTATTTTCCGGTCAAAATAGCTATTGGGCTATTCTCAGGCTACTGGCTGGGCCAGGGGATGGCACTATAATCTGTATAGACATAAACAACATAAAATAGAGCCCTCTAATGATGCATAGGAGCCCTGGATAGTGGGATAAAAGGGTAATATAATGAAAATCGCATAAATATTCGCTTTTGGGGGCTGCTGCATGCATTGGATCGGCTGGAGGACTTCACCAATCAATTCCCTGACCTTGAAAACACCCAAACGACCCCTCCACAGTACTTTTGGCACACTTTATTCCTGGAGATAAACGAAAATATTCGCTTTTTAGGGTGCAGCATGCTCCAGATCGCTTTGAAAACATTACCAGTCGATTCCTATGCTATAAAAAACCCTATAATACATCCTCCTTCGTAATATAGGTCCAGTATAATACAGTATAAAAGGGGGTATTAGGGGGCATACATCGCTTATTTTGTTTTTCGCACTTCGGATGGCCTGGGGAGCATCACCAATGGATTCCCTGATATTAAAAACCCCAAAAAGACTCCAGCCTTTATTTATAGGGTCTCAAAAACGACAGAAATAATGATATTACAGTTTAGGAGGAGCACATGTAATAAATCCTATTTCTGGGCTTCGGACCACTTCGGAGTTTTGTCTATTGTGTTTATTGACCTGAATAACACTCAAATGACCCCACAGGACAAAGGAAACCATCAGAAATACGTGATAAAAAGAGTAATAGGGGGATGGAGGAGACATACCTTATATTTCGCATTTCTAATAGTTAGGGAGGGTATTCTTGTTATATAACAGGCTATATATATTGTACAATGGTGTGTATGAAGCCCCATGGATATCTGAAATGTATTGAATGAGATATGAGCAGATCATTCTGTAAAACAGGGGGAGCACATCCCATATTTCGATGTTCTGCTCATTCTATGGCCTGGGGACTATCAGAATCGGATTCCTTGACCCAAAAAACAGTAGGGCCACCTATCATCCATGGTATTCAGATGTTCAAACTCCGAAGTACAAGATGTTCTCTCATTTGTTACTTATATTGTCCTGTAGCTACATATGGCTGTATGTGTTATCTGGGTAAAATGGCTCCTATGGATGATAGGTGGCCCTACTGTTTTTTGGGTCAAGGAATCCGATTCTGATAGTCCCCAGGCCATAGAATGAGCAGAACATCGAAATATGGGATGTGCTCCCCCTGTTTTACAGAATGATCTGCTCATATCTCATTCAATACATTTCAGATATCCATGGGGCTTCATACACACCATTGTACAATATATATAGCCTGTTATATAACAAGAATACCCTCCCTAACTATTAGAAATGCGAAATATAAGGTATGTCTCCTCCATCCCCCTATTACTCTTTTTATCACGTATTTCTGATGGTTTCCTTTGTCCTGTGGGGTCATTTGAGTGTTATTCAGGTCAATAAACACAATAGACAAAACTCCGAAGTGGTCCGAAGCCCAGAAATAGGATTTATTACATGTGCTCCTCCTAAACTGTAATATCATTATTTCTGTCGTTTTTGAGACCCTATAAATAAAGGCTGGAGTCTTTTTGGGGTTTTTAATATCAGGGAATCCATTGGTGATGCTCCCCAGGCCATCCGAAGTGCGAAAAACAAAATAAGCGATGTATGCCCCCTAATACCCCCTTTTATACTGTATTATACTGGACCTATATTACGAAGGAGGATGTATTATAGGGTTTTTTATAGCATAGGAATCGACTGGTAATGTTTTCAAAGCGATCTGGAGCATGCTGCACCCTAAAAAGCGAATATTTTCGTTTATCTCCAGGAATAAAGTGTGCCAAAAGTACTGTGGAGGGGTCGTTTGGGTGTTTTCAAGGTCAGGGAATTGATTGGTGAAGTCCTCCAGCCGATCCAATGCATGCAGCAGCCCCCAAAAGCGAATATTTATGCGATTTTCATTATATTACCCTTTTATCCCACTATCCAGGGCTCCTATGCATCATTAGAGGGCTCTATTTTATGTTGTTTATGTCTATACAGATTATAGTGCCATCCCCTGGCCCAGCCAGTAGCCTGAGAATAGCCCAATAGCTATTTTGACCGGAAAATAGCCCCTATTTTGGGTATTAAAAATGCGGCACTGCCACTGGATCCAGCCAAATTGATGGGCTGATTTGGGGAGCCTAAAAAGGCAAAAGAGCGCACCAGAGCGGAGCAAAGGGAGGGCATCAATATGAGGTCATAAATGTTAAGGGAGGGAGGGTATATATAGAGATGAAAAGATATATATGTAATGCCAGTATGGTGTAGTGGTTAGCATGTCTGCTCGAGAAAGTCATGTGACATTATTGGATTTATTTTTGAGGTCCCGGGTTCAATTCCCAGAATTGCCCTCTTTTCTAATGATGCCATCATTGACACAGATTGAGAAGCTTACTAAGCCACTTTGTCATTCTGATGGAATTACTGTATATGGGCTGGATGTAAACTGACACTCCTGATGTATCACAATTAACTGTCAACTAACACCTTTCAAACAGAAATCTAGCAGACCAGGCTGCTGCACAAGTCCACGTACCTTTTCCAAGGGGTGCACAAATACATAACCTTTGACGGGTTTAGTTTGAACAGTAAAGAAAAGTAACGAGACAGCTCACCGGCATCATACTCCAGCGGTTTCACAGGTGTTTCAACCTCAGGAAGATGTGCATCGTATATTTGAAGAATGTTGTCTATCTGCCGGAGTACGTTAACAACATCGGCTTTCCGGCCATGCAAAACATTCTTGTGTCCATATTTAACTCGAGAGAGGGATTCGCATAAATTTTTTAGATTGAGATCCACTGCTTTCAGCTGCTCCCTCCTATCAGAGACCTGGCTAGTATCCTGGGTATCCACCTCATGCCATGAGCGAAGTCTATCGAGAAGAAGCTTAGCCTCATCCTCGATGCACTCAATGATATTCTCTGCATGAGTGAGAGGTGCTGGGGTTGGGTGACGGGCCGCCAACGCGGCTGAACATGGTATCGCTTGTCTTTGCCATGTCCTAGGCGAGCGCAATGGATGTGCCATAGGTTTTGAAGTAGGATTGGCGGGAGAAGAGTTGGAACATGTTTGTAGCGGGTTCAAAGCCTCGTTCGCAACAGCGGAAATGCTATTTTGAGTGTCGTTGATAGATACCTTTTTAAATTTACTAGGTATATCTCCTTCGTGAGATGACTGGAACTCGCGCCGTGACGACCAGAGCTTGCTCGACTGATCTCTCGCATTAGGACCCTCATCAGTCAGAGTAAGGGCGACCAGCCTATCAGCCAGCCCATGCTCTTCGGGGACATCACTTGACATTCCAAGAGGTACCATGTGGACAACTTCATCGGAGGCAGTCTGAACAGAGAGTATTATTAAGATAGTGTTCAAAGTACATAAATGCGAGGGCAATCTTACACGAGAATTCCCGCTGGCCATGTTCGACACTTGTTCACGATTGGCAGACCCATCTCTGCCGTTCTGTATATGCAATGTCAGTTCATGAGTTACGATGAGAAAGGAGAACGAATACCCTCTTCAAAATCTTTAACTCGAGCAGGTGAGCCACCAATTTTTGTTTGGACTCAAGCTCATGCCCATCAGGAAAAAGAAGACATGTACAAGACGGCATAATGACAAGCAGAATGCCCATGGTGTTATATTCGACATGCAACACCAAGTAGAACACCGAAAATTGCGTGAAGAATAGATCTCAGAGTATGACGCTGAATAGAGCACCGGGCTAGGTGAAGCACCAAAAGTAAAGTGAAAGCGTCTACTATACTCAGCGTACTATGCTGAGTAGAGATGTAGGAAGGAAATGGGTTTGGAAAGAAAGAGTGTTGGACCATGCATCACATTTAAGAGGAAGAAGAACAATAAGGCTGACGACATAATCAGCCTATAGCACAATAGTCTTTATTCACCTGCATACCACATGGGAAAACAAAAGGCAACTGTAGAAGGGGCAGAGAAAGAGATATGTCCTGAAATAATGACCTTTCATTCATCTGCATACCACGCTGATGAATGAAGCTAAGAACCGACATGCGTTGGCAATTGAAATTCGATGCCGATTCAAGGTCACATGATTTGTGCCGGCTATCTAGTAGCACATCATTTAGCTTACACTGTATATCCCAGATTACCTGTCAGACAGGAATGCAGTTAACACATATAATTATTGTACAATGAATGTAAAGTACTTGTATTTATATTGATATTTACCATGTAATAATAGAGTTCAAAAACAAACCGGTGATATGCCTGGTATCAGGCTACCCATAGATTTTGCGATTTTACATCAGTTTATGCAATCTACAAGCGGTACAGAGAGCTACAGTGGAGGCTTCGTGCTGGTAGCTAAATACTACATAAAGAATGAAAGCACGGCAGTACAGAATGGACTTAGAAACGACGTCTCGAAGAGTCAATTCTACCAGCCATCAACACGCCAAGCTAAGCCCCACCTAAACAAGACTATTACAGTCAAATCTCGGGGACTCGTCTGTATGAAGTATAAAAACCAAGAAGTTGAAGAATGGAATGAACTAGATGCCTCGTCACCTCGACGAGTAGAAAGAACCTGTCAAGAAAAATTGCTAAGTTGAGAAACAGATCAGCTTTCGAGATCAACTCAGGCTAGGAAAGGAATAACCTTGGAAGAATGAATAGCCACGTTGGGTACTGAGATGACCGACCTTGATCATGCAGTGATCAACAGAATATAATCTCAGACCTGCAGTCGATCGCGATCGGTGGTTACATCCTCGAGATCCTGCACATACCGCAGTATTCCATACATACGGTGTGCGGCAAGCCTTGCAGACGGAAGAAGGAGCACCCACGGACTAGTAGGGCACTCCTCGGCGACAGAATAACCCGGCGCAGTCGCGTCGAACTGAATAGAAACTACGGAATGGCGCGATACTTGTAGGATAGTGACTCACCATTTGTATTAATTCCAAAGCTCGTACCATAATTACTGTAGATATGGGCTCCTATACCTAGAACACAAATCGTATAAATTAGCAGCGACTAGACGCATAACGGCAGGAAAGCATTCCCCCCGCGTTTGTGCTAGTAGCCTGTATAGCTACCTAATCAATCACTGGTTTTATTGCATATCCTTGACTGAAGTGAATTAAGTTACCAAAGTCAACCCATAAGGGCAACTACAGTAATCTAGAAGAGTTAAGTAGGAAGTAGAGCCATCCCCACGTTTGCGCCTTGCTAGTTAATTGAACTGCTCTGCAGACAAAGGCCTCGTGTTCTCTCTCTCCGAGATTAGCAATCTAGACGTGCTGAGTCGACTTTAAGTCAAAAGACCTCATCTAGTTGAAGTAAAATAAGCCCTAGAACACTTTAAGTTCGAACAATCGTCGAGTTCAAGGAACTCCAGAGTCTGTGTACTCTTTGCAAGTCTTGTACTTGAAGTCAGAACCTGAGCGTTCTTTGTAGAGTGATTTTGCACTCTTTGTAGACCTCGGAGTCTTTGGTTGTTTGATTATTTGAAGTGTCCGCTAGAAGCTCTTCTAGACGACGTTGAAACGAGCATAACTTGCTTGACTATACCTTACAAAAACAAGTTCATAAAACCCCGCTATCGCAGACTAGTGTACTTTGTGTAAAACACATCGAAAGAAGAATTGAAGTTGTTTTCAGACAAAACCCCACTAGATTATCTAAATCTAAGTACATCGCGAGTGCTTCTATCGTACTCACCCTCGAACTTATATACATTGGTGATTGTGTGTGTGTGTGTGATTTAGTATCTAGATTGATGATCTAGACGCTTGTTTCATTTGCGCGCTGCCTGTTACCGAGCACATCACCGGCCAGCTTCTCGTTGGTTTCAGCAACCCTCTGAGAGCGCTTCAAGAAGCATAGAGAGTGCCTCCATTGATTGGTACTCCTTAGTACTGCACTTTCAGACATGTTCTCTTGGAGGCGCTTCTGATACCAGGACTCGCAGTCAGAAGTCCAGAATCCAACGTTCAATCCTGAGGTCGCCCAAGCCGCAGGTTTGGGAAACCACGACAACATTGTCTGTTGGTGATCATTGCCATCCCGATGCCCTTGTAATCGATATCAGTAATGATTTGCAGAGCTGATAAGAAAATGGAGAGTAAACTCACCCGTTTCTACCATATAGACACCGCAGAGGAGATTGATCTCATCATCGGTCAATTGATCATCCCAGTAAGAAGCACCAGATTCGCTGTCTTTCACAAAGCACACTCCTGATGAATATACATCATGTGAAGGTCTCATATACACTTCGTCATCCGGAATATAGTCCCTTGCAATCTGCGCAAGAATGCCCCCTGCCAGCAAAGCAGCTTGGCCCCTTTGAGAACACAGAAACCCTTTGCAGAGAGACTGGTACGTTGCAAAATCAAGAGGATTGGGTTTGTAGTTGACATGTCGATAGCCAAGGCGACTAAAACATGGCAAGACTTTCGGAGTTGACAATCGCTCACGAGAACTGCAAATTGCTGCATTGAAAGGTATACACCTCTCTAGCAGTTTTTTAGCAATGTCATTGAAGTCTGGACCCCACTTTCGGTGAAGGATTTCAAGGACAGAAGCTGCACTTGTCAAAAGAATTATGAAGTCTGCCTGTCCGTCCTCTTGGTGAGGTGACAGGATGTACCAAGTCTCTCCATTCAGTGGCTCCCGGCTGATTTGGAATCCAGGTGGGAAATGTACATCAGCATCCGGCTGTCGAATGTCATAGAAAGTGGCAGGCACATCTTCAATGGTATGGGCAAGCTGCAAGTAGCCAAAAAAATGGCATAGGTCTTCTCGCTGGCCTTGAGTTATCGAGGCATCCTGTAGAAGGCCCATATATTTGCATACATGATGCATCTCCGGAGTGCTAGATGGACTAGCCACTGGAAAGCTTGGAGCCACGAACCCAAACCGATAGTATACCAAATCGTCGAGGGCATCTCGACTTCCTGTGATCTCATCTGTGCTCGCTTCTGCTTGGCTTTCTGTTGTGGGCATGTCATCGGTAATACTATGAACACGCATAAGATCAGCACTGGAGGAATAAATTCCTTCATTATGGTTGTCGTCGTTGTCGTCGTCATCATAAAGTGGCACATAAACATCTTCATCACCCTCGTCGTCGTTGTCGCTCATATATGTTGGTTCATCATCAGGCTGCAGCTCTTCACATAAATCCCATTCATCATGGAAGGAGTCATATTGGTGCTGCTTGGGCCCATACCTATTCCAATGCCACTCATAGCTTTTGCGGCCAGCAGCACGGCGAATCAGAGTCCCCTTGACATCATCCCAATAGAAAACCCTGGTGCCTTTTCTCCCAGGAATACGACCTCTGGTTGCATTATCTATGCACTGTTGTCGTTGTTGACGTGCCTCCACAGTTTCCTTCTCTGTGCGCTTAGCATTCTCTGCAGCTCGTCGAATGAAAAAAGATCTCCAATCTTCATCCTGGAGTTGGCCGCTATATCTTTCTACCGGTGGAAAGGTTCGGGACACTGGAGTGCGAGTCAGAGAAGAGGAAACATGCGGGTTAGGATGCAAGTCTCGGGCTGGTGAAGAAGGTTCCGAAGCAACTGTGTCATGTGTGGACTGACACTTTGATCGTAGACCTTTGATTTTGCCAATGGTTGGTACCTCGAGGGGGCGCAAGTAATCTGGAACATGAACAGGTAGTTTGGGGCCCCAATTGATGTAAATTGGTATATCAGGGAATATGTGAATGATATCAGGAAGAAAAATGAGAAATTCAGAGGTAGCATAGTGCACGACACCGCCGACTCTAGGCACAAGCGCATCTAATACAACGGAATCCTCGATATCCGCTAGCCACTGCGGGTGAATTTTGGCCCTTTGCAACACTTTCTCCCTCCATTCAAACTGTGTTTTGACTTCTCTTGCCACCGCATAAGAACAATGGTGAAGGACAGCGCTGCTATCAAGGGTATGAATGTGTCTCGTGATTTTAAAGTAGAAATCTTTGCCAATCTTCTGCTTTTATGCTTGCGCTGATACCCAAAGCGTTTGGGATAAGACCAAGGTTGCCACAGCTGCGGCAAGGGCGCGTTGCTGAAATGAAGCATTGCAGACAGCAATGCTCGCATATTTCCTTCAAGAGTAATCCATTCATTCATGACCCCCAATTTCAGGGACCAGAATTTGGCTATGGATTCTTCCTGAACCTCTTCGTAACCTTCCACCGGTAGGAATTTCTCGTCCAATGCTAGTCTCTCAAATAGAGGCCCGTAAAAGGGTTTGGATGTTGGAACCAACATCATGTGGGGCCATTCATTGGACAGTTGATGGAACCGACACATATCAGAGTACCGGGAGGTGTTTGGACTAAGGACGGATGCTTCTTGACTAGAAATGGGAGGAAACCAGTGACTAGCTGCATCCCCCATGGTAGAGTAGATGTCACCATCTACCAGCGTGACATGGTGCAGAATCCTATGAGACATAGCTTCTTTCTGAAATTTCACTCAGCCTCAATCTAAGAAAAATGCACTGAAGAGGTCCTTACCTAGGAAATGCTAACTTTTGAGACATATGCAATTGTATGCAACTGAGAGGCGGCCCATGGTGCCACACCGCAGATGTTGGCAGAGTAGACTTCACCAGCGTACTACACCGATGGAGCTATGAGAAGAAGGATTTTGGCAGTATCACACGCGTACTGTACACACGCAATCAACAATGAACAAGGACGATAGTTGGCGAATCCGACCAAGAGAAACGCTATTGAATAAGTTGCTTTATGTGTATAGAGTAGAGGAGATGATCAGTGAGCCACACCGATCAGCTGGAGATGAGAATACTGTCAGTGTACCACACCGAGAGTGTCCTAAGTGAACGCGAAACAAGCAAACTTCGAATGCTCTGATGGCTGCTCATGTGACAAACAGACCAGATTGCCAGGTCACATGGTGCTGAGTTCGGTCATTTCAATTTGAAGTTGCCACCACCACCACCACCCCACGATGATAGGTGTCATATGCCAATCATATAGGGCGTCTTCCTCGCGATGACAGGTGTAGCACGCCATTGTGAGTCTATGCTCAGTGTTGTACACTGTGCATATACCCCTTGATAGGCCGATCCAATAGGGTGGCCTTCGCCGTTCCTTTTGTCTCAGTTCACGATGCTGCACGCCGATATACAGACTTGTTATAAATGTCACAAATACTCAGTATCTAATCAACTTCCTCCACTGTTACCTCAGGCATATCCACTGCCTCCACCACTTTTTCCAGCAGTTCAAACGCATCCTTGGAAATACACAAATCTCCTTGCTCGTATTCATCCAGTTCTGCCAGCCATTCAGGGTCATATAGCGCCCTTGGCAGTCCTCGTGGGGCATTGACTACCTCGTTCATTCTCGGCACAGTCTCCCTATCCCTGTGCGCTGGACAGCTACCTTTGCCGGTAAACTGTGGTGAAGCCTCGTCGATATCCTTGAGGTATTTGATAACCTTCCCATTCCACCAGATGCATACTTTAACAGTATACACAGTTTCGGTGATACCCCCTACGACCTTTACAACCTCTTCCTCGGATGACATTCCATTTGTTCCTAGCATCTGAAGCATCTTCAGAAATAGTTGCCAGGTTCGTAAGTCCACGTCTCCGTTCTTCGTCTTGATATTAATCATTTTTGTTGCAGTCATTACTCGTCTATCGTGTTTCTGTGTTCATGCATCAGTATGGACTTGTATATGGAGAATACAACATACCCTAACTTTGGATGACCGCGACGCTGCTGTCTTATGAACATGATCTCCAGTTTCCACCACACACTGCACAACCTCTTCCTCAGTCTCCAGCTGAGTTGTACCAGCCTTGTATCGAGGGAGCGCTTCAGCCCACTTTGCCCGAGATCGTCGCAAGAGACCGAGCAACATCTCTTCTATGTAGCCATCGTCAACTGCAGGGAGTGTCAGTTCTTTCTTCAGTTCCTCTTGAATCATCGGAATCATTATCATGAAGATGGCTCTGTTCCACTTAGACAAAGCAAATCCATGGCTAAAATCCAAGATAAGGTCGTCCTCTGTTGGACCAGGACCTTGTTTGTCCTTGAACACTAGCATGGTTTGTTGTTCCTGGGCCTCGTAGATGATGAATTCTTCAACTGAATCTACCTTATAGAACTTGCACCACCAGCGTCGTATGAAGGTCTAAAGCATTATCAGTTACTTCACACAATTATAATGTTCTTCGAACCTGAAGCCTGTTTTTGTTTGACTTCCCCATCCTTTCCTGCTGCTCCATTCTCTCAGTCATCTTCTTCGGTGCCAACGTACGCTGACCCATCTCGAGCAACTCTTTCGAGTCACTGACTACCACTCGTTTGAGGCAAGATGCCAGATATCGGATGAGCTGATCCGGGTCTCCCAGATTAATGTTTGAGGGCATTCCTCCTGCTCCCGCTGTTGCACTTTCCTGCGTTGAAGGCTGTTCCCGCATTTCCGCTGGGAGCGGGGTCGTCGGATCAGTTACTGCTGGCTCCGCAGCTGCACCCTCCTGTGTAGTCACCGACTGTGAGGTATGCGAGGGTGGTGGATCGACTGCTGGCGACGCTTCCCTCCAAGAAGAGATGGGAACTTTTACTTGTTGATGTTGTATTTTCGTTGGCGTACGCGACGTTCCCCTGGGAGTCGAAATTTTTCTGGGAAGCGGTACGGTGTGCGGCGAGCTCTGTGTAGCAGAAAGGGCAGTGCCTGCCTGATTTCGAGGAGTGGAAGCGACTCCGCTTGTCGAACTTTGAGAAGGAGAAGCGGAAATGGCAGCCAAGCATCCTTGGAGACTGACAATCTCATTGTCTTTACTATTCTGTAGCATTGTATCGGATCATGCTAATGAAGCAAAGGGACGGAGGATTCTCACTATCGCTTTTTCCAGTTCTGCCAAACGGGCACAAGTCTTTGTATTGTCCATCTTCAAAGCTTCCAGTTCCGCAGAACGGTGGTTCATTTCTTCATGAGTCTTAGTGCTCTCTGCTTTCAATGCTTCCATTCGTGACATCTACCACTTTATTTAGATATCTGCCCTTGAAACACGAGTAAAACTTACCATCTGTGCAATGAACTCGTTTTGCTTCTCTAAGGCCTCCTTTTGTCCTTGCAACATGTTGCTGTTGATTGATTGATGCTGGTTCTAGTGATGGGATTTCAGTTCTAGCGACAAGCATCTGATCCTTGCAAAAAGCTGACTGCTTGGTTGATGATCTCTCGCTGCTGAGTCAAAAGCCTCTCATCTTTAGCTCTTTGCTTCAGTAGCTTGTCGACGTCCTTTTGCTGCTCCGCCATAGTCATCAAATGTCTGGTTCGTTCTTGTAGCTAGTCAGGGTGTGAACAACGCTCATTTATTGATCGTTAGGAATATGTACCATCACCTCTCTTTCTGAGTGTAGCAAAGAGACTTGTCGTTTCAGCTCAGCAGCCTGCGAATCATTGTCGAGACCTGCATAAATCATCCTTGGAACAGGGAAGTACTGTTGGTACTTCCTGAGCTCCTCGGACAAAGCATCTTGTTGCGCCTTCAACAGCCTTATCGTGTTGCTCTTTTCACGCTCCCGGTCTTGTGAGTAGTGAAGTGCACCAAGCATCTGCAAAAAGAATGATCAGCATTGCACCTTGATGGGCAATGTGCGGTTAACCTCATCATGGGACTGGCGATTGGGTCCTGCAACCACGTGTCTCTTTCTTTGATGTGTGTCACTCATACCCATATGATCACTGAGGACTAAATCTGTCGAAGTCGAAGCGGCACCGAGATCCAGCTCCATGTCGTACTCACGCTGTCGGCATCCCGTGTCAATCGGAACCAGAGCTGTTGAGATAGAGGATTGAGAGGAAGGATCAATATTCATCTTGGAATGTCTATGACGTACAATGTTGTAGATATGAATGAGTTATGGGTTAGCTGTGAAGTTCTGGCTTTATAGCAAATCGCGATTCCGTTCTTAGTATTATTTATTGTATCTGTTAATGTTGGAAAGCTACTCATGCTGTCTATTGTGTGCGTGTCACCTACCTAACTACTTCAATATTGGAGATGACCTAGTCCTGCCGGGAGCTAACTAGGACCAACTTCGATTGTTATATCGCATTCTCCAATTTTCCTCTGCGCCACTGCAGGACAATTAAAGCTTCCATGTTAGTTGAACAATGTGTATGTTCATCGACATTTTCAGCTTCGTAGGGTGTGCAGGGGTGCGCAGGGATGCGCAACAGATCATGTGATGATTACTGTCTATTGTCATCTTGACAACCCAATTTGCATTTCACCTTCATCCACAACCATGCCCGCTAACAAGTCGAACATCTCACTTAGAGCTGTGAAAACAAGTTTGTATGTACATTTTCTCTTCCCCCTTCATAATTTCTAATGACTCTTTGACTAGTTCCAACATACGGGCCCTTGTAGGTCCCAAGGCAGCTCCTCCTATTCCCTCACATGCAAGCCTGGATGTTGGCACGACAAGGCCATTATCTTCTTCTTTCTCCCTTCGACCCGGGGAACTCACGGATATGTCTTCTAGGTGAGTATATAAGTTACAATGTTTATATTTTTGGTACTGATAGATGCTGTAGGTCCTCAGACCGCACACCTGCCCCGTCATCCACCCTCCCCTCGTCGTTGTACGATGAGGGCCAGGTTCAAGACCCCCAGCCTCCCCCATCCCTCCCTGTTGACGACAATGAAGATATCCCTGACCTTATGGCACTACTGGAAGGCATCAATATCCAGGCTGGACCAGCCTCGGATACATGTCTCATGTTCTCGGATATGTTCAACCAAAGTGCAAATTTCCTTGATGCCGTCATGGAAGCAGCCCGGCTGGGCTGCATTGATGAGGTTTCCACTGTCGAAAATATTCAACGACTCTATCAGCACATCAGCACCACCGGAATGATTCTCAAATTCCTTATCTGTATAGCTGATCATATGGCTCACCTAGAGTCAGCTCAACAGGTTGCTCTTGAATTTGGAGTGCGAAGGAACCGACGCATGGTTCTTCAATGGCTTTCTCACATGGAAGATGAAGCTGCACACCATTAATTTGTACATATACGTAGTTTTTTTTTGAAATCTTGTTACCCATTGCTATCTGTATAATGCATTGTTGTCTTGGAACCTTTTTTTGATGAGCGTCTGAATTCCTTCGAATTCATAATGAGTTGATTTGGCAGGGCTAGAAATGCTGGCATGATTAGCTTACCCTGACTGTGTCTTGATAGTGGCGCAAAATTACTCTCATTTAACTCGGACAGAAAATGGGAGAAAAGAATTATATGATAGAATTGAAATGTCATTCAATACGTAGAATCAATTTACACAGCTAGTACATGGGACATGGGCTACATATGCTTGGAATGAGTACATATGAAAACAGCATGAACACTGTAAATTAGCAGCGGAGATAGCAGCCCAGACATCTCGGGGAATGCCAATACGAGAATTCCATTCCAGCCACGCAAGTTCCTCCGGATCCAATAAACCAAGACTGACAGCAGGTATGACACTCGAGGATAATCGGCGTCCAGGGTAATCAAGAGGTCGAACTCGGCTGACTTAGATGGTTGTCAATAAAGAAGATTCGGGAAAGTAAGAACACTTTCCTGGAATACATTTGTACCAATTACAGCATATGTTGTCAGTGTCAAGATGCGCATTGTATCCATCAATAGAGAAGACACAATGGCAAGCTGAGCATTCTCGGCTCTCACTCTGGATTTGGTGTAGCGAAGCAGGAATGAGTCCAGTTGTCGCATGAAGAAGCCTTATCCGGATGCCAATTGGTGAATCAAAAAACTGAAGATTTCCACGCTCAGCAATTGACATGTTGACTGAGCAGTAGCAGGCCATAAAAGATGGCAGAGGGTGCTGCTGCAGGGGGTGCTGTTCTGGATGGCCTACATATGCTCATGAGCCATTCATTATTAGCACAGAATGAATGGAGTGCTTACGATTGTAGATGCCACTCTTGTATTTACGCGTCATGATTTTTATGAGGTTAAGGTCTAGCAAAGAAAGTTAGTAAGAACATGGAAAGTTGAAGTCAGGATCACAAACCTGGCATAGCATGCTGGCATGCAACTGTTCGAGAAAAGAATGGTCAAAATATGCCAGATGGGTGCGGGAATGCTCGAGTAGGCAAAGAGGATGCCAGTACTGGAAAACACCATCAATGGAGGGCGAGAAGGTTTCAGATAGCCAGCTCACCAGTGAAATCGCAGGGATGTGATTTCACTTTCCAATAAGTACCAGCATTATTCCGATAAAGCGACATTGTACAGTCCTCTTGACTGCGATATTTGTTTAGAATATGTGGGCATATTGGTCCCAGAGATATCCTACCAAATGTGTTAGCATCGGCGAGTCAAGGAATGAGGAACACATACTTCGACCATTCAACCCATGCTTTAGACCCCGGATCGAATGAAGAAACTTCACCCGCAAGATTGTGTGCCTGCAAAGATACACGGAAGCTGGCCAGGATGTCACGAGGAGGATCATTGCTATGGAGGAGCGATCGCATAACCATGGTCAGTTTGGGAGGAGTCTGGGGCCACGAGCAAGTTTGGCGTTGGGGAGGCATGGCTATGGAGCTTATAAGGTGTGAGGGAGAATGTGCGAGATGGAAAAACTGCAACAGATTTATAGCATGAGAAACAATTGGCGAGGCTATCACAATAGATAGACTTGTCAGACAACATGCAACGCCGACTGACAAAAGGATGGTGGGAAAGCATAATAGCAATAGCACATCATCAGAGTGGAACATATCCACCGAGAGCATGGTCAAAGTACAACTTCGACCAGGCCATGGCAGCGGTATGAACAGAAGGTTAACTCAGCTGGGCATCATGATTGGCTGTTATTTGGTGAGAGCCTTGAATGTAAACAAAGCTGGCTCTTTCAAAGTCCGACTCGTAGCTGAATGCTGTACGATGAATGCTGATGAATGCTGTTGTACAGCATTCATGCCTTCACTATCACTGGCACAAGATCCCAATCGCCTCGATGCTGTAGCACAGTGTCTATGTGTTTCTCTCCTTCTACCTGCTTCTGGACGTGCTGAATTCCCCAGAAAATTGGGCGGGTTTTCTATGCACGGAATCACCCAATATAACAAGCCCGCCCGATCTTGTGCAGGGTTCATCACCTCACAGGGTGCGATTTTAATAGCATTATCCTAAACACTGTCGTACAGAGTTTATGCATTACTTTCTTTCCATGAAACGACGACTATCCGCTCCTTCGTCTGTTAGACTGGCTTTTCGCTGTTGCAGTGTTCGTAACAGCTATGTAAGTACAAGTATTTTACTCTATTAACATAGAAGCTGATGCCCAGGTATTGTTTAGGAGCCAACATACGACCTTGGGTGCAAAGTTAGAGCAGATGCCTGGACATTCTAGGATAACGCACCGTAAAATGCTGATAGAGGAAGCTCATAGCTAGCAGGATGATGCATATGGTTTGAATATATTTCCAGGTGAGCCAGCTCTCCATTGTAGCTTTCTCTGCCACCGGCTGACCTGAGTTCGTCCAGATGAAGATCCTACTCGGCTTTCCGATGTCTCTCGAGCACGTGGCAATGATGGTAGAAATGCCATCAATGTTTGCTGCCTATGAAATCTGAGCGATGAACTATCTTGAGACTTGCCCCTTACCGTGACAGTTTGAATGTGGTCCTCCGTGCCTGTGTCCAACTGGTGCACATTCGAGTCTCTCCTCTCGAAGACGTATACAATGCCGTGGTCGCTGCCGCTTACTATCGCCCTGCAGTTCTCGGCAAATGCAACCTGTCGAGGTCGCGGCACCTTGGTAGCCCCGATAGGGAAGGTTTTGACCCTTACTCCATCTGACAGCTGGTACAGTGCGACGTCTTGTGCAGGGTCATCTAGGCAGAAGACATCCTTCTCACAGTCCATAGCTGTGTTCCCTCTTGGGCATCTGTTAGATTAGCCCCATGAATAACAAAAAAAGATTTACATCATTCCGCCTGTATCAATTGACTCCATGATATTCCCATAAGCGCCTCTGAGGAAATAGCTATTCAAAGGCATCAAAACGGTGCAAAGTGTAGCAGAATCGAGCCCACATTTTCCCGTTATGGCAGCCAAATACAACGACATCCCTACTGTCACCATTCACATGAAAATGGACGGCTTTGGGATTGAAGCTGTTGACGGTCACCGAGAAAACGCCATGTAACTGCATGTTCCCATCAACTCGATGCACCTGCACAATGCCTTGTCAAGTAGTCATAGCCAGCCGACTGGAAGCCGGGTCGAAATGGAATGCAGTGATTTCACATGAGCCTACCATCCTCAGAACATATAGCTCTTCGAAATCCTGCGGTACTCAGCATTACAAAGTGTAGCTGAGGATGGTACTCACAGTGGTATTCTTTGCCTGCTTCCAACATGCCATGTAGCCGTTCAGTGTTCCATACACGAGCACTTCATCAGAGTCGTCCTCTCTTCTTATCCAAATCATTGCAGTGGTGTTGCCCCGCGATCCTGCAGCACTTGGCCGCTTTAAAAGCCTGTCATTTCGTAGATCCCAGAGGCAAGTTCCGCCGGAGCCTAATGATGTTTAACATAGATTTGGTAGCATCGGCTGCGGGACTCACCTCCACTGGCCAGAAAGTTTCCCTTTTCAGTGACGGCTAAGCAGAAGACTGCAGCATGTGAGGACTGAAGGGTTTGTTGGAGATGATAATTGGTCGGCATTGATCAAGGTCGGTATGGGGGAGGGATACGCAAGGCAAGGCGGTTATATGCTGTTCTCTGATTATCGCCCTTTCCAGCATTTTTTTTGTCTTTACTCGTAATGATAACCTCGACGCGGTCGCTTTACGAGGCCAATGACTCTCATTGTTATGCTGAATGTCAGCTGCTCACATTGTTTCCCAAGTTCAGAAGTCTCCAATTGTTTATGAGGGCTGCAATTGTCAAGTTTTCAACATGGAACTTGGGCAGCCCGTACTACCAGCTTATCACTACGACGACATGCATTGTTTCATGGGGGAGGGTCGCAACTTTTTGTTGAGTGCTTCGAACTCGCACTTTTTTGTTTAGTCCACTGTTATCGTTAGGATGGGCAATCCCTATTTTTGCCTACTATAACGGGGGTCCTCTATATAGACTATGCCTGGTCACTTCTCTCCATCAATGGAGACGTCTAATTCCATCTGTTACCTTGCAGATGATGCTACACCCCCTGCTCCAATGGTCCTCTCACTGTGTGCTACGGATCTTTTTTTCGCACCAAAGGCAACGCCATGGGCCATTGAACACCTCTCTCATTCCGGAAAGCTGAAGCCGCTGGCAGGCAGATTGCGGCGCACTCGCTTTGCTCCATACCCGCTGCCTTCCTGCCAATCCTCGTCGTTGGCAAAAGGCAAAAAAAGGGACCCCACTCCTATACCTCTGACATCGCGTGCCAGCGTCCCCCCGGCACCGCGGAGGGATAAAGGGAAAGGCAGAGGGACCAGTACACCACCCTGTGATGATGAACCGCCTCTGAACGATGATGTTTCAGATGAGGAGAGTACAGAAGAAGAACCCCTGTCTTCATCGCAAACCTTGATCAGTAGCAGCTCCCATTCAACTATTCAGAGGGTGCTAATTGCTCAGCCTAAGGGAGTCGGGAACCTAGGCTTAGTTCAGCTTGGCGCAAAGTTGAACTGGGAAGGCGATACCTACCAACAAGTTGTCGTATGTTCTCCCTTCCGCTTTCATTCATTTCCTGATTCTTTTTTCTGCAGAAATACGCCGAGAAGATCTTTCCGGTATATCTCAAGACGGAGACATCTGTGAGTGGACAAGATCAAACCAATAAGGATGCCTTCAAAGATGCTGTATGTGTATTACACTGTGCTGCATTACTATCTCTTACGCGATGTTAGATGATGCAAGAGTTCAATGACCCACTCAGCAACTATGTTAATGTCTGGCCTCTCGAACAAATCATGCAGCACCTTTGCAAAAAATTTTCAGAGAAAACACGCAAGCAATCGGCTAAAAGGACCATGGAGGCAGTGCAAACAGCCGTTGCAGGCCCTTCAGCACCTAGAAAGATATCATGAGTAAGGCAACTGTACCCACAGGATCTCTAGATAGCTAACAGTTTTGTTTTTAATAGAAACATCAGGCTGCGAGGTTTTCCCTCTATCAGGTACCCTCATAGGATTATATATATTCTTGACGCCCATTGCCGTGGCTTCAGAATCAGACACTTACAACGAAGCAAACGAGAGCCGTAGTTGCCATGATCGAATGGTGGTATAGGAACGTGATGATGCTGGGAGCAACGTCAGTAGGTGCACATTACCTGGGCCATATCATCACCCTTAGCCCTATTTTGTACCCATTTCTCTGTACCATGTCTTTCAAATGAAACAAAGATCCAAATATTGGCCTTTATCAATATTATTAAATCTATAGTTGCTGCATGTCAGTCATGCCCACCTCAGCTTCAGGCTGATCATGAGCTCAGCTTTTGTTTAGCCTGTGCTGAGCATCCGCTACATTCAATACATACCCAAATCATCAATTTCTAGGCGCATTTGGCACATGTTGAAATCAGGTCCCTAACCATTAATTTTCGTGTAACCGGAATTTGTCTCGTAACCGGAAATTCAGCCCGCAGTTTCGGAGGACTTCGTATCTCAGGCTCAGCCCTTCCCGGAATCCCACATCGAACGTATGGTTTCGGTGTGGATTTTGGATAAACTTAGGCTACTGTTTTTGGGCCTCATTTCAAGCATGGTGGAATTGAGTCATATTTGTTCCATTTAAGACCCAATTTAAAGCACTCTTAAGCCTTTGGTTCAATAAGTAATTGAAGTAAATTGTATTTGTAGATCGAAAACTTGAGTATATACATAACAATAAAATGAGTTTAAATTTCTATATTCCCGGTGTGCGTGATGGTTTAGCTTTCATAGTTTAAAGTTAGAAGCAAAGTGACGTGAAGTGGCGGTGCAGAATACACGTGGAGATCGGTACCATCGGCCTGATCAGACTGGGTTTACCGCCAGTTTCCCTGATTTCCAACTAGTTCTCTGCGATGGAAGATCTTCACACAATCTGTTGATAGAGCTCGGTAAAAATCACGATGTTACATCATTGAACGGATGCCCTGTGTACTTATTCCATGCTTTACTTAAAGCACTCCAGTACTATGGGTGGTGAGTGTTGATTTTCTCATCTGGTACTCCACAACGCTTTCCTTCACGTCATCAATTCCCGAAAATGACCATACGCGATGAGGAGCTAACATCATGCGAGGCAGACAAATACAACTAGCAGTTTTATCCTTCTATTCCAATCAGATCTTAGACAATAGACGAACTGAAACGCGCCGAAATTGCTAGTACCCACAGTTCCAGTGAGTAATCTCCCTGGAAGACTGAAGCCAACCACATCTAGGGTGAGAAAGATGAGATAAATGAAAGCCAACGATCAAATTATATCCTCGAGAGTCGAAACATGCAGCCAGGTCCTCTACATTGCTTGTATCCAGACCCTATCAGTGTTCTTTATTCAAATCATTTGGAGAAGACAAAGATAACCCCTGCAGCGTATCACAGGAACATTACTTCCCAACCATTCTCCACAGAGACTTGGTTCTTCCGTCAGAGGTGAGTAAGCCTTTGGAAATTTGGTTATATGTGCATCATTAGGAGAACGTAGCGGATACACATACAATTGAGGTGATCCGCCACATGCTGACAACTGACAACAGAAAGACAGGTCACCGCCGTTTACTTTCCTGCCATACGCTTTAATGCATTGTATCACGAGGCTGGCCTTTCCCGCTCCATGCAAAAAGCAGCATTCTTTAAGTTTGCAAAATCTGACTATATGAACTGGTAGACGGACAGAGATGCACGTATCATTACGTCTTTCACGGTGTGTCGACACTGGGATGTCAATGCATCCACACTATCGTCTAAATTGCTTGCAATCAAATTCCAATTATTGAGCACTGTCTTACTATCGTCACGTCCTAACGACGCTCGAGCAGTGTGGCACTTACCTCATCTGCGGGGCCTATCTTCTGGATCCTGGTGTCGACTGCCGCGTCTTTGACCCTCCACTTCATACATAAAAAGTAGTTATCAAGAATTGTAACACGAAGAAAAAAGAACAGTACATTCAATGACGATAAAACCCCCGCTATAGCACACAGGACAATCGAGATGGTTTAGTTGGCAGGCCCACTCTTGATGCTGAATTCTTTGCCCGCGTTTCCGGAGGCGCCAAAGACTTAGCACGGTGAATTATCAGCTTCAATTTTCTGGCATGAATGAAAACTACTCACGGGCAACAGCGTAATCGTCACCTTCAGCAACGAGAGGAACCTTAACCTCGATACTTCCCAACAGGATATCAAACTCGTCCGCCAAAACAACTGTTTGGATAGTCAATCACCGCAGAGAACTAACACAAACGACGCACATGGCAAGAACAAGCCGCCCTTGGTCAGCCTAATGCTGCTGTGGTTACGACCGGTGACTAGTTCAGGAGGGTTAGAAGTGTCCCAAGAGACGGTTTGAGTCGTCTCTATGAGCCATGTCGTACCCGTAGTCGGGGACAAAATAGGCGGGTCGAAGATGTCGCGTTTAGAGGCGGGAATCGCAGAGGCAGCTGCGAGGAGAGCGGTAAAGAATGCAGTAGAGAAAGCGAGCTTCATTTCTGTCGTGCTGAAATGAGGTTGTTTCCCGTTGGATTATATAGTGCTCTGGCATGGGGGACCACAAGCAAAGATAATCTGCATTCCCATGCACGGAGACTTGAGAGCGACGTTCGAGAACTATGACGAAATAGCGGCACATCCCCGGATGTAGGAAGTTTGAAAAACGCCACGGAAGAAGTGCTTGTGGAAAGGAGTGATCGCCAGCAGTTTCGTAGCCAAGTGTCGCACGAAGACAATGAGTGTCTATGCTGGAGAGAGGTTCCTATGCCCTTCTTGAGATAGTATATCGGAGAGGGGAAAAAATAAGGATATGGATGAATTTTCAGACTTGCTCGTCCCGAAGAAAGTAAGAAGAGCATTGCATCCACCAAACCGTCATGGACCTCACCCTCCCAAAAGCCTCTAGCGACTGGCTCTCAGGAATAAAATGACCACCAGGAAGCCCCGCACGGAAGACACTGGCCATCGCGGCAACACGACACATGAATGTCTACCACCTGATACCAAGGCAAGTGCTGGAAACTTTCAAAGGTACGCCTGTAGTCGACCTTCATGGCCTTGGGATCCCACAGGCGGCGTTTTCATACGGTTCGGGGTCCTATGTGACGTCCTTGGTATTTCCATTGAGTCATAACTCCCTCGCACTCGGACTACTCGGTCACTTCATTAGATTAAGGCCTCGAATATGCACTTAAGAAAGCTCCATCGGGATCCTTTAGTCTCTCGACCAAGATATGGGTCAACTTCCATGTGAGGCGGGGAATACACCACGCTGCATCCCGAGCCCTAACACCGCACGTTAAACGGGGTATTCTCATCGATAGCTTGCCCTGTCTCACTTTCCCTGCCGATGACACAGATGCAGAAGCGATATCGCGGAAAGGTTCTTCCGGGACATTCTAGACTTTGTATCTTGTTCGCCGAACGTTCACGCCTCTCGCACGACGTATTCTCCGTGAGATTCGAGCGTCTATAATCCATGGCCAAGAGCACGCCCATGCGCTTCATGCCCACCATCTCGCTTCTAGCTGCTAGTTATGGCTCTTCGAGAGGAGGCAGCGAATGGGTAGGGTTGTTTCCTTTGAGAGGGTCGTTCTATATGGAGAGATGTTTGCAAAGACCAGAGCTATTACATAGTCGGAGATAGACAGCCATGATACTAAGTGTTAATTTGGGATTGAATGGCTCGAAGGAGCTACGTTATTGGCATTGGAGGGCCCGAAGCAGGCAAACCATTCAGCTGACTGCGTCAGAATGATGAACGCATTGAGCGACATATCGTTTGCAGAAGGTATAGAAGTAGACAGGAAATCATACAAAGTCATTGAACGCGCAGGAGAGGTTCGAGTGGCCTACAAAAGCACGTTGTTAGAGAGATAAAGGAGATGAAAAAGAAGGATGCAAAGCCAAGCCAAGCCTTCGAGGAGCGACCAGCCTTTCGAACTGTCGTCGTATGATGGTGATATCCTCGTGACGCGGAGAAAGCGCCATGCAATTACAACCAATCCAGGTGAATCCCCGAGTTCTCCAAGAATTCACGATATAGATAACTGCCGTGTGGATTCTGGCAAGCTCAAAGGAAGGCAACGTTGATGAAAAATACACTACCAACAGGCTCTCCATGTTGGTGCCTCCGGAGTAATCGGTTCGCGCTTGTCTGAATCTATACTCCCTTCCGCATAGCGCTTCCCTTCAAATATTTATTCCATTATGGTCACAATTCCTAGAGGCGAAACGATCCAAGTCAATAAAAGATAGAGTTATAGCACTAGAAACGAACTCTACATACAAAGAACACGTGCAGGTATTTCAGAAATCATACAGATCAAAGTCTAGCGTGAGACCAGTTTTTGTGAGGGCCCTCAATTCGCCCTCATCTTCCGGATCCAATCCATAACTCCAACTTTGTCCCACTATACGTAGACCAAATTTCCCCAGGACGCCATCGCGATTCCGTGAAATGATCATCTCGAGAAACTCGCAGTCAAGAAAACAGACATGCACATTATCAACTCCTTCCAACACGAGGGGGAAGCTGCCCAGACAAGGAATCAGGGCATGGCAGACTGACCCATCCACCCGTACGGTCTCCGCCAGCTCCTCCATAGGCGCTTCCATACCCAGATCGTTACCCTCATCCCATTGGTTGAATTGAATGTTAAATTCCTCCAGACGCGGCGTCAATCGCAGAACCGCTGCAAGATCATTGTCAACGATAGTTGTATCGACGACAGAGAGTCGGATTAGCGAACAGTGGGAATGGTGAAGTAGCTCCGACAGCGCTATGATGGCACCCCTTGGAAGATCGATAACCTGCTGGTTTCTGTCCTTGTCATAGCCAGGGGTGAGAACAACCTCGCGTAGCGCTGGCAATTCAACACTTCGCATGAAACATGCCGAAGAAACTGAAAGCGTCTGTATAGACTGGCTGATAACACAGGGATGGGCTGGCAGTAATCCTGGTGGTACCGGGGCGCCAGCGTAGTCGTGGTACGAAAACGAGAGGAGTTTCGGAGAAGATCTGATAATGTCGACGTATTCCGGCGTCAGCAGGTCACCCGCAAATGGTCGTTCATCGTAAAACGAGATAAGATTGCTGGCAGGAAAAATGACTTGAGCCTGACGATGTATTCCTTTCGCGTGGAGGTTTCTCAGCCTAGGTGCTATTTCAAAGGCGGTGATGGGAGCTAAATGATTCTCCAGGTAGGGCCAACATTTCACATATGCATCGGTGAGCAGATTGACCTTTCCGCGGACGACAGAAAGACGTGGAAGAAATGAGGGATGAACGACAAATTCGGTTCTTCTCCATCGTGCTGAATGGTTTATCATAAAGTCAAAGCACCGCTGCATGACGCTGAGAACTTCTGCTGACGAAATGGTGCGATGGGAAAACAAGAAGTCAAGGGGATGATGCTTTCCAGCCCGTTCGAGCACACTCTCGAGCATTGCTACGACGTCTCCGCGGGGACGCCACGCATCTATATCGGAACGTGGAGCTTGGATGGTCATCGTTGCCCATAGCTCAGGGCAGAGCGTGCTGACGACGTTCCTCCATAGCCTGCATACTTGCCCTAGATACCATGGACCCTCTGCAACAGTGAAAACGTTAAACCCACAGATGTGAGTTTCTTCGGGACCATCGACCGTCATCCACGTATAACATAGAATCTCCATCACTATCTCTGCTGGTACGCATCGGATGGGAGATAGCACGGCATTGTAATAGTGCTGGAGGGACCATAGTCATGACATCTGAGCTTCAAGGGATGCGGCTGCATTCCCTAGTAGGTCAAGCGCTGCCTGGATCTCTCGGCTGGTATCCTTTAACTTCGCCACTGATGCGTTGAGGTTGACGGATTGTAGGGGTGACGGCAAGTTGTTCGAATGGAGCAGGGCGACGATATCGGGTGAGTGGTTGATGGTCGATATCCAGTCAAACTGGGCCATCAACTGGTCAAGCGAAGATCGTGTTGATTTCATGATTGACGCAAGAGTAGGAGCCATGGCACATCCAAGGAAGGCACTGTTAGAACACGGATGCCTTCGTTCAGAACATGATGCCCGTGGCAGCGGAAGAAAACTCACACTTTTCGCGGGGAAGATCCTTGGCTACAGAAAAGCGCAGAGATGGAAAACAAAGGGGGAAAATTATTCGAATCCCGCTGATGCGTCCTGACGTAACATTGATGACGTCAGGGATCCGTAAGCAAAAACGAAATCGATACGACTCACGCAGTGGTGGACGATGAGTGAGTGCCAAACGCCATTCTTTCTGCGAGCACTACACGCCCGATATCTCGCTTTCATGCTGAGTAGGAAGTTCAAGCGTGCTGATACGTTGGTCGAGCGAGAAAGCCATATTGAATATAACACACTCGAATAAGCGAGACCTTCGACAAATGCCCATAGCTCATATTACATGTGTCATGTGGTTTGAGGTCGTAGATGCTTCCCTGTTTTTGTGCTCGTAATGAAAAGGGAAGGAGAATGGATGTCCTATTCCTAAAGATCAACAAGAAGAAATTTTCAAAAGGAGCAAGACACTTACACAGTCAGACATAAATGGGCTGGAAAACTCACTAGTTCTGTGAGAGAAGGAAGTGAAGACATTAACCATCTGTGAGGGTATTCTTGCAAGACAGCCCATCGCTAACGCCCGCGTTACAACATCGAGTCGTCGCAACTCGCCCTTATTCCGCGGAACCCAAGCCTGTGAATCGGGACTCATGGCCGGTAAAAGATGGCTTGGTCCATGATCGTAATGATATCAAAAAGAAAAGTGGCATATCTGGAGAAGAATCAGTGAAATATTGGCTGAGAGACAGGTAAAACGCACGAAAAACTAGATATCCCTCTCGTCGTCGCGCGTCAAAGTGTGTATACCCTCCACAATACTCGTTTATTTCTCGTGAGAAGCCGCTTCTTTGGCATTATATCACTGTATGCTGCGTTACGGATTGTCCAGAGCTCGAAAATAGGCAGAAAACGTACTTGTGCGGACCTTCAGGAGGCTCTAGCCATAGCGGCATGGAAAACCGCGCGATACGTCTCCTCGTCACATTTACCGAGGAAAATCTCCCTCAAATTTCGATGCTTGCAGCAATAAATGGTCTCAGTCCGCTACTGGTCCGCTAGTCGACTCGTCGCAATTTCGAAAGAACACCTCGCTGCTTTGGATGGAAGGCCGTTGCCAGTCCAGTCTATCGCGAGAGATGCTGGCTGGAGACTGAAATCAATTCAGGATTTGATGTGTGATTATAGAGGATGATGGTGGTTGACTGAGAAGCGGCGTCGGACCCTGAATTCCCGTCTTCCACCGTCTTCTGCTCCGGGCCGCTCACCTTACCAATCGCAAAGTCGGCCTGAACACCAGTATTCATCACGTAGATTTTTCATATAAATAACAATGTGTGTAGCTCTATTTCATGCACTATTCGTCATTCTCTTCCTAATCTGCAATGTTTTCCGTCGATGGTTAAGCTGGTCGCGCCGTAAGTCGGCCCGTGACCGTTGGCTTTCTGATTCCTGAAACTTCATTCATCACTAGTCATCGGTATGAGAAATTCAACAATGGTTACTGTACTTGTATATTGATGAAATAATACATATCACTCAGCTGAACAGTAGTATAGTATAAGTGGTGGATATGATAGTTGCTAGGTCAAGAAAATTGACTATTCTATGAAAACATCACTACGAAAGGAGATTTCTACAAATAGGCGCAGGCGGAATCGGATCCTGACTATTCGGAGGGTAAAAAAGCTCCCTATGCCGAGTCTGGTTCATGAGTGTCATCAAAACATAGCACTTCATCATATGCATAATTACCGGGCAATAATCCCTATGGTCCTGCCACTCTCTAAAATAAAAATTATGGCAGAAGAAATTGACGCGCTGTTTACACGCCTTGCACCGGACATGGGTAGGCTCGATAGACTTCGTGTCTACCCATGCTTCGTTCTCGAGAAGCTTTCTATCGGCCTCCGGGTCCCTGTTTGGTGCGTCACAGTGAACATCGAGTTCCCAGTAATCGCCAGAGATGTCGACTTGGACCAGGCGCATTGGATCGGAACTTGAAATGGCATAGGTGAACGTCATGTTCTGTTTGGTAGACAGAATGGACGCGTTGGCGTTCATGACGAATGACCATCTGAAGGGGAGAGAAACTAAGCATGAAATTGTGATTCAAAAACGCGTGCCACTCACTGTTTAGGGTGCGTTTTAGCCAACTCATCACGGAAGGCAACGACATCAAAGACAAATTGCCTGATTCTGGAGGGCGGATTCAGGCCCCAGGAATCTAACAGGTTCGACAACATTTCCATAGTGCGAGGAAGACTTGTAGACGGGCTTGGTTTTGGAAAGTGGGTGGGAATGTGAGTTTGAGAATCTGCACGTCGTTTAAATAGTATTAACCTGCTGCCACCTAGTCATTGTCTTTGTTTTTGGCTTTGGCTGTAATAAAGACGGCGGCAGAAAGGACAATAAATGAGACAATGCAGGATTTCGGGTCGAAGCAATGGAACATGAATAGATTGGAGTCAAATGTGAGTTCAAAGAACAATTTTCACCAGTCGCCACCGAAGGTATCTCTTGGCATTATGCAAGTTCTACAATTAGAATCAGTATCAATTGGGTCGGTGGGACAAAGGGAACAAAGGCCACATAGCTGAGTCATTCAACGGTACCATCTACGACGGTTAACTCGGAAATAAGTGGCATTTAGATCCACAGAAGCAGTGAAACAGACATTGATGGCAGGATCCAATCAAGCACCGTCCGAAGGCACAGATACCATAGACATAGTTACACTCTCAACCTTCAACCAAGCTCACAACACTTTCAGGGCCCTGATATAGACTCACACCTGTATAATTGCTGGTAGCGACACGATAGCCCTTGACCTCAAAGTGCTCGCCTGCATTAAATGACTCCGATCGGAGGTCTAAGTTGTGCTCAATTTCGACTTTGTGTGTGTTGTAGCTGTCATCAAGGCAAGAGGAATTAGGATAAAGAAGACATGTAAACCCTTCTCAGTCTCCCAAAAAGGAGGCATCGGTACGACTGGCAGCAGCAAAAGAGGCAAAACGATCCAAAAAAAAAATGCTATTCTCTTAGCGAGACCGCCGCCTCCCAATCGCTCAGCGTATTGCTTTCCCGTTCTTTCGTCTCCATGACATCATTCGTGATCTCGTCCATCAATTACAACCAATTACAACCAACAAGTCAGTGTCTAATATTTTGAAAGGTAAGCAAAGATTCCGAGAAGAGCAATCCACGTACGTTCTCTCCAATCCTAGAGAAAACAAGCAGTACGAACAGAGATCAATTTCGACTGAAAGTCGCGAGGTGGATCTGGTAAACACCTTCAATTATGTACAATCACCGAAGACTAATCCTCATACGATGGTCCTCGAATTTATGTGCGCTGCTTGTCGACGAAAAGGGCTGGCTGGTAAAAGAGACATGAGGAGGGCTATGATTACAAAATACAAACGACGTATGTAGATCTGTGGCATCGAAGTAGAAAGCTCAAATCATAAAGATAACATATATTTTAACACCGCCTATAATACGATTAGTGAATACAGGGGAAAAACATGCATAAGAACCGCACCTAATTCAATTTTCCCTCTAGCCGGGTGCCAAATCTGGTATTCCTCGGGGCATGACTGTACACATACTACCGCTTCCTGGTTAGGTCGTGCAATCTTCTGAAAGAGGGTAATCTGACAATATGCGCATCAGAAGGTGGAAGAGAAACAGGAACTGAAGAGACCATACCTCCGCCGCCAAAGCGGTGTCCGCACGTAATAATGTGGTTAGGGTGCGTTCGCTCTTTTAACAAGAGAGGCTACCATGTCCAACATCGCGTGCTGTACATCCTCCTCAACTTTTCAAAGTCGCAAAATACTCTACAGCAACATAGATCTGCGAAATGTTGCAATCAGTACCTCAAGAAGTTTGGCGCTCAGAATGGCTCAACCATTCAACGTCCGTAGCGGGTGCTTGATGGAGCACTGAAATAGTACCAGCGACGACTAGGCGATCGGTCGAGCAATGGGACGAGGGCAGTAGAAGACAGTCACAGCGGACCTTGACACTAATCTGCTACCAGAGCGTCACCTCGTCCTTCGTCGTCAACTTTCTATGACTGCTTTTGGGTGGAGCCTTCGCTTCTCCTACAAACGATCCCAGGATTTGACTGCTTCTGCACACAAGAAAGCAGCGATAGGAGGTGGAGAAGATAAGGATTCAGCTAGGCGTGTACCGCAGCAACGATTTGACTCTGGAAATGGAAGCATCTGATGCGAAGGAAGCTCCAGACATATTGAATAATGGTTATGAAAATGTCGGTTCCATGTGCTTATGTTGTCCTGGAATGACCGTCGTCCCATAGAAAATGACGTTCTCTCCCTCGTCTCCACGTCAGCCTCACCGACAGCCGCAGCCATTCCGCTTCGTCTCGAGGTGCATCTAGCCTAGATGTTAACACTCGCATACACAGGCGGAAGGACGGAAACCGTACCCTGGTCGCCGGAGAAATACAGGGATGACTATAGCGCATCTACCATCTGCATGTCATGCTGAAATGTAATCATATCGTAGTCCTTGACACCATATATGTTCCTTATATAGTCGCTGAGGTGCATCGGATACCTGACTTTGCCTTGCTCACCAGCCCAGTCAAAATCAACGATCCTCATCCTCTCCCCTTCATCTCCCGCACCATCAACGATCACAATATTTGGCGTGCGAATATCTCCAGGAACGAATGACTGATCGTGAAGAATCTGAACAGCACCTCGAACCGCTTCGCACAGCGTCTCCAGAATGCTCCCTTCGTACTTTTGTGCTACCGCCTGGCCGTGTAGGAACTCCATAACGACCATCTGAAGGGAACCATACCAGTACTTTCCATTGCTGGAAATCGGACCGCAGTATTTTAGTGCTGATGCCTTTCCTTTACTTGCCAACAGTCTGTGGGCCTCGGCACCATATCGCTGAACAAACTTCACAACGACCTGTTCCTCTCCATGTGCTTCGTCAAGCTTCGCGAGGAACATCGTGCACACCTCATCTACTTCCAAGGGCTGAAGGTATTGGAATCTGACGACTTTCGTGCCATCGTTGTATTCGGTGATGTCAGGAAAGAAGCGAGTGGGCTGTATAGAAGGAGGATCTCAGGGATCAAGCTGTTGCGATATGCCGAAGTCATCCGTAGTCAATAGGTACAAACACGATCATGTAGCTCCGCTGTACTGTACAATTGAACTATCATCTGCGTGTTCGTGTCTGTGTCTGAGCTTCTCTCTCTCTTTCTGTCTTTCTTCCTTCCTTCTGCCTTTTCCTAGCCTCGTTCCCTGCAACACAAGATCCTGGTAGTACTTCTCAAGATCATCGATGGCCAATCTCAGAGACTGGAAGACACAAGCGAGGCGAAGAGCATGATTGTCGTCATTAGCACGGCTATTGCCAAGCCATAGATAGTCGGTCAAACGCTGGACAATCGGAAGAGTCCGGAAGATGGCGCCTAGGATGACGATCCAAAGTCCAGCAATGGATACAATGAAAGATGGGCAGCAGCATGCTTTGAAGAATCGTTCGCGCTGGGGAAGTGTTAAATCAGTACGGATGGAGATGAACAAAAGATAAGCCACAAACTTGGATGTCTTTCTGTGTCCAGTACTGAGCGTATGAAAAAGAGCCTTGAATGGAACCTTCGCCGTCCCAGCCCAATTCTGCCTTCTCTACACATATTACACCAGCCGCTACCATGGGAGGGGATCTACGTTGGAACTGCAAGATGTAGGCTGAATTCGTCTTGTTGGGGTTGAGCTTTTGGAAAACTGGACTGTTGAGCAGTTGTGATAAAATATTCCTGGTAGGGCTCTGACACGCAGACTCATCGGGCGATATTTGAGAGACAATCCTCACGAGCTCTGTTGTGAGTTGGACGACCTGAGCTGGAACGTGCAGGGAATCGTCATGAATGTCAGCCTGAAAGGAAGCAAAAATGCAATGATAAAGCTCGATCGGAGGAGGGATTCAGCAAATACCGACACACTTTTACCCAGCACCTCAAGGATATCATGTTGTTCTGCGAGCTCGCCTTGTGTTTTTTCTTGCAGTGTCGGGGTTCGTTCTATAGGGATAATCTCAGCAACGAGAGCTGTCAATGCCGCCTGACTGTGGTTATCGCACGTGGGAAACATATGGCGGATTAACTCCGTATCTATTAACTGGTCACAAAATACGTTCAATCGACAATCGTTACCTAGCAGACGGTCCCGCAGGTCAGAAGACCCCCCCATAATCGGATTTAGGTGTTCACGCGGCTTTGGGAGAATGAACAAATCGTAACGATATCAGCAGAGACGACAGTACCTTCCACAATGATATACTGTCTTCAGAGATCTGCTATTTGGCAGCCAATATTTCCCTTACACGAGCACACAAAGCATCATCCGCAACTTCCAAAAATATAGTGCCTTCAGAAACACGGTTGTCTTTGTACAAGTAAATGGAGATCTATAGTGGCGCGTCGAGGTTTAGCTTTTATTAGGAACGGAGCAAGGTAATGTGAAGTGGCGGTGCTGACTACACGTGGTGATTCGGCACCTTGGCCCGATCAGACTGTGTTGACCGCGAGTTTCCCTGCACTCCAGGAATGCGGAAATTTGAGAGAGTCGGATTTACTTGCCTATACCTAAGATTTCATGTGAAAAACAGGACTTACTGATACTGGTAGCCATACCAAAGGTTCAAGAAGGCATTGAATCATCCCCGGAATGTAAGATATCGAATTTCAATCCAGGCTGCCATAATCGAGCTCTGAAAGCAAAGATTCAGGAATTCCCTGAACTAGTGACGAAAGCCTCCGTTCAGGGCAAAGTTTCGGCAGATGGTAAACCTAAGGTTTGTGGGGGCCCGGAATGCATGCCCAGACCTTTGATTCCCGTGCTGACACCGAGTATACCCAAATTAGGATTCATGACCCCGTTCTGGCCCAGGACGCCCCAAACCTTAGTTTCGGCTTTGCCTAACACGGATACCGAAATAAAGTATTCCAGATGGGATTTCGGTAGCACTCACATTTTCAGTACTGGTCTTGCCGAAGTATGTACCGAAACAGATGCTTTCGGCATTGATTCAGGGTAGCTGGAAACAATTAGCTTCGGTTCGAACACCGGAATCTCGTGATCCATTCCTGCTTTCTTTGATTTGAGATAAATTTCACACTGTCTTGGAACTTTTGATATCGGACGAAATTTCAGCAAGTCTCATTCACTTTCCGAAAAGTTAGGTATAGGTACTATAGTCAGGATGTCCTAAATTTCTACATTTACAGTGTGCTGACTCCTACTGCAACCAGTTATTTGTGATGCAACCTTTTCTACCTTTTCCTCTTAGGATCTTCGCACATTCTATTGACAGAGATTTATCCTTGGGAAAAAGAAAGCTGTGGATCCCTGAACAGATGTCCTGCGTATAAGAAGCCGAATCAAGACACAATCCTCTCACAATCCAAGCTACTCACCATGTCAAGGCTATTTTTCTCATTCTTGAAGAGGGAGCATAATTGTTGGGAGTAGGGGATACTTATTCAGATGACCATCATGCATGGACACATCGTGTTGATCACATCTTTATCATGTAATCATCCCGGACACTTATATAGCTCGTACCTTCCTTTCTTACTCCTCAGTCGTTTCCGCATTGCCCGTGGACTGAGGAGGTTAGTTATTCGTTTTCTTATTGTTCACGCCTTTATCTTACTTACCATACCTTAGTTCTGACATTCGTGTTATCGGTATAGGTGCTTAGGCTGACAGGTTATGGGTTGTATCTCAGCCTGACCTACCAGTGATACGACACGGGATTTTTCTTTTGGCTCGCGACTCGCCTTTCTGGTTTTTATTGCCTTCTCGTGGACACAGCAACAGACGACACTTCCTCTCACTTAGGCCGCCGTAGACGACCATTCCTGCGTCCCGCCGTTCCTCAACCTTCAATATTGTTCTTTCTTAAGCGCATATATCCATGTTTCCTTCGTCTTCTGGCCCAGGTCAACGACCGTCGGTGGCTCCTGACGGGTTCTGGTTTCCTGCCCCTTCTGTTCCTTCTCCTTCATGCTTGCCACACGTGTTGCAACTATCTCTGGGTTCATCGACGTCAGCTTCCTCGAATTTGTCGTTTCAACACTCGCATCGTTCGTGGCCGAATCTGTATCCACCTGTCGTTCCGCCTCCGTCGTTCCCAGGTCATGCAGCTCCATCTATGCCATCTCCATTTCCCTCTTCTTCTTTTGTTATGTCTTCGTCATTTAGTCCTTTCTTACAACCGTCTCTTTCCACACCGAACTTGAATCCTTACCCTAGTAGTGTACCGTCGAATATTTCTCAGCACCAGCGACCGTCTATACATACACAACAACAACAGCAACAGAACGCCAGTAACAGTAATAATCCTTTTCTTAATTTGCAGAATAACAGTCAGCCAATACATAATACCTATAATTACTTTACATATTCTTCTCCATCTTCATCTGTTTCCACCCCATCCACGACCTCAATTCCGGAACTGACAGGGCGGACGACCTGGGGATTATGGGTTCATGGCATCAAGTCGCTGGCGGATATCAATGGGGTACTACCTCACATCATCGAGGAACCAATGCCGGGTGTAGTGGTGATCAACCCTATGTGTCGCCCTTCTTACCCCCCTGTGTTATCGCCAGATCCGTCTCCCCAAGAATGGGACACCTTTGTAGCGTGGCATCGTAAAGATGCGGTCATGATTCATATCCTGACCTCACGACTGTCGGCTGATGTTTCTGCAGTGCTTCCCATGGTCGATGATCATGGGGGCGCCGAACGAGAATTCACTGTGCGCACCCTATTGGGTATTTTGAGGAAGCATTTTGGCCTGGGTCAACCAGTGCAAGCACATGCAGCTCGAGAGGCATTACGCACGTACACAGTGGATATGAGGAACGTGTCCAGGTTCATACAGCGCTGGCGTTCGACGATTCTTTCGTTGAGGGCTGAACAATACCCGATCATTTACTTTGACGTGGCATTGAATCTGGTGAAAAACCTACCCAAAGATGGTGGTTGGTATCTTCCAATCCGTCAAGAAGTCACTCGCGATTGTGGTCAGGCGGCGGATGCCATTGATTTCGCGTACTTCGACTCGTTGATGGATCGTGTACTGGACCTGGATACTCAATGGCGTCTTTCTAAACCCTCGTCTCGTACCCTCCGAAAGAAATGTGACATCTGTGGTCAACAAAGTCACACTACCGAACAGCATGACCCATCTAAACAGAAGGCTAATGACATTTCGTCCACTGGACTGTCCTCCTCCCCATGCAAATCCCAGACCTCCAGACAAGTCCTATTCTACTCCGCAAGCAAATTACACAGATACGACTGCAGAACCGACTACCTCTAGCGATGCAGAGGTGCCGGTGACTGAAGAAGAGAGTTATGCAACAATTAGCGAACTACCAGACTCCGCCTGTACTGTCGATAACTATAACAATGAGGACCTTTTCATTTGCGTGAGTGCGACTCTGATAAGACCTATGGACTCTGCGTCCACCTGGTATCTTGATGTGATGAAGGAAGCCGAGTTTGCCCTCCTCAGCTCAGGCAGTGAAGTCGTTACTGGATTCTGGGTGCACTGCCCACATTTTCAAAGAGAAACGCTATTTCTGGACGTACCGGTCTGATTTGGCTGTTGACGTGAAGACTGCGAACTGCGGTGTCCTCAGCACCGAAGCTCGTGGTGAGATTCATGTTCGTGTTCGTTGTACGAATGGTGTCTCCGTCACTATGAGACTGCTGGACTGTCTACATGCACCTAGTGTACCGATGAACCTGATTTCAGTGGGAGCTCTTACGGAACGCAACATGTTCTTGATTTTTGGCAAGAATTGGACGACAATTCACTTCCCGAAGGATCATCCTAAATTTGCTGGTCATAAATTCTCTGCGAAGGTTCTAGGACGTCTTACCTTTTTGGATTGCGAAATCCTTGAACCGCCTGTAGATCCCTCTGTAAGCCCATCAGAAGATCCAACTTGCACGATGGCAATGCCAGCACCATTCAAGAAGACTAAACCGACACGACATATTTGGCATTGTCGGCTTGGTCACCCTGGACAAGACCTCACCACCGAAGTCATTACAGGGAACGCAGTTACTGGGGTTATTTATCATGGCCCTAACACTAAACTCGTGTGTCCATCCTGTCTCATCGGCAAACACCCACAAAAACCCTATGAACATCACGGTCATACAGCGGAGAACATCTGTGATCTCATTCATGTAGATACCTGTGGCCCGTTTCCGACTGCGTCTCCTCAAGGCGCAAGATACTTCTTTGCGATGCTGGAGGATAAGACGACAGCGGCTGAGGTTCACATGCTTAAGCGCAAGAATGAAGCGTTCGGATGCTTTGAGGAGACTGTGGCGAAGTGGGAGCGGATATCAGGGCAGCCTGTCATGTTTTTACGCTCGGATAATGCACCTGAGCTCACCGAAGGTGAGATGGGGGAGTATCTTCATAAACGCGGTATCCGTCGGCAACTCTGCATACCTTATGCTCACCAGCAGAATGGAAAGATTGAACGCTTTATTCGAACCATTGAGGATAGATCTCTAGCATTACTGGCTCACTCAGGACTACTGGCTTCTTTTCTTGCAGAGGCGATCCTAACTACAGCCTACCTCTACATGCGTCTACCAAACTCATCGATTCCAAAAGGGACAATGCCATATGAACTCATGTACTTGAAGAAACCTGACCTCTCACATCTGCGCATCTGGGGGTGCCGTTGTTGGGTGACAATACCCAAGGAGAAACGTACAAAAGGGGGAGTAAAAATGTTTGAAGGGATATTTGTGAGATACGAAGAAGATAGGATAGGTTGGTGGATTAGGGACTTAAAGGGAAAGTACCATTTTTCGAGGGATGTCGAGTTTGATGAAGAGACGCCGGGGAAGCTGAGTACAAAGAAGAAGATGTCGGAGCAGGTGGTTAACGAGGTCACTGACGAGGAGCAGGTCTCATCAAACGTAGAAGCAACAACGGGATCCGATGAAGAACTGCATAAACGGTGACCACAGAACCTGACAGAAAAAGGTCTCGCCTGGAAGAATCAACTACAGCTTACGGAGACTCGGTTGCAACGTCGACATCAAACAGCAGCGGTGAAAGCAGCGCAGGATGCCTCAGCTCTCTTGGTTGCTCACGAGATTGATCTGCCAGAAAATTACTTCTCTATAGGTTCCTTGGATACTTTGGTCGTTACGTCGAATCCGACGGTCTTCCTGGCACAGCAACTACCTTATCGTTCTTCTGCTCCGCAGACATGGGATCTTACTAAGGCTCCGATTACCTACCAGGAGGCGATGGCAAGGCCTGACAGTTCGAAGTGGATCGTCGCAATGGAAACTGAGAGGACAGCTATGGCAGAGAAAGGTGTTTTTGATCCGGAACCTGTACCCATATTGCCGAAGGGCAAGAAGGCGATTGGATTGAGGTGGGTGTTCGTCTGGAAGGATTCAAATGAGTCGAAGGTGGCGAAAGCTCGCATAGTGGCTCAAGGTCATACACAACGTCCAGACGACTGTGGTAACACGTACGCACCAGTGGCGAAGATGACGAGCATATGGATCGTACTGGCGTATGCAGCGAAAGAAGACCTGGAACTATACACCTTCGACGTGCATACAGCTTTTCTTAATGCGCCTCTACAGCAAGAAGTATACGTACGTCAAGTCCCAGGTTTTCCTCTCCCTGATCCCAAATCCTTCCAACGTCTCCGGAAAGCTATCTACGGCCTAAAGCAATCCCCTCATGAGTGGTTTCGAGAGTTTTCGTCCGTTCTCAAAAGTCTTGGCTTTATCTCTTGCCCGGTGGACGAAGCAGTGTTCACAGCTCGTTGGTCGGCATCTAAGCCCCATCCCATAGTCCCTATGCCGACAGACGGCTCTGATCTTTTCTTAATTATACCGATTCACGTCGACGATGGTCTCTCCGCTACCAACTCCCCGACACTATACTCGTGGCTGATCACAGAACTAAACAAAAGATTCTCGATCAAGGACTTAGGCCCTGCATCAATGTTCTTAGGCATTCGTATCGAGCGGGATCGCAAAGCGAGAAAAATATGGCTATCGCAGAAAAGTTTTGTCATGGACCTACTCTCCACAAATAATATGTCTCAATGCACACACTCAAATGTTCCCCTTCATACGAAACTTGATAAAGTCACACCTCTTGCCGAAAACGCGCTACCTGATGTTCCTGACAACGACATACAACTTCTCTATCAAAGCTTAACGGGATCCTTCATATATCTGGCAGTCACTACATGACCTGACCTTGCTTATACTGCTATGGCTCTAGGCCAATATAACGCGCGACCTACTCGAAATCTACTGGCAGCAGCCAAGGGAGTGCTCCGTTATCTCAATGCTACTCAAGATTGGGCTATTGAGTATGGGGGTGTCTATCTACAGGAGAAAGTGGGACCGGACACGGTGGTCAGATCAGACTTAGCATTGGTGGACGCGGATTGGGCTTCAGACAAAAAGGATCGGAAAAGCATAACGGGCTATGGCATCTTTCTATATGGAGGACTGGTGGCATGGTCGAGTGTTAAGCAAAAATCGGTCTCACTATCCTCGACGGAATCGGAGTACATGGGCTTGACTCATGTTCTCAAGGAGTTACTCTGGATGAGGATGTTCCTGCGTCTGCAAACTCTACCCATACCAAGACCTTTCCCTATCGGTTCCGACAACCAAGCATCACTTGAAGTCGCTTCTTCTTATAGCTCCACTGCTCGCATGAAACACATTGATATTCGGTATCACTTCATCCGCGAACACCTCCGGACCGAAAATTTTCACACTCACTGGATACCCACCCTCAAGATGACGGCCGATGTTCTCACGAAACCTCTTTCTCCTCCGCTTCACTTGAAACATTGCCTTTTTCTTGGTCTGGTCAAGAGATGATGGTCAGCTGAATGGGGGTGTGTTGGGAGTAGGGGATACTTATTCAGATGACCATTATGCACGGACACATCACATTGATCACATCTTTATCATGTAATCATCCCGGACACTTATATAGCTCGTACCTTCCTTTCTTACTCCTCAGTCGTTTCCGCATTGCCCGTGGACTGAGGAGGTTAGTTATTCGTTTTCTTATTGTTCACGCCTTTATCTTACTTACCATACCTTAGTTCTGACATTCGTGTTATCGGTATAGGTGCTTAGGCTGACAATAATGATACCATTTCTGCTGTAGCACTAACAACTTGCAGAATCTCTATGCATCGTCACTGCCAGTTACTCCACCTTAGCCCTATTCTACGCCCGTCAAGTTCGGTGTCCGACTTGGAGCAGCTGCAATCGCGCCGGCCGCCATCGTAAATCCAGGAAATAGCCATCCGCATTCCCAGTAGGAGGCTCGTTTACTTATGAAATTCGTATGTACTACGATGTTCTCTTTGAGATATTCATTAATCGCTATGTATAGCCATCTGCAAGAGTCACCCACCCCATCTCGCTGCCCTGCTCCATTTGATATAAGACCCCGTGGTATCTGGTTATTAGCCTTTACTACGCTAACTCGTGCGAACTTGCTGGACTGTCGATTATTTGAAGTGCTACTCGAGCTCCCCGAAAGTGTTCAAAGTCGGCGGTCGTTATTTCTCCAGTTATCAGAGTATGTTTGGGTCCTTCTGCATATATGTGCGCGTGCCGTGTTGAATTATTCCCTTCCCCCACTTTCCATCACAACTTTCTCGCGTACAGGAACAGTCAAAATTCGGATCACATGTAAAACAACAGCACAAGAAGATACAAAGCCGCCACCTGAAAACAGTCATAAAGAGCCGGTAGCGAAGGACGAGACGACGTTGTGGTGACAGATCAGTATCAAGGTCTGACGGGACTCCGTCTACTGCCATCATCGCACTGCTCGATCCATCGTGTAGTTGTCTCTGGTGGACTACTCAGTGTTTTGTGCAGTACTCAGTACGGACGTCAAATAGGTGAACCAGTCCAAGTCCTGAGCTCTTTCCTGAGATACTGACTACAACGCTTTTCAGATGATCTCTTCGTTCCTTGAATTCTCCACCTTTCGACATAAATATCGCCAGGTTGCCTTCTTTCATCAAATTGTACGTCCCCACCGGCAAGCGGTAGCAAGTGGTACATTTATGGCTCGTTATTTGCCACTTGGCCAAAAATCCATCGTTTCTGATGCGGTTTTTCTCCGCGTCTTTGCCATACTCATTAATCGTGTTACAGTGGTGCAGACCCACCGGCCGGGGTTTCAGTCTGAACCTGTTACTTTACTATGAAGAATCTGTCCTCATAGATTCTTTTACCAGCCGGTCCTTTCCATCGACAAACAGGTGTTCGAAGGTCGTATATTTCTCCGGTGACCAGTGTCCTACACATTCATGTACAAATGAACATCTTTTCCTGAGATACAAATGTCGCGCTAGGACATAGAGGTACACTGAACCAGTATGTTCACCAGTCGATCAGGTTCTCAGCTTTCTTAGTATGAAACACTCCCGTTCCCACAGGCAAAACATCGTTGCAGCGCACGCCGCGTTGATGCCCTTCTGTTATAGTTTAGCATTTATATCCCATTGTCTGCTGTATCTTTGATAAAAATGGCGTAAATATGGAGTGAATTGCGTACTTACACGGAGTGAACACAGGTCCTTCTAGTCACGTCTCAGCCGGAGATGTAAGAGTCTATCAAGCTGCTGTAAGTCTGATAATATAGACTCGTTGTTCCTATCGGAAAGTGCCCGAGTTTTTGCCTTTGCAAAAATGCCCACAGAATCGATAGGATCATTCATCATCCCATATCGCATGGCAAGGTCCCTCTCGAAATGTTCCAAACGGAGGATTTCTTGTTCTTGGGGATTAACCTAGGAAAAGATGAGAATGGACATCACATATGATGCAGTAAGGCAGGTATATTCATGACCCGACTGGGATATTAAAACTGGGAAAAGTGAAGCAAGATGGTCGCACCGCAGTCACCGTGGTATGGTAGATACTAATCACGGAAGATGTTGGTACGACTCGTGTATGGATTGAAAAGGAAGATAGGAGAAACATGCTCACTATACCAAAGCTTCGATTGTAGATGCTACGGAGCCATATCCGTATTCTCAAAACTGAGAATCGGAACATTGTATTACCTGGAGATAGTTTAGGAATGAAAGAATTCTTCAAGAAATCACGTAGCGTACTTGCGAGCCCTCTCATTACTGTGTTAGTTCTTAGTCGGGGGAGTTTGAGTAGTCGCACTTTAGAAGAAGCCAGTAGGGGATGAGCTGGGATCCATCCTTTCTCGCGACTTATAATTGGAAAGTTTCATGGTTCTGTCGTGTGGAGAACATCTGTTTTTGATGGTCACATGTTCGAGATGACATGATAATGCTGGCCCCCAATCTCCACTCCGCGAAATGCAGATCATGTGCATGATCATGATGTGATACAGTGAGGCAGAAGTTTCGGACCATATCGATAAGAAGCCGGCGTGATGATGTTCCTGACTGGTGATGTGCAGTGTAGTGATAATGCTATCATGGAACTGGGAGTGCGTACTGGGGGCTATAAGTTTATATATGTATGCAGCTTAGAGCGAGATATAGCTGATATAGGGGATTCCCAACTGTGCGCGAGCGGTGATCATGCGGGCAAAAAGAGGCTTTGCGAAGACCAATATTATGATATTGTCTTGCGATTTGAAAGCGTTCTATTTCACGCAAGAAGACGACCCCAACCACACATCCTTCTGCTCCCGCGTTGCCCTGTGGGACAGCCAGTGTTTGGAAAGTTAGCTCTATGTTTAGCATTTGGTCCTGTTGGATCGTTCCATGTAATACTACTACCTACCTACGGGTAGTGCATACCCAGGGTTCACACGTGTCGACTTCTCCAACAACTTCTCAAACCGAAAGAGTGCAGAGAAGTGCATGCGTGAGTACCCCATTCCCCACGCATTCACATTCCTGACACGCCGTCAACGATACGTGCAAATACACATACGGACAGCAATCTACCACTGATGCAGCAGGGAAGATTTCATCTACAGCGCCAAGCATACCCTCTGACAACGCGCGCAGGAGTGTCGGGATAGTACATAGTGCGCCAATCAGAAAGTATGGAGGGTGGCATCCCCAATGGCAGCAGTCGAGAATCATGGCAATTAGATACCCTTTCTCACGAGAGATTTGAGCGAGGGTGGCATCGAATTCTCATCCATTAGTGTCCGCTCACTCGGTCCAGTGTTGCTGCAATCGATAGGGTGATGTTGCCGCGTGTTGGGGTGCACTCACTGTCACGGGAGATAGCTTAACTGCCGAAGTGGCGTTGGATTATGTTCAATACCCGTTTCTCGGGCATGGTGAGGCCCTTAGTGACATGTTACCGCATCCTCAAGGGGCAGGATACACAAGCAAGTAAAGCACATCAATATGTATCGATGTATCGACGCCAATTAGAACAGCCTAAAATCAACATCTGTCCGTAAAGTGGAAGAGCTAAAACGATACCGATGAGTATGAGAGCCATAACAAGGAATGTACACCCGCCGCCGGGGTGAATCCCGAGGAGTAATCGTCAGAAGACTGATATTCGGCCTAGCCAAGAGTAAGAAAGGCGAGCTTGAAGGATGCAGAGAACCGCCGGAGATGTATCGCTGATTCCAAGAGAGAGAATGAGGAATCACTAAAGAAAGGGAGAAGTACGGAAGTCCTGCCCGGATGTGCACTAATCACGGATAAACCGGACCGCATCCAACGCTTACACCACGACGCACCATAAATGTGGGAGTCTACAACCTCAAGGTGACTTTGTTCATTGCCTGTGTTGTAGCATTTTGCTTCGATAACCTCGTTCGCAGTAAGGTGGGCGTCAAGGGGAATATCGCGATGCTCGTCCATCAATTATGACCAAAAAGTCGGTGTCTAATCAGCACATTTTGAAAGATAAGCAAGATTCCGAGAAGAGCAATCCACGTACGTTCTTTCCCAATCCTCCAGTTGCCGCTCGTACTCCCAGGTCGTCATTCCAACATTCTCTACGAGGATATCCAATCGATCGAATTCACTTTCAGCCCTATCAACAAACGCAATGACGCTGCTGAAATTGGCGACGTCGATAATCCATAGCCCCGCGTTTGTGTATCCAGTCTCTTTGAGAACACCTGTGATGATAATGATCAATCGGCATCGTAGATCTGATAAACACAAGAACATACGAGCAACAGCCTCTTCTCCCTTCGCTTCATTCTTTGCCGTCAACACCAATTGCGCAGGGTTCACCTTAGCGAAACGCTTTGCAGTTTCGAATCCTAGTCCAGCGTTGGCTCCGATGGGGACGAGTGTCTTTCGACTCAGATCGGCCGTGACGACGGCGGGTATCGGTCTGGTCCGGCCTGCGACCCATTGTCCGCGAGTTCTGGGAGCATGATGAGGTGTGATGACGAGTCGTCCAAGTTCGTTGCTTTATACGTTGTTGGGTGCGAATGTATTTGGGGATCCCATCAGATCGGAGTCTTTGAGGCGCTTCTGAATCGCGTAGTTGCAAGGTCGAAGTTTATAGTGAATAGCATGGTCCGGACTGCCGTTAGCCTACGCAAGCGCAGGATCATGTTTATAGAAGCTCTGACGATAGGTCAACATGAAGGTACCCTAGGAGGAGCGTAAGACTGAAGAGACAAGCTTCGTTATCACTAAATAGCCAAAATGACAGTTGTGCAGCAGTTGATATATGAAATGTTACGTACACTCTATTTAGACAATCGCAGGATACGCTTTCCAAATTGACATGTTGAATGGAACTGTGCATGAACTGAGCACCCTTATTCTAGTGAGCGCTCACATATATACGTAGGAGGAGCAAAACCATACTCTGTTCTCCGGAGAAATACGCCGCTCTCAACACTTTCGGGAAGCTCGATTAGTATCAAACGATTGACAGTCTCGTTAGTCCGTATGGATCAGCATGGTAAGCACAGACCCAACAGGGTCCGTGGAGTTATCGTTCCAGAGGTTCACAGGAGTCCTAGACCAGTTGGAAGCGGGCCGTGTGAGGAGAGGCGGTGATATCGTTGCAGACAACTACAACGCAGTGAATAGCGAATATTTCAAGAATATCGTGGTACGTACAAGTTCATAAACAAGCCTCCGGCTCTGCTACCGCGTAATATTCGCGCCCAGTGCTTGTAGGTGGTACCGCCTCGAGTGTTGAGTACCAAATGCTAAAGGTCGTATGAGCGGACGTAGAATTGGGGAAATATACAGGGCGCGCAGGTGTAAAATTGGCAGCACCACTCTGTAATACAATTAATGAATGCAGTGGAAAAAAATAAGGAAGAGGCCACGTACCGTCCGTCCATGATGCAGGCACTCATCTATACCCCTCCACCTACAACGTTGAATGAAGTAATACTCGAGCCCTAACGGTGTCCTTGAAACGCTTTCCGTGGAAGAGAAGGTACCGTGCGATATGATGATGATATACGACATCTTAGAAGATCTGGTACAACCCGACTATATGCACTTCGGAAGGTAAAGGATAGATACAGAGGGCGAAAAGATTGTATATTCGCGGCCGCCTATGAACGTATCCTCTGGCAGGGTGATATCTTGCGCCGCGCGCCCAAAACTGGGCTTAGGGTCGCTTATCGGTCACTATGTCCAATGTCGTGGCATCACTGCGTTGTACGTCGTCCTCGTGTTCCAAATTGGCGGAAGATTATATAACAGCTCGCTTAGGAACCAGATCTGCAATATTGCACTTAGTATATCTCTCGAATGCTCGATACTCAGGCCGACGCACCTCTCCAATGAGGTCTGCATCGTCAGTTTTCCATTTCGATGATTGAGCACCGTATCAGGAACTGAGGTACTGAGCGATGAGCTATCCATTGCCGAGCCGGGTAATGGGTAGAGCGATGCCCGCTTCAATGCGATGATGGTGGTAGGAGACTGGGGAGACTGAGTCGTGTCGGACCTTGAAAATCCTATTGATCCGCCATCACCACGCCGCATCGTCGGCTACCAGTACTCTAGTACAACGACCGCTTTCAAGTGTGCATATCGACTCCTTGGATCATTTCCGTACCGTGATTGCAGAGGATATCACAACTCAACAGTTTTTGTGCAACAGAGAAAACCGCGAACTTCGCCCGACCGATACCAAAATTGAATATGCGCACGTAACTAACAAGGATCTGGCCCAGCAAAAGCTATGAATACTCTACATATCACACATGCAGGTATGCGTACCGTGACCATCGAATGCAAATAATACATAGTGACCAGACTTTGACTCAGCAGGCTCACTGTCTAATTCTTGCGTGTTACAAGATCACTTGAAGACGCTTACTTCTCATTTTGAACTACGACAGCCTCTCCCTCCTTCTCCTCTCCCGTGACGCCCTTACTATATCCTTGATTCAGCTGTGGATTCCGCTTTGGATCACAGGCAATTCAATGGCTACTAGAAACCAATGAATATACCAACCGCTTCAAACACCTACCAGCGCCGAATGGCGTTCCATTTCATGAGAAGCGTAGCTTCACAGCAATGTCTGCAGGAAATGAAGCACTAGGAAACGAAGTAAAATGTCTCGAGGACTCAATGGATCACTTGATATCTCTATGAAACAAGATAAATCGAGAGACAGCCAACTACAACACCGTTAGAGCTCCTACGCTCTCGACCTCTCACACTATTGCGCTCCTCATCTTCTCATCGCCGCGATGGAAGCTACCAACCGCAGTTCCGATCCACTCATACCGAGATCTCTACAGAATAGAGGGAAATCTTCTCTCACTAGAAGAGTTCTACGATCTCAGCACTCTTGATGTTCACTGCATGCATCAAACTACCTTTCAATTCACCGGTCTCTGGGACGTTCCCATCCTCAAAAAATTCGTGAGATCACCGATTACCCTGAGCCATACATCCCTGTACAGTGCACACACCCCAAATCACGACTGCCGAGATGATAAGAGCACCAGCGAGAAGTCGACTACTCATGGCAGATCTCCCTCTCTTGCCTTCCCTCGAGCAAACTTCGTCCCTTGCTCGCGCGCGAGCAGTTAACCTTGTGAGCACGATGGCTCACGCTACCAGCTCTTACGACGTTGACTCTGCAAGAGGATATCTCCGTCGACGCGTCCTTTCTCGTATTGATCGTTCTGGGTCTTCTCTCTATTCGAGAGATAGCCATCGCATCGAATGTCATTGTTGAAGCAGATTGCACTCGCCTACTCAACGGAATTCTCGGCTCTCGTGGTTGTTGTGCTGCTTACAGAATGCGCTCATGCGGCCGCGTTCACCCAGGGGCTGTCTGAGATTTCTGATCGTTTTACGGTGCTACACAGACTCACGTTGAAGGGAATAAAAGCTGTTGATCCAGCCAGCGTCACCCATGTCAGGGACGCGCAGCCCAGTATCGTTGTGAGGTGGTAGATCAGCTCACAATTCTTCTCTCCGTGCACCCTGACAGCCAATGACAGAAGACGGGGCTGTGATTTAGGTACAGTTTTCCACACAGTTGAATAACGATTGTAGTTGCCGTTAGTAGTATATTGTTAGATGATGCGACACGGACATAGGCACCTGGCTATTGTATTCACTACCTGAATCGCTACTCCTACATCAATGGTCGAACTGAATGATAGATCCCTGCCGTCGGCACAATTACATTAGAATCTGCCGGTCGCCTGCTCACAGTTGCTCTTCGTAAAATGAGACTAGATTGGAGTGATTTGTTCTTTTCAGGTGAAGAGTTCCCAGCCTAGACGGCAGCAGGAGATCAGAAGATAGAAAGATGCAATGTAAATCCCGTATTTCCATGCTACGCGTCGGAGACTGACTTATCAGACAATTAACGTTGAAAGGAATTGAGGGAAGCACAGGTGAGATAGGTACAGTAGCATGAGAGTATTCCTGCCGCCACTACGTCAATACTATCCGACACTGAGTAGATACAATTCGGATATATCTACCATGCTCATCCCTTGTCGCAGTACTATAGGCGCCTTCGATGAGAGCGGGGGAACACGATCATGGAAATAGCGCACATTTGCACCAGAATAAATCTAATTCCACGCCTCAGCTGTCAGGAACACGCGGTAGTGTTGAAGTTTCCGAAGTTGCAGAGATACTTAGTAGGATTATGTCAGTGCAAACACGTTGAATATCAAAGTAGCAAGGAGATCTCCACAAAAACCCCGCTCGATTTTGCCGGTTCTCGTGGGCATTGACACATATCCATCTTAGCCCTTACGCGGTTGCATGTCCGGCGCAAAGGGATAGCTAAATATGCGATCAAAGACCTCAGCGTTCTGGAAAATCATACCCATTCATCTCTCTACCTATTTTCGGATACAACATGATGACAATATCGCCATATACTTCCTTAGACACGATTAGCAATGCTGCTGTTTGGACCATCCTCTATACAAGGACTGTACAGCAGTCAAAGAAACCGTCGAGGCACCGTGTCATACCGATTGTGACGTTACCGATGCAATGCAATGTCATCGTACCACCCGTCTGTCAGTTCCCGACATCAGCAACCAAGAAATCAATACAATCCTCTCCAAAATTTCTCCATTCTTCATTCCTGCCATCCCGTCGGCATCACCCGAGAAATGTAGGAAGAGTACGTAACATCATGTCAATGTCAGGCAGCTCCATTCGATATCTCTTTACAACTGCCCATAAGAACTTGAGAGATCTCCCATCAATATATGTCCATGGGAGTTTGCCATTGGTGCCCTAGCAGCGTTTCAGGACGAACTTTGCGACAGAGGTACCAGAGGCCAGGGTTACAATGGAGTATTCACTCAAGCGCTCATTCCCGCTCTCAAGTCGGCTAACTACAAACGAACAGATTACGTCCATCTCCTTCAGGAATACCTTGGATCGTAGACTAGAAGCACCGTTGTCGCTGGAACGAAAAAGGATGCGCAAACTTGGTATCAGGTATTGACGGCAACTTTTGTTATTATGTGTATATATATTCATTGAAGCGGCCGACACGTATTCAGGATTCCACTTGTGATAGTACAGTGCTGTTGGATGAGCAGTAGGCGCTGGTAACAGGTACCGTGCTGGGATATTTTCCCGTGGACTTGCTAAAACAATAGCCTTAGAAAAGAATTCAGACTGAACTAATCTAGCAGAAAATGGTGACTCGTAATTATAGGGCGCTTCCTCAGAATTCAATATCGGCACGAGCATCGGTGGCGAGGATATCAATACTAGTGACTTGTTGTCATCAATAATGTGTATGCGCTTAGTAGTGAATGAATACTGTATGATATATGGACCTTAATGCAGCACGCCTTCACGAAATTTCTCAATTGACCCACCTATATGCGGCCGCATTGGAAAATGCAGCAGTCAGCATTCAGTCTACGCTTATGATTACTGGTTTACGAACTCTAGAACAATGGTGATATGTTGAACCATCGATTGTATTCAATAAATCCAGAATGTACAGGTGTCAATGGCCAATGGACCCAGAAAACCCACACGGCATCCCTCCAAGGTCCGAAACTATGCCTTCTTTAAGGGCTCCGATCTCATCGACACCGCTGTGATGTAACTTCCTGCTTATACAGATGAACAGAAAAACTCATAAGGGAAGTGGTAACAAGTTGACGTGATTCAGTTGATAGAGGATAAGGGCATAGGGTAGGGCAATGCAAGTCTGTCCACGGAGAAGATTTTTGATTGCGTTTCGGAACACTAGCATTATGATCAAGCGTCCCATCGCCTTTGAAATTTAAAGTTTTTAAAGTATAATCATAGCCGTTATTGCCAGAACAGATCTCCGTAGAACTCAGAGCTATGTGGATGAGCCGCTGGGAAGAATCTAGATAGTATTGTAGTAGGTAACATCGCAATAGTGAAGCTTGTACCGCCTGTACTGGCAGAGTATAATGCGTACTAAGAGTACATTACCTACGAGTTCTTGCCAACGTGAAACCATGACGATGAATGCCGGGTTTCCAGCAAGTCTCGTTGTCCAGGAGAAAACTTAAGAAAAGCGAAACTCGATGATTATAGTTATTAGTAATAAGTCAGACGCTGGACGTGGAAGGAATACATCAATAAGTCGGCGTCATACAAGATCTTGACACATACTTCACGTCTCCTTCATCTGTATAATTACCTTCATAACATGAGGACAACAGGTCTTATCCAGCTATACCGCCCCAAGTGTTCTCTTTTCCTCACCGATACAGCCGTAGAACAACGAAAACAAGATTTGATTTTGACCATGGCCTTATAATGGTGGAGAGGATGGATCCGGATGGCGTTGGACTTCATGAGCATTCCGATGAGGATATATTCAAGGCTTGGATGAAACCTTGGAGACGATAATTCGCAGGGAAGACGCTTCGCTTCCCACGTCTTTGTACTTGCTGTGATTGTAATAAAATCGTCAGCCAAAAGCCGGTGCGGTGGACATCGAAGGTGGTATATGTGTGTATCACTGTGCGGCGACTCCTTTATCTATTTCATCGGTAGGAATCCCCGAAATCGAGGGCTTAGCACGTCGAGTGTTGGGTTCAAGGTCACGATGGTATTCCTCTTTTGGCATTGTTTGTCCTCATCCCTAGGTCTGGCGAGACTTTCCGCAACAAGGTTTGCTTTTTATTCTCGAGTCATAGCTTGAGAATTTCAACTTTCTCTACTAGTGGCTCGATATTCTCTTGTATTTAGCTTTCACTGGCTAACCCATGACTTAAAAAAGCGTCACTCGAAGGCTTTGACACATCCGTGTTCCAAGGAAGGGAGTTCGTAAATGAGCCTGCTACCCTACTCTACTATTACAATTTTGGTGATGTGAATGGCATAAAATATTCACAAGCTATCGGATGAATGAGCGTCTATCTGACATAACATATAAGTTACGGGTTTCTATTGGGCCGATCATATCTGCATTCTTTCTCAGGTTGGCTGGTGGCGACCCATTCAGCTCCTTCCTTGCAACATGGAGATACGGGACCTTGTTTTTTTTTCATTCTAAGTCATCAGTCATAACATTCTGTCAGTATTGCGGCTGCAATCTAAATCAAATCTAAATTTATCTTAATTGTAGTAGAGTCTTCAGGGCATCAATCTCTCCTCTTCGCTCATCCTTCTACTCTCAGTCGTCCGGACATTCAACAAAGAATGAATTAGCCGCGTCATTCTGGGGTCGTACATTTCCGTTGCTGGCCCTGTGCTTATATGGAGACTTCCGGTTAGATCGCTCTACCCTCGCGTCACGATAGCTTATTCTTCAGGGCTGAAGATCATTAATGTACATACTACCTGTCAAAGTCCCTTTGACGTCATAGTTGGTTTCGGTCAAATTTATCCAGGTTCGCTGATTCGCGGGAGCTTTTCAGGATTCAATTAGGATCTTCGAATCTTATCGTCTCAAACTAGACAGATCCAATCGAAATAGTGCATATGGAATACACATTCGTATTCAATGGTCCTCCCGAAGCCTCTCCGACCGATTTTTGCGGCAGTGCCTCCCCGCTTCAAATCAATCACAAGAATGATGTATTCTACTGCCCCCAAATGGATTATCAGCATTGGAAGTGGACTTTGGGGTTGGAATTAACGTATCTTGGTCTCTATACGACACTCCTAGTATGTCAAATACAAATGTACTCGATATCTAAATCTCCAAGCATCCGGTGAACTGTTCAACAGAAGCCCAGTTTTCCGACATGGGAACCACTCCACCCAAAGACCAGCAGTATGTATATGTATGTCCCCAGTTATCGGCGTCGATGTTATGGTACTGACAAACTGCGTTTAAAATGCCAGCGTCCCCCTCAATTTTGGGCGGTATTGATCGGTATCGATGGATATTTGCATACTCCTCAATTATCCGGATGTGTTTCCGATGCGAATGAAATGGAGAGGTACTTAATTGACACTCTACACGTCCCGGGGAATCATATCCAGTGCCTTTCTCGTGACGACTCCCAAATCGCTGTCAGAGTCGACCCCAATAGCGACCCCAGCGACGACCCTACCCGCAACAATATCATCCAAACACTTCGCAATCTACCTGCCAAGAACGATATCAGGAAAGACGACAAGATTATCATCTACTTTGCCGGACACGGTTCAATCTATCTTAATTCAGATTATTACAAGGAGGAGACCATTGAATCCTATGGTTGCAGCCAAGCTCTATGCCCTTCTGACCGTGGCCAAGGCACCGCCGACATTGGCGACCGATTGATAAACGACATTCTCTCCAAAATATCCAAAGATACGGGAGCTCATATCACAGTCATTCTCGACTGCTCTCATTCCTCAGGTATCACACAAGGAATGCCTGGTGCCATACCGCGTAACGCCAATCGCATAGAACAGGGTGAAGCTGACTCCGGCAATACAGAAGGTAATCCATCCTTCAAGTCTAATCCCAGAAATGAGCTTAGATCGCCATATGTAGGACAGCGCCATGCCTCTCCGCTGCTGTCTACACTTGAAGCAATGTTCGACAGCCCGGTAGACACCAAAGGGGGAAATTTTCCGGACCGCAAATCTGAAAAATGGGTTCCTAATATGAAGTCTCATGTCCTTTTGGCGGCATGTCAAGGGTATCAGCAGGCAAAGGAGATAAAGAAGGAGGACGTTTCCAGGGGGGTTTTCACGAAGGCACTCATTGAGGTTCTCGAGTCAAAGGAATGGAAAGAAAATGAATTGAAAGAAAAGACGTATGATGCCCTCATTGGTCAGTTGAATGCCCACAAGTTGGAGGGCAAGACACAGACATCGATCGCCATTGGGGAACGTAAGAACACACAACTTTGGTCCCAGGTATGACAGTACTTCTGTTTATTCTGTGCTCCTACGAGTCTGACATATTTACAGGAGCCAGTGAAACAGTGAAGGCGATAAACCACTGAAGGATAGCTGTCTGGATGCCGAGAATTTAGAAGTATTTTGACAGCGGATCTGGCGTTCAACACAACGGAAATATGTCCTAGTTTCAAGATAGTATGATACAAGATGTACGAAGAGGTAAATATAGCCATCTGTGATTCTGTAAAGTAAGAGGGACGCAAATGTAAGGCAAACAATTCCTATCATAGGTAAAACTTGAACATCAAGTTACTACGATGAAATGCACTTCGCGTACTGACAACAGAGAGACGGACCGTCACAGTTATTTTACCACTGTACACTTCGGCGCATTGTATCACAATACTCGCCTTCTCTGATGGGCGCGAAAAGCAGCGATAGAGTCTATTCCCTAAATTCGCAAAATCTGACTATATGCACTATTAGATGGCCAGGGACACACGTACCGTCACTTCTTTCAGGGAGTATCGACATGAGGATAACAGCGCACCTAATATATCATCTAAATGGTGTTCTTGTGATAGTTTTCCCATTATCGATGAAACCTTCGCCGTTCCATCTCAATTCTGCCCCTTTCTTCGCATATGACACCAGCCGCTACCGTGGGTGGGGATCTACGTTGGAATTACAAGATGTGGGCTGAATTCGTCTTGTTGGGGTTGAGCTTTTGAGTTTTGAAAACCGGACGGTTGAGCAATTGCAACAAAAGATTCCCGTCGAACCCTGACACGGGAAATCTTCGGTCGATATTTGAGAGGCAGTCCTCATGAGCTCTGCTGTGAGTTGGACGACGTGAACCGGAATGTGCAGGGACTCGTCGCGAATGCAAGCCTGGAAGTAAGCAAAGATGTGATGATAGAGCTCGATCGGAGGAGGAATTGGTGTCCGCCGCAGAGCATAACGATCGTCAAGGATTGGTGTGACGCCACTTTGGTAGTTGAAGTAGTTGGTTGATTTGGCGCTTTTGGATGGAGCCATGCCGCCATGTACATTTTTGAAGGCAATGTCGAGCTTTGCATGTGCATAATTAGTCAGATCATGTTTCAGGATAGCGAAGACCGACGCACTTTTACCCAGCACCTCAAGGATATCATGTTGCTCTGCGAGCTCACCTTGCGCAATGTCGTTGTTTGTTCCATAGGAGTAATGTCAGCAACAAAGACCATTATTTTCCGACGATGGTTATCACTCGTGAGCAACACATCATAGACTAATTCCGTGCCTATTATTTGGTCACAGAACTTGTCCAGTCGACAATCGTTATCCAGCAGAAGGCTCCGCAGGTCAGCGGACCCTCTACGAATCGGATTTAGGTGTTCGCGTGGCTTTTGGAGCATGAAAAGACAGGAACGATCACGGCAGAGATAACGGTACCTTCCACAGCAATATACTCTCCTCAGGGATCTGCTTTTTGGCAGCCAATGTTTCCTTCATATGAGCACACAATCATCCGCAATTTCCACAATGATAGTGCCTTCAGATACACGGCTGTCGTCGTACAAGTAAATGGAGATCTGTAGTGGCATGAGCGTGGTTTAGCTTTATCGCAGTTATAGTGTACAAAAATCATCTGCGTACAGGTACTTCAGGAGATCAGCTAAAACAGGTACCCATTTGACACACACCTAGTTGTCTCTCCATCTCCCAGTACTTTTATGCATCCTTATGGGTGTACCTGCATCTACTCGTACTTGTTGCTGTACTGTAACAAGCCGTTCGCAAGTACTTTTTGAGAACGTCCGTGTTGGGCCCGCAAAGATCCGGGCATTGCCGAGACGTCGAACCTGCCGCTGATGGCGCATTCACACCAAGCCTAGAACTTGTATGGATAATATAAGTCCATGCCAATGCAGTAGCACCCTCGGAATATATATAATAATCAATGACTATACAAGAATGTTTTAGCAAAATAGAAAAGAAGTTTACAAAACTCGGAATTTCGCTTCCAGTCAACTTCCAGTACAAAGCCAGACCCAAAATCTCGGACGTGTGGTCGCGGAAATGCAAGGCGAAACGTCAATTGTGAGTAAGCGGCAGAGGTTTAATTAAAGACGTCCATAGGAACAAGATTTGCGCACGCAAATCAATGGAGCTTCAAAAGAGGAGGGAAATCGGAGAGGTAAGAACGAAAATTTCAAGATTTTTGCGAGTGCGCTGGAAATATGTGCAAACAATGATGTGCCCACGGCCACGGATTATGCAAGCGGCGAGGGGTTTGTCGTTGGGTGATAGTGTCCATCGGGATCTGTAAATGTACTTGCGAACTTGAAGTAGTGGCGGATCACTAAGTGGTTGCAAATTGAGACACATGTATCGCTCAAACGGGAAGTGGCTGTGTGAGCCTAACCCTGATGGTGAACAAGCACCAGCATCGAAAGTAGTGCTGGGAACCATCAAAAGTAGTGGTGTCCTCCCTACTGAACAAAAGAATTTTTGTACAGTATAACGCCCATATAGCTTTCATACTTTAAAGTTAGGAGCGAAGCAAGGTGACGTGGTGGCGGTGAGGAATACTACACGTGGTAATCGGCACTTCGGTCCGATCAAACTCGGTTTATCACCGGTTTCCCCTGATTCCTACTGCCAACCTACTGCAACCAGTTATTTGCGATGCGGCTTTTTCTACCTGTTCCCTCTTCTTAGGATCTTCACACAGTCTATCGACAGAGATTTTTCCTGAGGGAAAACCAAGCTGTGGATCCCTGAACAGATGTCCTGCCTATAAGAAGGCGAATCAAGACAATCCTCTCACAATCCAAGCTGCTCACCACGTCATTATTTTTCTCATTCTTGAATAAGGAGTATAATAATACCATTTCTGCTGTAGCGCTGACAACTGGCAGAATCTCTATGCTGCTTCACTGCCAATTACTGCGCCTCAGCCCGATTCTACGCCCATCAAGTTCGGTGTCCTTGGAGCTGTTGAAATCGCACCGGCCGCCATCGTAAATCTACCAAAGATATATCCCTACACCGAGTAGTAGGCTCGTTTACTTATGGAATTCGTATGTACTGCGATGTTCTCTTTGAGATATTCATTAATCGCTATGTATAGCCATCTGCAAGAGTCACCCACCCCATCTCGCTCCATCTGATATAAGACCCATGATATCTGTTTATTGGCTGTTACTATGCTCACTTGTGCGAACTCGCTGGACTGTCGATTATTTGAGGTGCTACTCAAGCTCCCCGAGAGTGTTCAAAGTCGACGGTCATTATTTCTCCGATTATCAGAGTATGTTTGGGTCCTTCTGCCTAAATAGCAGCACGAGAAGAAAAGGCGCAACCTGAAAGCAGTCAGAGCTGGTAACGAAGGACAAGATGACGTTGTAGTGATAGATCAGTATCAAGGTCTGACAGGACTCCGCCTACTGCCATCATCGCACTGTTCGATCCATCGTGTAGTTGTATCTGGTGGACTACTCAGTGTTTCATGTAGTATTCAGTACAGACGTCGAATAGGTGAACCAGTCCAAGCCCTGAGCTCTTTCCTGAGATACTGACTACAACACTTTTCAGATGGTCTCTTTGTTCCTTAAATTCTCCACCTTTCGACATAAATATCACCATGTTGCCTTCTTTCATCAAATTGTACGTCCCCACCGGCAAGCGGTAGCAAGTGGTACAGTGATGGCTCGATATTGGCCACTTGGCCAGAACTCCATCGTTTCTGGTGCGGTTTTTTCTCCGTGTCTTTGCCATAGTCACTAATGGTGTTCCAGGTGGCGCAGACCCATCAGTGGGCATGGCAGTTTGAGCTTTTTACTTCACTGTGAAGAATATCTGTACGTTATTCGAATTTTGTTTAGTAATTATCATCCTCATTGATTCTTTTACCGGCCGGTACTTTTCATTGACAAACATGTGTTCGAAGTCATATATCTCACCGGTGACCAGTGTCCTACACATTCATATACAAATGAACGTCTTTTTCGGGATGACAAAGGTCGCGCTAGGACATGCAAGCACACTGAACCAGTATGTGCAGGTTCCAAGCTTGCTTAGTATCAGATGCTCCCATTTACTCAGTCAAAATATTGCACGCTGTGTTGATGTCTTTGTGTTATAGTTTGATATTTTTATCTCGCTGTGAAAATCCCGGTGCGTCGTTTGGCATTTTGCAATTGTGTTCCTCCTTCTCATACTTCGTTTACCAGACGGTAATTTCTGTTGACAAAGAAGGCATGTAATTTCCGAAGACTGAAGTATGAGGATTAGATATTCGGTGATTATATTCGAGTGATGACCTTGTATCAATTTTTGTTTTTCATGCTACTCGAATTTTCGGGCTATACAGGTTTGTTTGCTTACTTACTGAAATTTACTCAAGTTCCTATTATCTGCTGGGAAACATTTCTTGCTGCTCTTTGTCCTTTGGCTGAGCGCTCACAAGAATCAGTTCATTCGCAGTTCCATTTGTTGTCCCAATGCTTGTGGATTGATGTATGTTTCAGACTCTCAATCTAACCATTCGAGAGATACCATTTAAAACTTAATAATTTCTTGAACTTTGGTTGACCATGATGATTGAGGCCCCATATAACACAAAATCTTCCTACATGCAGACCTTAGAACGAAATATGGTGGCACTGCTCGAGTGTGTGCAAATCCGGGATGGTATTAGTCTGGAGAAGCTGCTTGAGCCATTCATCCTTCGCTAGATTGCCCTCAAACATTCTAGCTTCTGTAATACGTATATATATACGAGTGGTAGTGTACTAGATACTCAGGTGCTTGAGCACAGAATAATAAATGAAGTGGCTGTTGATTGTACTAAATTTCATCCCTATTTTAATAAAACTGCATTTAAACATATCTAAGTATTATAAAAACGTAACTACCCAAGGAATAATTATCATAGAAGCAATCCGTGCTGTACTCTAGAGTGTTGAACATAGTTACCATATCGGGACATCCATCGATCCATCCATCAAGTCGACTTCGCGCCGACTTCCAGCTTGTATCCCAGCAGGGTACAGGACCACCCATAAATGACCAGGTTGGTGAAGTATCAAAGCGATGCGGTAACTGTATATTTCATAAAAATGGTGTAAATGTGGAGTGAAATGCACACTTACATGGAGAGAAGGGAAGGTCCTTTTAATTGCATTTCAGCCGGAGATGTAACAGTCTATCAAGCTGTTGCAACTCTGATAGTATAGACTCGTTGTTCTTATCGGAAAGTGCCCGTACTTTTGCCTCTGCAAAAACGCCCACAGAATCGATAGGATTACCCATCATCCCGTATCGCGTAGCAAGGTCCCTCTCAACTTGTTCCAAACGGGAGATTTCTTCTTGTAGACTAACCTAGAAGAAGGTGAGAATGGATATCGCATGTGACGCAGTAAGGCAAATATACCGATGGCACGTCTGGGATATTATAACTGGGAGAAGGGACGGGGATCGCACCGCGCTTGACGTACGGTGGACGCTGATCACGGGAGATGTTGGTACGACTCGTGTATCGATTGGAATGGAAGATGGGAAAGACACTCGCTATCCCAAGGATTCGATTGTAGATGTCACGGAGCCGCGTCCATATGAAATCTAAGAATCGGAACATTGTATTCCTTGGGGATTGTTTAGGAATCAAGGAATTCTTCAAGAAACAACATAGCATACTGAAGCTCCTCGTTACTGCGTTCGCTCTTAATGAAGGGGGATATGAGTGGTCGCACTTTAGAAGAAGCCAGTAGGTGATGAGCTGGGATCCATCCTTTCTCGCGACTTATAAGTGAGAAGCTCCATAGTTCCGTTTCGACTGCCGTGTGGAGAACGTCTGTTTTAATTGCCTCGCATGGTCAAGATGGCATGCTAAAGCTGGCCCCCAATCTACACTCCGCGAAGACGGAGCATGTGCATGAGCATGATGTGATACAGCGAGGTAGAAGTTTCGGAGCATATCGATAAGAAGCCGGCGTGGTGGTGCTCCCGACCGGTGATGTGCAATATAGTGAAAATGCCATCCTGGAACTGGTAGTGCATACTGAGGGCCATAAGTTTACATGTGTATACATCTTAGAGCGAGATATAGCTGATACATGGGATTCTTAGCTGTGCGCAACCGGTGACCATGGGGGCAAAAATAAGCTTTGCGAAGACCAATATTATTATTCTGTCTACGCTTTTATTTAAAGTGTCCCGTTTCACACGAGAAGAAGATCCCCAACCCCACATTCTTGTATTCCTGCGTTCCCCTGTGGGACAACCAGTGTTTCGAAAGTTAGCTTTATGCTTAGCGTTCGGGCCCATTGGATCGTTCCATGTAATACTACCTATGGGTAGTGCATACCCAGGGTTGACATGTGTCGACTTCTCCGGCAACTTCTTGAACCAAAAGGTGCAGAGAAGTGCATACGTGAGCACCCCATTCTTCATGCATTCACATTCCTAACACGCCGTCGACACTACGTGCAAACATACATACGGACACCGATGCGGCAGGGAAGATTTCATCTACAGCGCGAAGCCTACTCTCTGACAACGCAGACAGGAGTATCGGGATAGTACGCAACGCTTCAATCAGAAAGTATTGAGAGTGGCATCCCCAATGGCAGTAGTCGAGGATCATGGCAATTAGATACCCTTTCTCACGAGAGACTTGAGCGAGGGTGGTATCGAAGTCTCATCCATTAATGTCCATTCACCCGGTCCAGTGTTACTGCAATCGATAGGATGGTGTTGACGCGTGTTGGGGTGCACTCACCGTCACGGGGGATAGTTTAACCGCCGAATTGGCATTGGATATGTTCAACATCTATGATTCAGGCATGGTAAGGTCCTCAGTGACATATTACCACATGCTTAAGGAGCAGCAGGATAGACCAGGATAGACAAGCAAGTAAAGGACGTCAATATATATCGATACTAATCAGAACAGCCTAAAATCGACATCTATCCGTACAATGTAAGAGCTCAAACGATACCGATCAGTAGTCTATTGTTTAACGCGAGGGGGTTTACTTGCACCCGTGTTATTACAAAGCATGACATAATTTTGCCGTGATCCGGCACTGGGCCAAATCGAATCGGTTTTGGGGCTTACAGGCGGCAAGTTTGGCATGCCGATTTCGAGCCGTGCGACGCGTCTGGACAGGAAATGCTGCTTGCTCCGCTTTCCCCCTACCAATATTTCATTTCACACAAAGATACACTTTATTTCTTGGTATAATACTTATAGGCTTCATACGCGTCCCCAGACCTTGTAATACAACATTTATTCTTTGCCGGAATCCCATCAGATTTGTAATAACCGGGTTGCAAGGCAGATGGCCCGATTAAGCAACAGACTACCGTCCCTCCTTTCCATCATTAGGTCTGTATCGTCGTCTGTCTACGAGAGACTAACCGATCAGTGAGCCATAACAAGGAATGTACAGCCACCGCCGGGGCGAATCCCGAGGAGCAATGGTCAGAAGACTGATATTCGGCCTAGCCAATAGTAAGAAAGACGAGCTTGAAGGATGCAGAGAACCGCCGGAACCGTACCGCTGCTTCCGAGAGAGAGAATGGGGTGGCTAGTAAGCAAGGGAGAACTTAAGTTCGCATTGGCAAGTCCCGTCCGGATGTGCATGTGATAACGGACGAACCGGACCGCATACAACGCCTGCACCCCGGCGTACCATATAGGTGGATGTGTTGACTGCCTGTATTATAGCCTTCGGTCAATGCAAGACTATTGAGGATGAAGGAGCCATGTAAAATCTTCAAAGTCTCCCAAAAAGGAGGTATCGGTGCGACTGGCAGCATCAGAAGACGCGAAACGATCCAAAATCATCGATGCTGTCCTCTTGGCGAGATCGCAATTGCTCAGCGTATCGTTTCCGCGTTATTGTGTAGCCATAACCTCGTTCGTAGTAATATGGGCGTCAAGGGGAATATCGCAGTGCTCGTCCATCAATTACGACCAAAACGTCGGTGTCTAATCAGCACATTTTGAAAGATGAGCAAGATTCCGAGAAGAGCAAACCACGTACGTTCTCTCCCAATCCTCCAGTTTGTCGTACTTCCAGGTCCCCATTTCAGCATTCTCTACGTGGATACCCAATCGATCGAATTCACTTTCAGCCCTATCAGTAAACGCGATGTCGCTGCAGACATTGGTGATGTCGATGATCCATAGCCCCGCTTTTGTGCATCCAGTCTCTTTCTGAATGCCTGTGGTGATAAAGATCAGTCGGTATCCTAGATCTGATAAACACAAGAACATACGAGCAACAGCCTCCTTTCCCTTCGCTTCATTCTTTGCCGTCAACCGTCAACACCAATCACACAAGGTTCACCCTAGCAAAATACTTTGATACTCTGGTCACCGGGGAGATATGCCACTTTCAGCACTTTCGGGAAGCCCAAGTAGCATTCAAATAATCGGTAGTCCAGTGAGTCCGTACGAATCAGCGTAGTAAAAGCAGATCGAACAGGGTCTTTGGAATTATCGTCTGCAGGAGAGCTAAACCAGTTGGAAGCGAGTCGTCGGATGGCAGGAGGTGATATCGTTGTAGACAGCTACAACGTAGTGAATAACGAACATCTGAAGAACATCGTAGCACGTACAAGTTCATAAAGAAGCCCCCAGTGGTACCATCTCGAGTGCTGGGGGACCAACTGTGAAAAGGTTGCATAAGCAGGCGCAAAATTGAATAGATATACAAAACACACAAGTGTAAAAATTCGCGACACCGCCTGTAATACGATTAATGAACGCAGTCCAAAAAATGGGGAAAACACCACGTACCTTCGATGAAGAAAATGACCATCCATGCCCTTCTATCAGCACCATTGAACGGGTAGTCCTCGAGCCCTAACAGTGTCATTGGGAGACGCTTTCCAGAGAGGATACACCTGAACGAACCGTGCAGTGTAACGACGATATACGATGTTCTAAACGATGTGGTACAACCCCGAATATTTACGCATCGAAAGGTAAAGGAGAGATGCAGACGGGCGAAGAGATTGTGTATTCGCGGCCGCCTATGAGGTATCCTTTGGCAGGGTGATATCTTGCACCGTGTGCCCAAAACTGGGCTTCAGGTCGCTCGTCAGCCACCATGTCCGACGCCGTGGCTGAACCAGGTTATACGTCGTCCTTGTGTTCCGAAGTTGCTAAAGATTCTACGGTAGCTCGCTCAGGGACCAGACCTGTAGTGTTGCATTCAGTATCTCTCGAATGCTCGATACTCAGGTCGACACACCTGTCCAGTGAGGTCCGTATCATCAGTTTTCCTTTTCAATGATTGAGCGATGAGTCAGGGACTGAGGTACTGAGCGACGAACTGTCCATTGGCGAGCCGGGCAAGGTGTCGAGCGGTACGATGACGGTGGTAGGAGACTGCGTCGCGTCGGACCTTGAAAATGCCATTGATCCGCAATCACAATGCCGCGTTGAAGTTGGCTACCAAAGTTTTCTGGTATTACGACCACTTTCAAGTGGACATATAGACTCCGAGTCCTTGTCTCCTCTTTCTAGTGCAATTGCAGAGGACATCGCAACTCGGCGGTTTTGTGCGATGGAGGAAGTCGCTGCAGACTTCGGCCCGCCCATGCCGGACCCCCCAAGCTGGATGTTGCAACACTAGTTTTGCTAGAACCCAAAATTGAGCTGTGTAACTCGCAAGGCTCTGGTCCAAGGGAAATATTTGATTACTCTACGTCTCACTCATGCAATCATACGTGCCGTGGCTACCGAACATAAATAATACTAGGCTTTGCTCACCAACGTCCGATTCTTCGCTCACGTTACAAGATCAATGAGAGACTTTTACCTCATTCTGAACTACGACGACGATAATGGCCTCCTCCTCCTCTCAGACAGTGACCTTACAATGTCCTTGTTCCAGCTGTGAATGTCGCTGTGGATCCCAGGAGATGCGGTGGTTGCTAACAGCCACTGAATATACCAATCGCTTCAAACACCTACCGACGAATGGTCTCCCATTGGATGAAGAGATGCGTAACTTCACTGCAATGTTCGCAGAAAAGGAGGCATTAGGAAACGAAGTCAATCGTCAAATCAATTGTCTCGAGGACTCGATCTCGATGGATTGCCGGGGCCCGGGTACATATCGGGAGATAGCTATTCCAACATCAGAGTCCCCCATCAACATCTCCCATCTTCCGAACGATTTGCTCGTCAAGATCTTGTTCCGACGTGTAGACTGTGATGAACATGATATGAGCTATAAATAAGAAAACTGCTCATCCACAACAGTACAGCCTGCTTATATCGCTGTCATCTTTGACTACTGCCGCTCAAGTAATATGGCCAGGGTTGCGGGGACGGTCCTGGAGACAGCATGCTTCACCTTGGCTCTGCGAAACCCTGACGCATTGGATACCATGAAGAATGCTGCAGACAGCATTCTTGAGGCTGACACTGTCTGGAGGATCGACTGGAAGCCTGATTTTTCATCCCATGTTCTGTTGGCGGCGTGTCGTATTCATGAGACAGCGACTGAGCTTCGTGGACAGGATGGGACGTACTATGGTCTTTTTACCGATGCGTCGCTCCGTACTCTGATGTCCGATCAGTTGGAAGATGAATCGACATTTTTAGATCTCCGGGACGCCTTGCCCCGATATCCCGGTCAACAGCCCGTCATGGTTGGAGATGACAAAAACAGCCATGTTTGGTTTGGAACCCTCATTGCAGATTCCTCAGGCCTCGACCTTCGTCGTCTGGCCGATGTCAAGCTTCAGTAGCACACCTTGGTTGAGATCAACAAGCCCATCTCTACTGTCGGACAACACGACAACGAGAAAGCGAACCCCTGTGTATGCACATAGTACTCCTGGTAGCATCCACGCTCATCGTAAATTCTTTAAGTCCATCACGCCATGGATGGTTCTCGAATATGGGCCGTCGTTATCGGTAGCGACGAATATATATGTGATCCGTTGTATAGCTGTGTGTCGTCCGCGTTGGAAATGAGGGATTATTTGGTCGACGTTCTCCGAGTCTGCGTTCCCAGAGACGGTATCCAACTGCTTCTCGGTCTCTCCAAGGAATCTTTTGTCGAATACTCCGACGACTTACCTGGTGCCTACCCTGTTCCTTCATTTACAGCCAGATATGTCTCGAAAAAGGGCATCACATCACCGTCATCCTGGACTGTTGTCACTATATCAGCCATACTCTATACTCTCGGGGGCGAGCAGTGCGCGCCATTCCCTCACTCCCTCAAGTTTTATGTATCAGCATGCTTTGCTCTGCAGACACAGATTTACGGCGTCTCTCTATCCTCCACGAAGACCAATCTATCTGGGTTCAGGAATGGCGCCCGGATATGGGATCCGTGTAATCTTAGCAGCATGCAAGACGTATGGTTTAGTTATGGGGCAGGGGACAGGAGGTCTTATGGCCCTATCACGACTACGCTTCTTGACATGCTCAACTCGGGTCGGTTGAAGAAAAGAGCCACACACCTTTATCTTATCCTAGACCCCGCTCGTAGCTGGGCGGCACAAGGACGCATATAGCTGGTATCAAGAATAATGATAATTCTCCATTGCTGGCATTGACGGTATCGTTACGTTGCGCAGTCGACCTCACATAGTTCAATGTCCAATCACTGTCGCGACATTCAATCTATAATAAGCTTGGTTCACATGCGACAGTTATGTAAAGAGTGTATTATCGCACGCCATTTTCAGATGTTGACCGAAAGTTAGCTTGCATGAATGGATCATCTGGTTTTGGGTCATCGGTGGGGTTCTGCTTCTCTTCCATCGTTTAATATACCCTACTTATCTATCTTTATTCAAACTGGACGACAGAGGGGGATAGCTCATGTCAGCCCCGTGCTTACACATTCTACCTCCTACAACTCTTACTGACGAGTTGCTATCAGTCCGGTATAACATCAGACCGTATCCATAGTGAAAATCAATAACGTTCTCATTCAATGGACGTTCTAGACCATACATTTTGCAGCAGGTACCATACGTTCACTACTCTTTGTTCCCCATTGGTTTCTGCTCCCGGACATCATTTGGCGCCTAAGCATTAAAGCGCCGGTTCAACTTGTGTTCACCTGCAAGATATAAATGATCTTCGTTTCCCTTTCCGCACATCAGAATTCTCAATCCATTTCCTGCATGTGGCTGAAGAAGCGCTCCGGCGAACATACAGGCCACGCATAGATCAGATACTGACAGGCGCTTGAAAGTGAGAACCATTCCCCCTGTATTATGGCGCTAATTATACACTTTATTGATACGGTAACAAGGAGGACATATGATCATGTTCCAGCGCTTCAGAGCCTCTTGTTCGATCCATTATTATCGTAGGCACTGACCTCTTTCAAAATAAGTCATATACCAGAGATGCTGTTATACGTGTCATGTATCGGTAGGTTTATGCAATGTCATACCCGGCTGTATATTGTTCCTACTGATTCAACCCTGACGTATCTTCGCCCCCGTTTCATGCTGCTTGATCAGCGATATCTGCGCAATTTCAATGAGCACCAAAGTATAGGCGCTTCAAGGTATAGGACCAATGGCCTTCATGAATACCTGGTAACCGAGAGTTTCGCCTACGAATCTTCAGTGCTTTTGAATAAATAAAAATCGAAGCTGTTGAGTGATTGAAATTGCATATTTACTATCTCGACTCTCCCACCGTAAACTACTTCAGAAAATTCAGTCGCAGTTTTTCTTTTACGTTGAAGTCAGGCGGATGTGCCATAGAATAGGTCTAAGAGACGATCATCGTAAAAAGGAAGGAAGGAGGTTTTATTAGTCGTCGGTTAGAACTTTGAAAATGCTGTATTTCACTCGTACTCCAGAGCAGAAAGCTGACCAACTTGCTAGTCGAATTGAGGTTCAGCCAGTTCATTCGGGCTGCTTCTTCTCGCGTGATTATGGGCTTCTCGAGAAACCAGTATGGCGCTTATTTGCTGACTAACAAGGTAAGACGAGTGAATACGTTTCTTTCAGCACGTTGGATATGGTTAAATCTATGGAATGTTTCGGTGATAGGGTCGTAATACTCGAATATATCGAAATCACCTTTGAATAACGACTCGGGGTAGGACCTTACGAATCCGCTTGCCATGGGGGAAGGGTATAGATCTGAACAGTATTTTCAAAATATTTCAATAAAGAAAAGGCAAGGTTCTGCTCCTCTGATGCGAAAGGTTGGCCTCGTTCCTACAGGCTAGCGCCACATCGAATGGGGAATAAACTCTAGTATGATAGTTGGCGCCATGCAATCGGAAACAAGTGTCGAGAATATAGACTGTAAGGACGACCGTGCCCTTCGGAGGACACACTATGGAGTGGGGTTATCTGCGAAGAAGTTATACATCCCAAAAAACGGGCGCGGGCTGATGCCGTGGACTCGACCTAGCACGTTTCTGATTTCCATGTTAACAACGGCAACTAAACTATCATGTCGTATCTATTGAAGTAGCATGGCATATTTGACTATGAGTTCGAATAGTTGGACAAGTGTATTGGATTGTCCGAGAAAACGTACCACTTGTGAGCTTTTACCCAAATTACCCATCCGACCAAACCCGACATCTTCTAGTTGTTATGTTAAACCTTTCAAGAGATTAAGCAGGTATTAAGGATCAGCCTACCGTAAACACTATAAAGGTCGCGACTCGTGCTAGACGCTTTGTACCTGTAAACACAAGGGGCCTAAATGAGGAGAATGGTACCGTGATGCACAAGCACGATTTTTCAATGTTTTCTGTCATCTGTCAGACTTGATCATCTGTGAGTAGAACTCGTTGCTTCCAAATTCAGCGCGGATTCAAATTTGGTGAATCAGACGACAGTGACCTTTTTTGTATCAACTTGGAAATGCAGCCGATACACCGGTGGATGACGCATTCCTGCTCTCCGGTCAATCTGGGTCGTGTTGCGCTTGTCATTTTAGACCAAAAGAGGAGACTTGTCTTTTGAAAGTATTTGAATCTGACCAGAGAATCGTTCGAGCGCAGAGTATTCATGGACCACAAAATGCGGGTCCCGACTCGGAGTTATCACGATTAACTGCGGTAAGCTGGGTGATGATAACACGCAGGACCACCTAAGTTCGACTCCGTATCGGAGCGAGTCTTCACAAGGGCGTCAAACTCACGTACCCCGACAGAGCGTTTCTGTTCATGCAGGAGTAATGCTGGACAAGGACCAGGAAGTGAATACATGATTACATAACGAAGGGCAAGATGACGGATAACAAGCTCAGAGCGGCATAAGCGGGCCGGACATTGACGATTCGAACCCCGTCCTTTTACTGAAGAACCACCAAGTCCATTATGACGCAGCGAGACAGCTATTCCACTGACGCTCAAGATACCCGGAACTTTCCCGTATGTTCACTGGCATTGTCCAGGGCCATTGGTACTCTCTCTTCTGTTCATTTTGCTGAATAGGAATTATTGTTCACGCTGGAATCATTACAATCTCGTTTCTTTCTCGAGCATGCGGGATTCCGAAGGCAAAAGCTCTTTCGAGATAACCCGGAGACGTGTGGGGCAAGGGTCGATTTCTAGCTTCTTGAAGGTGTGTTGAAACTGCTAGACTTTTCCGATGCCATTTCACTTACACGGATAAAGATTCATCATTCCACCGTAGTCTGGCTCACCGCGATAAATGCAGATATCAGGGAACCGCAAATGATCAAGTTCACCGTTTGGATGACATACAGTGCGTCTGTAGCGATGCCCAACCTTGGACAGCAACACAATGCAAGTGTCTTGAAACCGTGGTGACGAGTCCGCATGCTAATGTACGCCTTCAGAGTTTTTTTGACGGTACTTGGGTGAATTGTGGCAAAGAACAGAGATTGGTGCCGGGATGCCACATCAACTCATTCAGCGGACCGATATCCTCATAATAGCACCGTTTGAAGGACCGAGATCCTTACAGCAATCTGAACATGACATACTGCTTGAAGACATACGTCTTAGCATTTAAATTTCAGCTTATCCCATACCTGTAGCAGAGAGAAATACGTAAATGTCATAACTAGAATCGATTCTGCAAGTGATACAGGAAATACGCGAAGGCATGTTATTTTTCATTGCGACGTGCACCTTGCTGATACTACAGAGATAGCATGTCTGATGAAGCGCTGTGGTAGTATACGCTGGTCTTGACGTAGACTGGTTGGCGCGGGTCGTTGGCTGACAGAAGTTGCGTAGCCGAGGATTTGAAGTAAGAAGAATAGACGAGTAGTAACTAGGTATATGTAGTCAGTAACAGAGGGTTAATGAGAGCTCACGGTGCGCAATATTGGTACTCGGAACTCAGGACTCGAAGCTCGAACGTGGTGGGCAAAAGCAAGGGTCTATTTCCCAAGGTACGGCTTGACTTGTACAGTTAGGGGATGGCCGCACACGTTCTCTTGCGTCGCCAGGGCCCCGCTATGACATCCGGGAATGTAAGCGAAGAAGAAAAGATAAGAAAATAGTCCATTGGCAAAGTGAAAGTCCATAGCTAGGCCTCAATGTTGAACAACTGCTCCACCTGGGATTAGCGCAACTTCGTATAGGGAGAGCACGCTGCCGCCCTCAGCGTGGATGAACGGGTCGTCAATCCGTCATCGTCTCGATCCCCAGCGCAGTCCGAGGTGGTTACAGCCGTCGCAGTCTCATCCTCGCGTCCGGTGTGTACAGTAGAGGTAGATGTTCAGCATGAAGATGGGGATAAGGAAGAGCACATAAGAATTTCAACTGCGAAGTGTAAGCAAAGAAAGAGAGGTATAATGGGACTGGATAAACGACACCACGACCTAGACCAATTCTAACGTTCCCTCGTTTGGTGTAGCTCAGTCGTCATTGAGGAGAGCCCCATGTGAGTCAGTGCCTTGATCGACGTGTCATCGTCCGCATTGAGAATTTGAACTTGGCCTCATTTGAGCAATGGTGCCCAAAGTTTCGCGTAGTGAAGAGAGATTAACCTATAAAGCGAGAGGGAAGAGAAAAGTAGTATGTAGTCATGAGAGAAGGAAGGAAAGCACAAGGAACCAGAAAAGGAAGGACGCGTCAGCATGCCTCGTGGCATCAATTCCACGAGCACGGCAACGCGTACTGCCACAGCGCATAAAACATGATGATCGAAAAATAGCGAGGATACATGCTTCACAAGAGGATTCAGTTGCCGGTCCATGGAAGCGCCGTGTATTAGGTAAATAATTCCCCTGAAGACACTTTTTCAATACAACCATTTCCGCCGTATGGTGTACAGCGGGTGCGCACTGGCCGCATACATCTCGAGGCCGTAATTCTTATTATATTTAACAGAAATACGCCGACTTCTTGCTAATTGCGGGAAGAATCACTTTGCTGAGACCGACAGATGAGATTGGCAGAATATTACGGCGCAACTTCATATTACGTACGTTGAAATGCATCCAAGTACCTTCTTCGACTCATGAGATCTCCCAAACCTGTACCGGAATTCGGTGAGATACGCTGCAAATCTGATGCGTTGGATGCACAAGCGGGCAAGGATTGAACAATCTCTGATACGCGTCGAAACTTGACACCATTCAGGATACGCCAGAGTCCGGAGCCGACGACGACGTCTGAGCGCCGTGATACTGCTGATCTCGTTGGTGGCGTTGGTGGCGATAAAGTTCCAGATGCCAGCCACCGGTTATTCTTCGCCGGCCAATTACAGCAGATCAGTTACCGCACCACCCAAATGGTCCCGTATCTACGACGGTGTGAGAAAAAGCCAAACGAAGAACTGGTGAGAGAACGCACCAGCACTGAAAGAAAGCTGTCGATCTTCCAGAGCCACGGTTGCGGATGCTCCTCGATTCGTATCATTCTGCCTGAGGAAGGTACCTATGTGAAAACCAGGCTATATATGCACCTCATTAGGCGCATACGGGCAGGTCATGGATGGACTTTACTGGTGTGGACCATCGCCGTTATCTTCAACGTTCTTGCTCCCACCCAACATTACATGTTCGTCAAGGTTCTTTTCGAGGATGAGATACAAGTCCCTCCCCAAAAACCAGCTATATACACTTTAACGGATGTCAATGAGCGCAGAAAGGCAGGGGAAAATACATGTACATCTCTTCCATATTTTCCGATACAGTGCACTAGTTGTGACTGCCATCTTCATCATGAGAAGGACTAAAACATACTCTGGTCACCGGAAAAATATACGATTTTTCTTTCGGGGGGTGGTTGCGAATAATCGACAGTCCGGCGAGTTGATATAGAACAACGTAATAACCCCCACGGTTCTATATCTGCTAGAAGTGGGCAGTGAGATGGGATAGATGACAGCATTGCAGACGGCTATAACAGAGAGATTGATGAATATCTCGAAGAGGACATCGCAGCACGTACGGATTGCCAAGTACAGCCTCCTGCTCTGCTACCGTGTAACATCTGTGGCTAGTACTTGTAAGCAGCACTGTCACGAGTGTTGGTTACCAACTGTTAAAGGTCGTATGAGCGGGCGCAAAATTAGGGAAATATACAGGACGCACAGGTGTAAAATCGACAGGACGATCATAAAGCTCCGTTGATACCCTTCTACCGGTGCTACCCAACCACTGAACGAAGCAGGCCTTGAGCCTTGACTGTACCCATACGACCGCTTCTTGGAAGGATATACGACGTTCTAAACGATGCGGTACAACCCAACTATATGCGCCTCGAAAGGTGACAGAGATGCAGACGGGCAAAGAGATTGTGTATCTGCATCTGCAGCCGCCAATAAGTTATCCTTTGGCAGGGTGATATCTTGCTCTGTGCACCCAAAACTGGGCTTAGGGTCGCTCGTCAGAGCTTCAGCCACCATGTCCAATGCCGTGGCGTCACCGTGTTATACATCGTCCTTGCGTTCCGAAGTTGATAAGTATTCTATACCAGCTTGCTCAGGGACCAGACCTGCCGTGTTGCATTTAGTATCTCTCGAATGCTCGATACCCAGGTCGACGCACCCGTCCAGTGAGGCCCGTATCGCCAGTTATCTTTCTCGATGATAGAGCACTGGGTCAGGCACTGAGGTATTGAGTGATGAGCTGGCCATTGGCGAGCCGGGTAATGGGTCGAGCGGTGCACGCTTCAGTGGGATGATGATGGTGGTAGGAGACTGAGTCGCGTCGGACTTTAAAAATGCCATTGATCCGCCATCACCACGCCGCGTTGTTGGCTTCCAGTTTTCCAGTACGACGACCGCTTCCAAGGGGGCATATTGACTTCTTCGTTGCGTGATTGCAGGGGATATCACAACTGACTACGACGACAACGACCTCCTCCTCCTCCTCCTCCTCCCCCTCCTCTCCCGCAATGCCCTTACCATGCCCTTTCTCTAGCTGTAGATGTCGCTTTAGATCCCAGACAATGGGACGGCTACTAGAAGCCACCGAATATACCAACCGTTTCAAATACCTAGTGACGAATGACATCCAACTGGATGAGGTGATGTGTAACTTGATTGCAATGTTCGCAGAAAAGGAGGCATTAGGAAACGAAGTCAATCGTTTAAACAATTGTCTTGAGGACTCGATGGATTACTTGGTATCTCTACGAAACAAGACAAATCGGGAGATAGCCGACTACAACACCATCAGCGCTCCTCACCCGTATCTTCCAAACGACTTACTCTCCAAAATCCTCTTCGAACATCGACCGGATTAGCGACGGCAATAATGCAATCTCTTCTTTGGACCAGCATCGGGCACCGTGGGTTCTTACTATATTACGCAAATGCTGGCGCGCTATTTCCTTATCCTTTTCTTGTCTAAGCATCAGCATCGCACAGAGCAACTATGCTGCAAGGTCGGTTTCCAATATATGCAAGCATCGCCATTACAGTTCCAATGCACCGGTGCATACCTATTATCCGTGACCTAAAGAAGTACCACGATACTCTCGACCTCTCACACTCTCGCGCTCCTCATCTCCTCATTGCCGTGATGGAAGCCACCAACCGCAGTTCCCATCCACTCATACCAAGATCTCTGCGGAACTGAGGCAGATCTTCTCTTACTATAAGATTTATACCGTAGCCTTCTATAATCTTAGCTTTTGAGCACAACGAGCGTTGAATGTAAGCCACGGACAATAATTATATTACCGATCATTACCGTATTTGCCCATTTTTCTGTCAGCGTTCGACTACCGTCTGTCCGCTGAGATCACTATACCATACTATAGAACTTTGTATTCCTTCACAAACGTGTCCATCCTTCGTCTACACCCCGGTCCCCTGCTCAAGATTAGCAGCGCCGATGTTCACCGAATGTATCAAACTACCTTTCAATTCACCGCTCTCGACCCTCTGGGGCGCTCCCATGCTCAAAAAGTTCGTGATATCACTGGTTATCTCGAGCCGTATATCCATGCACAGTGCACACACCCCAAATCACGACGGTCGAGGTGATAAGAGCACCAGCAAGGAGTCAACTACTCATGGCAGATCTCCCTCTCTTGCCTTCCCTCGAGCAAGCTTCGTCCCCTGCTCGTGCGCGAGTTATTAAGTAACCTTGGGAGCATCAATGTGACGATGGCCTATGCTACCATCGCTTACGACGTTGACTCTGCAGGAGACATCTCCATCGATACCGTCCTTTCTCACATATCCATCGTTCACGGTCCTCTCTCTATTTGGGAGATAACCATGGCCTCGAATGTCATTGTTGAAGTAAATTGCACTCGCCTGCTCAACGAACTCTCGGCTCTCGTGGTCGTTGTGCTACTTACAGAATACGTTCATGCGGTCGTCTTCACCCAGGCACTGTTTGAGATTCCTGATCGTTTTACGGTGCTACGCAGACTCACATTGAAGGGAATAAAAGCTGTTGATCCAGCCAGCGTCACCCATGTCAGGGATGCGCAGTCCGGTATCGTTATGGGGTGGTAGATTAGCCCCAATTCTTCTCCGTGTACCCAGACGGGGCTGTGATTTAGGTACAGTTTTCCACGCAGTTGAATAGCGATTGTAATTGCCGTTAGTAGTATACTGTTAGATGATGCAGATACGGACATGGGCACCCGGCTATCGTATTCACTACCTGAATCGCTACTCCCACCAATGGTCGAACTGAATGATAAATCCCTGCCATCGGGACAATTACATTAGAATCTGCCGGTCGCCCGCTCATTGTTGCTCCTCATAAAATGAGACTAGATTGGAGTGATTTGTACTTTTCAGGTGAAGAATTCCCAGCCTAAATGGCAGCGGGAGATCAGAAGATAGAAAACGTTGCAGATGCAATTTGCAAATCCCGTATTTCCATGCTACGCGTCGGAGACCGACATATCAAAAAATTAACATTGAAAGGAATTGAGGGAAGTACAGGCGAGATAAGTACATTAGCATGAGAGTATTCCTGCTGCCATTCCGTCGCTATGATCCAACACTGAGTAGATACAATTCTGATATATCTACCTTACTCATCTTTTGTGGCAGTACTATAGGCGCCTTCGATGAGAGCGCGGGAACATGATCACAGAAAATGACCCACGTTTGCACCAGAATACGTAAATACAATTCAACGCCTCAACTGTGAGGAACACGCGGTAGTGCTGAAGTTTCCGAATTTGCAGGAGATACTTAGTAAGATTATGTCAATACGAACACATTGAATATCCAAGTAGCATGAATATTTCTATAAAAACCCTCCTCGATTCTAGTCCATTCTCGCCGACATTAACACGTGTCTATCTTAGCCCTTACGCGGTTGCATGTCCGGTGCAAAGGAATGGCTAAATATGCGATCAAAGACCTCAGCGTCCCGGAAGATCATACCCATTCATCTCTCTACCTATTTTCGGACACAAAATGATGACAATATCGCCATATACTTCTTTAGACACGTGAGCAATGCTGCTGTTTCGACCATCCTCCATTTAAGGACTCTACAGTATCAAAGAAACCGTCGGCCGTAACGTTACCGATACCATGCCATCGTACCAGACGTCTGTCAATTCCTGACATCAGTGACCGAGAAATCTATACAATTCACTCCCAAATTTCTCGTCCCAAGGGACGCCTAATGATCTCCATTCTTAATTCCTGTCATCCTGTCGGCATCACCCGAGAAATATAGGAAGGAGTACGTAACATCATGCCAATGTCAGGCGGCTCCATTCGATATCTCTTTACAACTGCCAATAAGATCTTGAGAGATCTCCGATAAATATATATCCATGGGAGTTTGCCATTGGTGCCCTAGCAGCGTTTCAGGAAGAACTTTGCGACAGAGGTGCCAGGGGCCAGGGTTAAAATGAAGTATTCACTCAAGCGCTCATTCCCGCTTTCAAGTCGGCTAAGTACAAACCAACAGATTACGTCCATCTCCTTCAGGATTTACCTTGGATCGTACACCAGAATACCGCTGTCTGTGGAACAAAAAATGATGCACAAACTTGGTATCACATATGACGGTACCTGTTGTTATTATGTGTATATCCATTGAGCTGTCGACACGCATTCAGGATTCCAGTTGCGATAGTACAGTGCTGTTGGATGAGTAGTAGGTGCTGGCAACAGGTATCGGGCTGGGATATTTTCCCGTGGACTTCGTTGGTCTGGCTGGTACAATAGCCTGAGAAATGAATTCAGACTGAACTAATCTAGCCCGCAATGGTGACTCGTAATTACAGGATGCTTCCTCAGAATTCAATATGAGCATGGGTGGCGAGGATCTCAATACCAGCGACTTGGTTGTTATCAGTAACGGGGATGTGCTTAGCCATGAACTAGGCAAATATTTAATGAAGTATTAGGCGCCTAGTTCTAAAGAATTGAATGAATATTGTACTATATATGGACCTTAATGCTGCGCACCTTCACGAAATTTCTTGATCGATCTACCTATATGCCACCGCATTGGAAAATGCAGCAGTCGGCATTCAGTCTGCGCTTACGATTACTGGTTTATGAACTCCAGAACAATGGTAACATGTTGAGTCAACTGTATCCAGAAATCCAGAATGTACAAGAGTCAGTGGCCAATGACCACAGAAAAAACAAACGTCATCCATTCCAAGATCCGAATCTATGCCTTCTTTAAGCACCCCGATCTCATCGACACAGCTATGGTGACACTTCCTGGTTACACAGATGAAAAGAAAAACTGATAAGGGAGAGTGAAAACAAGTTGATGCGATTCAGTTGATAGAGGATAGGAGGATAGGGAGGGGATGCAAGTCCGTCCACGGGAGAGATCGTCGATTGCGTTTCGGAACACCATCACATTGCCCTTGAAGCTTTTAAAGTATAATCACAGCCATTATTTCTAGAACAGATCGCCGTAGAACTCAGAGTTGTATGGATGAGCCGCAGGGAACAATCTAGATATTGCAGTAGGTAACATCGCAATAGCAAAGGCTGGTGTATAGGTACAGGACAATGCGTACTAAGGGTACATCACGTACGAGTTCTTGCCAACGCGAAAACGAGGCCGATGAATGTGGAGTTTCCAGCGAGTGTCGTTGTCCAGAGGATAAAATGAAAGAAGAGCGAAACTCGATGATTATAGTTATTAGTAATCGAGCATACTGGTGGACGTGGAAGGAATACATTAATGAGTCGGCATAATGCAAAATCTTGTCACATACCTCTCGCCTCCTTCATCTGTATAGTTTCCTTCAAAAAATGAAAACAACAGGTCTTATCCGGCTATACCGCCCCAAGTGTTTTCTTTTCCTCACTGGCACAGCCGTATAACAACGAAAGCAAGCTTCGATGTTGTCCATGGCCTTACAATGATGGAGAGGATGGATCCGGATGGCAAGCCTTGGAGCCGATAATTCGCAGGGAAGTTGCTTCGCCTCCCAAGTCTTTGAACTAGCTGTCACTGTAATAAAATCGTCAGCCAAAATCCGGTGCGATGGACAACCAAGGCGGTATAAGTGTGTATCACTGTTCAGCGACTCCTTTACCTATTTCATCGACAGGAATCTCCAAAATCGAGGGCTTAGTACGTCGAGCATCGGCTTCAATGTCACGATGGCATTCATCGTTTTGGCATTGTTTGTTTTCATCCCTAGGTGGGGGAGACTTTCCGCAACAAGGCTTGCATTGTATTCTCCAGTCATAACTTGAGAATTTCAACTTTCTCTACTAGTGGCTAATATTCTCGTCGATTTCGCTTTCACTAACTAACTCATGTCTTAAAAAGGCGTCACTCGAAGGCTTTGACACATCCGTGTTCCAAGGAAGGGAGTTCGTAAATGAGCCTGCTACCCTACTCTACTATTACAATTTTGGTGATGTGAATGGCATAAAATATTCACAAGCTATCGGATGAATGAGCGTCTATCTGACATAACATATAAGTTACGGGTTTCTATTGGGCCGATCATATCTGCATTCTTTCTCAGGTTAGCTGGTGGCGACCCATTCGGCTCCTTCCTTGCAACATGGGGATACAGGACCTTGTTTTTTTTCATTCTAAGTCATCAGTCATAACATTCTGTCAGTGTTGCGGCTGCAATCTAAATCAAATCTAAATTTATCTTAATTGTAATAGAGTCTTCAGGGCATCAATCTCTCCTCTTCGCTCATCCTTCTACTCTCAGTCGTCCGGACATTCAACAAAGAATGAATTAGCCGCGTCATTCTGGGGTCGTACATTTCCGTTGCTGGCCCTGTGCTCATATGAAGACTTCCGGTTAGATCGCTCTACCCTCGCATCACGATAGCTTGTTATTCTTCAGGGCTGAAGATCATTAATGTACATACTACCTGTCAAAGACCCTTTAATGTCATAGTTTGTTTCGGTCAAATTTATCCAAGTTCGCTGGATCGCAGGAGCTGTTTAAGATCCAATTAGGATCGCCGAATCTTATCGTCTCAAACTAGACAGATCCACGACTAGGAATCTCCCTCATGCCCGTATATACGTTGGATATGGATACCATATATACAGTGCCATCCTTGGACTGTTGTTGGGCAGGAAAATAAAATTTAAAGCTGTGTTTGTACACAGTGAGTCAATCCGATACATCAAATTATTTTAATAATAAAACTTACCTACTCCATTGCCATTGTCCAATATGAGTCCCGTATACTCCGTATGGCATGAGGGCTGTTCAGCATACGGGCAAAGCCACCTTTAGACTCCTTTTCTGTATGGTTGACGCCATAAATCATACAGCCGTAATGGTGTATGGTACGGTGGCCCTGGATCTATTGTCTTTACATGAATCTGACGAACCTACTAAGTTCACCATATTCAACAATCTCATCGTCGAATCTTAACAGTTATTCAACATTTGGCATTTCATGTTCGTGAGGTAATTCCCAAACAAAGGGATGGTGGAATTGAAATAGTGCATATGGAATACACATTCGTATTCAATTGTCCTCCCCAAGCCTCTACGCCTGATTTTTGCAGCAGCGCTTCCTTGCTACAAATCAATCGCAATAATGATGTATTCTACTACCTCCAAATGGATTAGCAGCGTTGGAAGTGGAATTTGGTGTTGGAATTAACGTATCTGGGTCTCCATACGACACTCCTAGTATGTCAAATACAAAGGTACTCGATATTTAAATCTCCAAGCATTTGGTGAACTGTTCTACAGAAGCCAGTTTTCCGACATGAACAGCAGTCCACCCAACGAGAAAAAGGAGGTATGTGCATATCCTTATTTATGGACGTCGATGCTATAGTACTGACAAACTGCGTTTGAAATGCCAGCATGGCCATCTAGTTTATGCGGTATTGATCGGTATCGATGGATATTCGCTTGGTTCTCAATTATCCGGATGTGTTTCCGATGCGAAGGCAATGATGGAATACTTGATGAGCACCCTACACATCCCGGAAGGGAACATCCAGTGCCTTCTCCATTCCCGCGATGTCGCATCTGTTAAGGACGATCCTACCCGCCAGAATATCATTGACAACCTTCGTGCTCTATCTAAGAAACAGAGAGTCCAGTATATTATCATCTACTTTGCCGGACATGGTTCAATCTATCTTAATTCAGATTATTGCGAGGACGGCATTGAATCCTATGGTTCCAGCCACGCTCTATGCCCCGCTGACCGCGGCGAAACCAGCTGACATCGGTGACCGGTTGATAAACGACATTCTCTCCAAAATCTATGACGCTACGAAGGCTCCTATCACCGTCATTCTCGACTGCTGTCATTCCTCAGGTATCACATGAGGAACACCTGGTGCCATACCGCCGGGTGGAGTACTCCCCAAGTCTGCCCCCGAAAATATGGATACACAGTCAGATGCAAGAGAGGCTGGAGAGTGCCATACCTCCCCGCTACAGCTTCCTTTACTTGAAAGCATATTCCATCCCAGTATCAGGAAATCCGGTCAGCGGGACTACAAAGATAAACATTGGCTTCCTGATATGAATTCTCATGTCCTTTTGGCGGCATGTCAAGGGTATCAGCCGGCGACGGAGGTGAAGACGGGGGAGAAGGGGACGGACGGAAATGCCGTTTATGGGGGGACTTTCACGATGGCACTCATTGAGGCTCTCAAGTCAGAGAAAAGGAAAGAATGGTCGACGTATGATGCTCTCATTCAACATTTGAATGACGAGTTCAAGGGTCAGGACATCACACAGATACCGATCGCCATGGGCGGGAGTAGGCCCGCACGACTTTGGTACAAGGTATGACAGTACTTCTTTTTATTCTGTGATCTTACGAGTCTGACATATATACAGGATGAACCGTCTAGTAAAGTAGTGAAGGATGAAGACCCATCGAAGGATAGCCATCTTGACGCCGAGAATTCAGAAGGATTTTGACAACGGATCTGGCGTTCAACACAACGGAAATTTGTTCTAGTTTCAAAATAGTATGGTACAAGATGTACGAAGAGGTAAACATAGCCATGTGTGATTCTGTAAAGTAAGAGGGGCGCAAATGTAAGACAAACAATTCCTATCATAGGTAAAAAGGGTAAAACTTGAACATCAAGTTACTACGATAAAATGAACTTCGCGTACTGACAACAGAGAGACGGACGATCACAGTTATTTTCCCACTGTACACTTCGGCGCACTGTATTACAATGCTCGCCTTCTCCGATGGGCGCGAAAAGTAGCGACATAATCTATTTCCTAAGTTCGCAAAATCTGACTACATGCACTATTAGATGGCCAGGGACACACATACCGTCACTTCTTTCAGGGAGTATCAACATGAGGATAACAACACACCTAAGCTATCGTTTAAATGGAAATCTTGTGATAATTTTCCCGTTATCGATGGAACCTTCGCTATCCCAGCCCAATTCTGCCTTTACTTCGCATATGACACCAGCCGCTACCGTGGGAGGGGATCTACGTCGGAATTGAAAGATGTGGGCTGAATTCGTCTTGTTGGGGTTGAGCTTTTTGAAAACTGGATGGTTGAGCAGTTCGAACAAAAGATTCCTGTCGATCCCTGACACGTGAAATCTTCCGTCGATATCTGAGAGGCACTCCTCATGAGCTCAGCAGTGAGTCGGAAGACATGAACTGGAATGTGCAGGGACTCGTCGTGAATGCAAGCATGAAAGTAAGCAAAGATGCGATGATAGAGCTCAATCGGAGGAGGGATTGGTGTGACGCCGCATTGGTAGTCGAAGGATTTCATTGATTTGGCACTTTTAGATGGAGCCATGCCACCGTGTACAGTTTTGATAGTGATGTCGAGCTCGCATATACAGAGTTAGTCAGATCATGTTTCAGGATAGCGAAGACCGATGCACTTTTACCCAGCACCTCGAGGACATCATGTTGCTTTGCGAGCTCGCCTTGTGTTCTTTCTCGCAATGTCGTTGTTCGTTCCATAGGAGTAATATCAGCAACAAAGGCAGTCATTATTGCCTGATGATGGTTATCACTTGTGAGCAACACATCACAGATTAATTCTGTGTCTATTATTTGGTCATAGAACTTGTCCAGTCGACAATCGTTATCCAGCAGATGGCCCCGCAGGTCAGCGGACCCTTATGAATCAGATTTAGGTGTTCGCGTGGCTTTTGGAGCAAGAAAAACCAGGAACGATCATGGCAGAGATGACGGTACCTTCCACAGCAATATACTCTCCTCAGGGATCTGCTTTTTGGCAGCCAGTGTTTCCTTTACATGAGCACACAAAGCATCCTCCACGACTTCTACAGAGATAGTGCCTTCAGGGACACAGTTGTCCTTGTACGAGTAAATGGAGATCTGTACTGGAATAAGCGTGGTGGTGGTGGTACTTTCATAGTTTAAAGTTAGGAGCGAAGCAAAGTGATGTGAAGTATGTAGCGGTGCTGAATTCACGTGGTGATCGGTACCATCAGCCCGATCAGACTGGGTCTACCGCCAGTTTCCCTGATTTCCAACCAGTTCTCTGCGATGGAAAATCTTCACACAATCTATTGATAGATCTCAGTAAAAATCATGATGTTGGATCATTGAACAGATGCTCTGCATACTTATTCCATGCTTTACTTAAAGCACTCCTGTACTATGGGCAGTGAGCATTGATTTTCTCATCTGGTACTCCACAACGCTTTCCAAATTCCTTCAGGTCATTAATTCCTGAAAATGACCATATGTGATGAGGAGCTAACATCATGCGAGGCAGGCAAATACAACTAGCACACTGGGAATCCAGAAATTTAGGACGTCCTGAGTATAGTCCCTGTATATTAGATTCTGAGATAAAATAAAAATTTACCTGTACTCGTTCCGAAAACAAAGATTCTGACGTGCACAAAATGAATCCTGAAATAGATAAAATGAGTTATATTATAAGTGTTAAATATACTATAACTGGAATCTAAGGTTCCGGGAGACCTGTTGACATCCTCAAAACCTTCCATTCAGACATTAATTTTGGTGGCGAAGGAACCAAAAATGTAGGCATTATCAGAACCTTTCCCTGAGCCATCCGTTTTGATGCCAATATCAGGCACTCCTGAACATTTGTTTTGGGTGTCAATTTCATATCCTATCCAAAACCATTGATTCCAGACTGTCTGGAATGCAGCTGAAGCTGAGCTTACACCAAATGCCTGCTGAGCTTACCACCAGCCTTCAGCTGAACATAGGCTAAGTAAATAGTGATTTTGCAATGCATTACAACAGGGTATTTTACTACATTTACTCCTGTCTACATACTTTTCACATATCTTTCTGTGTTGCAACAATGAACAGGTTACCACCAACCACCACCAGCTTATAAATGGGAATTGGACTTCAAGGTTGATGGGTGCAGGTGCATCCAACTGCTCTAGTTGCTGCAAATCAATGAATTTCTGTAACAGACAATGGTAACAGCATCTCAAACCTCACATCTCTTGTGCCACCACATGTGAAGTGCTAATGCTTGAAGTATGAGCTGTCCTCAACCGTCGAAGCCAAGATGAGCATTCAGGTATCAAGAAAGGGAAAATAGACAGCAAATAGACAGGAGGTAAACTGCCAGTCATCACCCAGTAGTGGACATGATGAGCAAAGGTTGTCAGTTCAACTCAGTTGTGGTGAAAACAAAGAAGCTACTCAGTGGCTGTTGGATTAGCAATAGGTCCAGTACCACCACCACATGGATCATGCCTAGATGAGGGAGGAAGACAATTGTTCAATGATGGAATTAACCAAGGAAATGGTCCGTTCTATCGTGCTACACATCTGTGTAAAGATATACACAGGAGAGGTCTTGAGAGTCAGAATGCTCCCCGCAAAAACAGACTTCAAACAAGCTCAGCCTGCGGCACCCCATGTGCCAGCAGCATAGAGCTCTCATGCTCACATCATCATCTCTACCAGCACCACTCACCATCATCCCTCTAATTGGATCTATTCTGTGCCAGGTATGCACCCAAGTCATCGTTATACTGTGAGCTCACAATTTCCCAGAATCATGAGCAGTGCAAACCATGAAAATCAGCTAATTCAATTGACTGAGGATGCAGTGATGTATGTATTGCTCCATATGACTTTGGTCCCACCTCAAATGATCAGCATAGTGAGAGTCAATTGCCAGTCCCTTCCAATGAACAACCTGACTCTCCTAGAAGCATAGCCTCAACGCTGGACAACCAAGATTTGGTTTCACAGCACATTACCTTTGCATACATTGGCAGCCATCTCAGCATCATTGGCTACATTGACCATGATGGGGCCCTGGCAAAGATAGAGATCATCTTGTCTATGGGGAATGTTAATGTCTCACTATGACACCAGTTTGGCAAGCATCTCAAGATCTTCCTTGAGCTCAGCGTTCTGGAGAATGGGGCTGTGAAAATCATCGGTAGGGAGGTTCAGGTACCGATAGGCCTGTTGAGCATTGAGTATCACTTCAGTATCTGAGAAAAAGGTGAGTATCCTTTCTCTCAAATATTCCAATCAATATCCACTTACACCTAGTCAGTTCATTGGGCTGGAGGGTGCTGCAGTCTCAAAATTTTTTGAATGAATACCAAAGTGCACAGATGTGCATTGTAGTGATTATTGATACTATTATATTGTATATACATCTAAAATTATTCTTGGTCAGTTGACACATCGAAATGTCCTCAGAAACACCTACCTGGTTAACCAAGTGCCCACTCCACAGCCACCATGTGCTCAGGCTGGTTCTGGCAACTAACTGCCAATATACCTCCTCAAAACTTTGCAATGTATCTTTGATCAACTCATTCTTCTTTCCCTTATCTTCTGCATTCTCTTTTTCCACCACTTTCCAGGTCACCTCAACGTTCAGTCTTTGTCCCTCAACATATAATGACAAGTCCTCATCTCTCTCTGGCCAGCTGCCACCACAATCTACAAAGGTCTTCCTAGCTCTCTAAGCCATCGCCAAGTACATTGCTGACTTTTGCATGGCATACACACAGCAACCCAACATTAATGAAGATACATCATCATGCCATGGGAGTGGCACTGTTGTGTGTCATTTAGGAGCATGCAGTGGATCAGTGTATTCTGTAATTTTCATCTGCTTTGTGCATCCCAAGAAGTCAAATGTCTGGTTTTTTTGAAAAGAAATATTTTAAAAGAATACAAATTCATTGATAAACCAACTACTAATGATAGCCCAAGTGACAGTGAGTTTTTAATCCTGGGCCATAAGTTAAATATGGTAAAATAAGAAGACACAGGGACTCACCCTGCATAAATCAAGAATGATGACATGCTCATCCGAGAACATGTATCATCTGACATGAGAGTGTACCAATTTTGGATGGACTGAATCCAGAGGTCCATCAACCATCTGCAATGAATATGTAGTTGCCGGGAAGTCTGGGTATCACTGGAAGGAGTCATAATTCAAGGAAGGAAGGGGCTCCTGATGTTGTATTTTGAAAACAACCTGCCCATGCTCTGTCCTGATGTCTTGGATAGAACCAACATGAAGTTCTGAAGACGCCGAATGTGGATAGTAGCAAACCAGGCTGCCTCCCAAGTGCATCGATGCCTGGGAGTAACTGACATTACGATATGTGTAATAGGCATGTCATGTTTGCCTCAGCATTGGCGGATCAGCCTCAAACTTCACCTCCCTTTGGTCCTTTGGTGGCAATGCGTTATCAAGCAGACACTTGAATTCCTGCATGTGCTGTGGACATTCTGGTCTGCTCAGATAGTGATGAAGATTTGCTGCTTTCATAAATGATTGAAGCATGGTTGTCTTGAGCTCTCCTAATAAAGATGTTAACTCTTGTACACAACTGATAAAGAAAAAAGATAACTTACCACCAACATGGTCATTAATATTGATTTTCTGCAGTGTCACAAAGAGACACTCAAAAGAAAAGCACCACCAGCTAATGACAGGCTCAAAAGAAATAATAAACTCATAAAGATGGAACGCAGCATGAACATTTGGTCTTTCTTTGTGTGTTTGCATGTGGGGATGCACCGAATAGAGCCCATCAACACATTTCTTTAGCAGATTCCTATATGTAGTAGCTTGACCAAGGTTCATGGTATATCGGCAGATGATAGTAACAGCCTGAAACAGCACCATTGTGCAGTCTAATATTGGAAGATGCCAAGAATCATCTGGCAGGGGTTGGCCATTATTATCACCCCATAATGTTACCAGTGCTATGGGAAGATAGATAGTGCTAAGAACATGCCATTCATCAGCTTTGATAGTACCTGCTGAGGTTTCTCTGTAGTTAGAGGGAACAGAGTTAATCCATGATGGTGTCGTGGTATTCTTGATGACTGATTGTATATATGCAATGGAATTCAGGTCAATACATTGCTTGGCTTGTATATCATCAGACTTATGTCATTGAAGAAGATGCTACAGCCAGAAAGAAACAGGTCAGATGCAGATAACAGCATATAGTGAACAGTTACATACCCAGTCAATCAACAAATCTGTGAGGTCACCTCTAGTTTTCACCTCAATCTCGGTGAAGAGGCTGGCTGTGGGCACCTGTGAAATAGTGAGCGGGCTAAAAGGCAAACCTCAAAAACCCACACACACACTCACACAACTACACAAACTACAATCACCCTCATAAGTTCTAGGGGGAGCGATTATTTCTAATGTGATCCGACTATACTTCAATATCTCGAAGAGTTTCTCTTATTCTCAGCACTCTTAGCAAAGCTAAGCTTTCTCTAATGAATTCCTAAGTCTAGGAACTTTTTACAGGAAGGTCGTTCACTGGCGCGACGCAACCTTCAAGGCAGATTTGAGTTATAATACACAAGGGACACTGATCCCAACAGAAACAGAGGCAATACACACCGAAACTTTAGTGAGCTCGCTAAAAGAACACCACAGGCAAGCACTGACTTAGCCCGCTCGCTACACAACTGTATGTAGGGGTTCTCCAACTAACTCCAGCAGGTTATCTCGACTCAAGAACACTTCAGAAGCACTCGGAAACAGATTCAGAAACGGAACTTTGAACAGAACTGACACAGAACAGAACAGAACAGATCTCAGATTTCCACTTCAACACATTCTCTGAACAGACTTATCACACTTAACAGAACAGAAACAGCGTCACTGATTCGTATTCACTCTGACCAAGTTCTCAAAAGTCTTATCAAAAGGGTATCTCATATTTCTCTGAGTGAGCTCACTAATTCTATGCACAGCTCAAAGTCACAAACTGATTCTTTGTTACAGTACTGCCTTCAACACGTGCACGGAAACTCGGGGGCTCAAAACTTGGCCTCTACCTACTGTAACCAGCCTACTTATACTACAGGGGAATTAGAATTACAAATGTCACGCAGTACCCAGACTCCTACATGCGTAGCATGTTGCCACCTGTTACGGTTTATTCATTTTTCTTCGTTTTTCTTCGTTTTACTCAGCTGGATTACTCATATGTGACCATCACAGACATGTTCTCACAGTACTATTATTAGCGTACCCAAAATGTATTTAAGTAGAGCCTCAGCTGGTCTAAACCCCAGCTTCGGCTAAGGTTTAATCTACCCAACATCAAACTCCTTGCTCCGCGTCTATCTCGTTTGCAGTTGACTTGTCACGTCGCCTTTGACTTGCTAGAGTATCGCCTACCAAAGTGCAAGTAGCGATCCTAGTTCGATCTAAGTCGATTCGAGTTGGTTGCTAACATTTAGCCAAAGCTCGTCCTATGTTGCTCAGCGTCGTACGCTGCCCAACATTTATCCCATACTCCTTATATTTGTGGTAGTCATCTGGGTCTTACCCACCATACTGCTAGATCCCATATTTCTGACTGCAACCATCGTTCTGGTGGTAACCGTCATCCGGGTTTATCTTGCTGCCCCAATTCTGGCAGCCTTACTCCTGGTGGCCTATGTCGGATTTCTTCGAATCTAAAAACGAATCCTTTCACTTTTCTCTTTAAGCTTGCCTCACTGTTAGCAGTCGTACTGCTGGCATTGACAAGCACCTTCCAACCTACGCAGGGAGATTACTTGTTGATGACCAGTTCCGACTACGAAACCGACCTCAGCCTGATCATCGCCATCCTTATCGCACTCACCATCCTCGTCACCCGATCACTCATATGCCACTTGCTGAACTGTTACCAACTATTGCAGTAGCTTTTGGATTACTTGCAGGGGCACTTCTAGCGCTTGCCATTAGGGCAGTCTATAGGTGTTGCACCCGTGCTCGAAGAGCAAGACTTCCATTCCATTACATTCCGCACCTTCCAATCCCATACCCAACCATCCCATACCTGCACATTCCAGTACAGCCAACCCTTCATGATGGATGACCCATCACACCCAGAGGAGAATCCTCAGGTTCCGGGGAGTCTTCCCCCACCCCAAGAGCAGCCTCCGTCGACATCACAGACGTACGAGGCGTCGACTTACTCGCAGATGTCCACGTATCTCCCCCAGGAATCATCGACCTCCCTTCCGTCGGAAGAGAGGAAGGAGGGGATATGGACTCGGGTGAAGAAAGCGATGACACCGAGTTCGAAGGGGACAACCTCACAGATCTCAAAAGAACCCGCCTCCAAGACATCCTCGACGGCCTCATCATGGAGAATGAAGGGGATGAGGATGATTCCGGAGTCAGGAGGATCGACCGCGAGGGAGGGTACTTCGGCGGAAGCAGCTATGAGGAAAGTAACAGAGAGCTCAGTCTTGGGGCCTCCGCCGCAACTACCGCCTGTCCAGCTGGAACAGACCCCTATAACGGTCGAATCATGCCAGGCACTGGCAGAGAGTACCAAGGAATCCCTGTGGCATGGCACCCCGCAACCAGTTGGGTCTTCACCGGGGAAGAAACTCCTGTGGCCGGCGTATCAATTGCCACTGCAGGGCCCGAAGACACCCCCATCCAGAGGGCCATTACCCTCCCTGCCGAAACCGAAGAGCGTATCTGGAGCATCATCGAGGCGTACTCCCTGGACGCTCACCCCAATCTATACACAGAAGGAACTACCGACGGAGCCGAGAGAGAGGAAATCCAGTGGACAGAGTACCCAGGAGACACAGAAGAAGGAAGAAGGATACTCCGTGAGTTTGGAGGAGGTTCCTCCTCCGACCAACTCCCCATCATCCCCACTTTCATACCGTCAGTCGCACCCCGAGCCTTTTCAGTCCCCCAACCCATCAATCAGAGACCTTGGACCGACGAGTACAACACGCTCGTCCAGTCCAACTTCAACTTATGAAATGCATGGCTCACCCCAGAAGGAATGGCCCTCCTGGACTGAGGAAGAACGGCGAGCACATGCAGTCAAAACGCAGAGCATCGAGCCGTACGAGACCTTCCCTTCCGCCTTCCAGTCGAGGCCAACGTCACAGACAGTGAGGCCAACCAGAGATTCTGAACAGCAGAGCTCCGACTTCGGGAGGAGTCCCGAAGGATGTCCCCTAATGACCTCGAGCGGCAAGACGAAATCCTTGAGGACTTCCTCTTCAAGACACTCAACGAGGACTGCTCAGATCTCGCCCACTACAACAGGGACTGACTTCGTCGAGCACGATACGAGAGAGAGCACCCAGGACCCTGGTCCACCAGAGGAAGCAGGCAGTGGAGTCCCGAAGAGGTCGCCGAGTGGAATGCCGAACAGGCCGCCGCTCGGCGCAATCATGAGGGAGGTTCTGAGGGACATTCGGAGGGTACTCACTGAACCGATAACAGTGGTACCCCCGACCCTGAATCTCCTCACCTGGGATAATCTCTATGGTCTCATAGCTGAGGACATGATAACGGACCTTCAGTGGCTGCTTACAGAAGCGGGGGAAGATTACCTTAATGCTCGACTCGACGGGGACGAATATTTAATGAAGAACATCGTGGAGGTCGACACGTGGCACTGGGCTGCGATAGTCTGGAACATCTGCCACCCCGACCACCCGAAGTTAACCTGCGCGGCATATCGATGACTGGCGCCGATGCCACACCCCTTCGAAACCATGAAGTTTGCAGCGGGAGGGGGAGGCGATGATCAAGATGATGGATGGGCGGATGCAGGGGCTGGGCCCTCTAATCTCGACAAGGGAAAGAAGTCGACAGTACCACCACAACCTCCTTCAGGGCCACCACCACTGTTACTGCCCAACTACCCGGGAGGATATCCCCTGCCCGGAGACAATCCATGTCTTCAGTCACTACCACGACCTCCGAACCCGCCGGTGCCCCCTGTACCACCTTCGCCACCGGACCCTATTCCACCGTGGCAACTGGCACCTGGGGCGGTGAACAATCCGTGGAACAATGTCAAGCCCAAGTTGATAACGCAACCTGAATATTTCACAGGGGTTTCCACCGATATTAACCGATTTCTTCATCATTGCGAAATGTATTTTCAGGTGTTCCCTATGTACTACACCATGAATGACCAGGGGCAGAACCCCTATCGCATTACGTTCACCCAAGGCTACTTACGGGGGAAGGCGCAGGAATGGTGGGGCAACCAATACTATCACTATCGAGATCCATGAGAGCACTGGAGGTTCCCAACGTGGGAGGAATTCTCCCATGATTTAACCGTCCAGTTCCACGAGGTAGCCGAATTGGCAATTTGGAAGCAAGAATGGAAGAAGGTTCGCCAGGCGGACTATAAGACGGCGATAGAGTTCTTCGCGATGTTTGAGAGGCTAGCCCACAAGTGCGAGGAGTTCGGAGACGAGAAGCAGATGTTCGAGGCTGTGGAAGTTGCTATACGCCCCACGGTCCAGAACACGGTTATGCATGGGGACAATGCGCGCCCCACAACCTATGCGGAATGGAAGTGGCGCATCCTGAGGATCGACGCCAACTATCGGTATAACGTCGCCCAGGGACTGGGCAATAAGTCCTCCCAGAATCAAGGCAGTGGTTCAGGTCGAGACAATCAAAAGCAATCATTGCAAAAGGCAGGAGGCATGGGTGGCGATAAGAAGGACACCACCGGCACCACTTATGGTGGAGCAGGGCAGCCAATGGAGATCGACAAACTGTGCAGCGATAAGCGGTGTTTCAAATGCGGAAATACCAGGTGGAGTCGAGACCATAAATGTCCAACGGACAAATCGAAATGGCTTCCTGTCAAACTCCCACCTCACAAAAAGATCCCCACACAACGACTTCGCCAATTGCTCGCTGAGGCCGAGAAAGAAGAAAATGGGAAGGACTCGAAGATTGAGGAGGTCAAGGAGGAGGAGTCATCAAAAGACGAGCCAGCGTCGAAATAAGCGATTCGATGATGTCAGCTAAGGACTCAGTTTCATCTGGTGCACATTCCTGTACTACTAGTCGGACTTATACTATGTATGTAG